TATAATAAATTGTAAAAACGGTTTTTCCGATCATTTTTGCCGCATTTCAAACTGAAAAGTTGAAACAAAACGAATTGAATCGTAGTGAAAATGGGTCCGGACGCGGTGGTGTTTTAGCGTTGAGGTTTTAATTAAAATTTCCATGCTACACAGACAGAACTAGTTGGCTACTTGGTATTCTTTTTTAGAGAAAAAAAAATATTAATATATAAGCACATAGAAATTGTCTAGGACTGCATTTGATGTGGAGTCAGGGAAATACCGACGTTTCGTCAATTATTCGGTATTTTTGTATGACTAAAAAAATAGGCAGAAAAACACGTCTTTTCGTATACCAAATGTACTGGAGAATCTTGGAAAAGAGTGGTATTAACTGGCTCTCTCGTTTTTTTAACAATGGCTGTTGCGAAAGTATGGAAAAATTTTACTATATAGTTGTTGATGTTGAAGATGTATTTACTAATTTTTCTATCGGTTATTATTTGATAATATACCCGCGAGTTTGTTTGCCGTGAATATTTACGTGATCGAACGATCTTATGACAAATTATCCCTTCGCAAAAAATACAATATACAATATATTATATTAAAATAAAAAGAAGATGAATAGAAATCTACTTTTGAGATGACCGACCGGCTGACGCAAACCAAAGAACTCCAATCGGTTCGACTACAAACCTGAACTACTAAGTCGCAAATAGCAATAAATGCAAAGTTTGTGCCATTATTAAACTTAAATTTAAAAGAAGCTATAGAATATGAAATTTTTTATAAAAAAAAACACTCACCTGTCAACTCGACCCGTGACTAACTTCACAACTCTAATTCGAATCCAAATGTCAAACGTCAAAATTTTTTCAATTCAAAACGAATCTTTAGCTTCTTCACGAGCGATATAGCGCAAAATATTAATTAATTATTTAATCGAAACGCTTTGAGTTTGCCTCTCCGTCCAAAACAAAGAATATTAAATGCCAATTGGGGTCCCATTAAGAGCACTAAAATTGCACAAACAAAGTTACTTTGCTGTGTCGAAAGAAATGAAATGTGTAATTACCTCTTAAACGAAAAGAAAATTATTCAAAATGCAAAATTCTACCTATCAAGCAGCCAAAAGCAGTCACCTTTTTTGTGTTTTTCGTCGGAACGGGCGCAAATTGAACGTTGCAATTTTTAGTGTTGCTTTTATTATTTACAAGCGCGTCAAATCGAATTAAGGCCTTCTTGAGCGAATTTCCAAGATAATTTTCTATCTCTATGGAGTGTAATTTATTGCCTCTGGCTCGATTCCAATTTCTCAATTACCCACTAACCCGAAACGATAAAATTATACCTAGTTTAAAACGAAAAAAAAACAAAAATCAAGGCCTGCTGGATGAATTCGCCTAAAGAAATAATCGATTACAATCGATGCATCGATAAGAGCAATCACTTAAAAATCGACAGTAAGAAAACTTCAAAAGACCAATTTAGGGGTACAAAGTAATAATCGATTTGCGCCCGTTAGAATTAAAAATCGAGCGAGATTTTCTCCACCGAAGGGCGGAGAAAATCGGGCTATATACTAAGTAGGGAATTTTTGGCGTGAAATGTTTGGAAGTTTGTTAAATGTAAGATCTCGTAGATTTTTCGATGAGGAAAAATTCGTAGCGAATCATTGTTGAACTGATCTCGTAGCTGATCAATAACTCTACATAGAACACCAACTTTTAGTTTAGAATTCGTGAAAGAAATGTCGACTGCCAAAACCAAAAAAAAAAATTTAAATAAAAATAAACTCGCGATGCGTGCTTAGTGATTTAAATATAGTGTTTTTCTGAGAGGAAAATAAGGGAAAAACGAAACACCCGCGTTCGTTCGACGACAAAACGACACGACCAGTGGCTTTTCCTACGCTTCACAGTCAACACAAATTAATTTCCCGGACAATTCGTATAATGAATAAATAATAAAAATCGTAGATAGGGAAACCGATCGTCTTCGTGCGCAATGAAAGCGGTATTTTTAGTTGATTTTAGGTGTAACAATTTCCCGAATCCGATGGATATTGAAGTGGATTTTCCGATTTTTCCCACCCCTACCTTTTGCCACTGGACAGGACCATGTCATATCAACAAATTGACCTCCTTGCGTTGGTAAGTAATTCCCTTTTGAGTTCTCCATTTTATGTCGATTCTTTCGATTCGAAACGCAAACAGACCTTTTAACTTTAACGAAGAAAATAAACCATCCAGAGGGTTCCGCGAAGCAAAAGAGTTTTAATGCGAACTAAAATATTCAATTCTTGTGATACTGAAAGTTTTGATGATATCGTTTTACTGTCGTTGATTTAAGTTTGATGCGTTGTAAATTGAAACCCGAAGTCTCGCGTTTGTTGCTGTTTTCAACGAAATTTATTATTACTCGTGTTGAATTTTCTCCCGTTTTTTATTTACAGAACTTATTGGATTTTTTTTGTTAAGAATCGCAACAAATTGAGCAAACACTTCTTGTTGTTATCGGTGCAAAAGTGGAATTTTCGGGTGTGCTGTAGGTGTAAAATCGCATTGTATAATAATAATTTGAATCAGGGTAAATTTGTATTATTCTATTAGTTTAATTAAAAGAAAAAATCGTTAATAAAATGCGATATTCGACACTTGCAGGCTCTCGATTTATTCCACTATAGTTTCTTGCATTTTGTATGTATAATACAGTAATAATAGTTACATAATATTCCCCAGAAATTTAATTTTATTGTATTGGTTTTAACTTCAACTTCTCTTCTAATTCCTAACGTATTAATTATGTAGCTATTATTTGAAAAAAAAAATACAATTATAATTTGTAATTACCAATTTCCGTTCCGAATTCGAACAAAAAGCTATGTTCAAAAGTGGGTCAAATAAAAACCAAATAATAATAAAAAAAATGTCAAGTCCATGATTTTATAAATTTAAGAAACTTGTGAAATTGTTTGTGTGCGTAATTTTTAGTACAGAAATCAAAAAAATATATTATTAAAAATATGGTAAATAGTTGGGGATGATTCCTGGAAAAATTGGAATCGTCCGCAAATACAGATTGTCGCTAGTGGTGTCATAATTACTAGCCGTGTTCGTTAGTATCTCTGCAAAAAAAAAGCTACGAAAGAAAATATGTGGACGTTCCAGAGTAAACGAAGCCCAAAAAAATTTTTTTTTATTAAAATAAATTTTCCTCGAAAGATGTTTGATGAATTGTCTCACTACACAACGAAAAAACGCGTTATTTTTCCAATTTTCTATCATCTGAAATAGAACAAAAATCAATCAATAAATATTTTACCGATAATTGGAGAAAAATCGAACCAATCTACACCGATTTTTCGATCGTTTACTCTCGAACGGCTCGTTAATAGTACCCATGTAACATGTTTCAAACGTTTCCATAAAAATTAATCTACTCTGTACAATAGAATAAAATTACACGGAATTCCTCAGCTCCAAATTTTCCGTGATCAAGTTGGCTTTCCCGATTTTCCGTTGTAAAATAAAAAAAAAACGTATTAGTTTTCGATGTGTGGTAAATACTTTTGTGATAATTCCATCGGTATTATACTATTATTATAATATTGTATTTGAGTGTTAGCTGTATGATTTCGTTGAATGTGGCTCAAATGAGAATTGCCTTCAACAATGCAAAATGGACTCTATACAAAGTCATAATCTATATACCCTAATATGTAGCTGCAAATTGGCCATTATTTCTCAACATTTTATCGATAAATATATCTCTATAATAAAACCCGGACCGAATATGGCTGAAAATCTGCTTTGCATTGTTGTAATTGTTAAAAGTTAAAAAAATATATACTTATTGTTGCTAGAATTAGCATTGTTGTTGTTATATTAAATAATAGTGAATATATTTTTATTTAATTTAGATGAAATGTGATTTTTCATACTTAGTGTGTAAAAATATAGGAAGCTCAAATTCGATTAAAGAAAGATTATTCGTTCGACATTTTCGCACAATATAGAATTAATAATAATTGAAATCCGAAGCCTAAAAATACCAATACTTACTAACTTATCGTATTTGAAAATAAATTATTGGTTGTAATATGAAAATATATCTGCTGGCGGATGAAACGATTTAATTACATTTCGGTTCTAATCCAATAATAATCTATTTTTGTTTCAGTTTGTGTGTATACATGTAAATGACTGAATGAATATTGAATTAAATAGGTACATTTTATACAATATAATGTTGTTGTTAGTGTATATAAAAAGGATAGATTTAGTAAATAATAATATACTTCTGGTGTGACCAGATTTTTTATAGCCTTTTTGTCTCTAAATAGGTGAGCATGGAGGTAATTTTTTGGTTAATCGAATGAAAACAGTTTTTAAAATAAAACACTCCAAAAATATTAGTACAACTTAGCGTTATAAGAATGTTGAATTGAAAATACTTAAATTTTCCCACTCAAAAAGCATACTAACGGCTTTTCATTCGATTTTAGCTGAAGTTATTAAAAATTTGGAGAAAATTCTTGTAATTCTATATCGAGAGGATCAATAATTTCGCTTCTATTACCAAAAAAATATTAAGCTTAGAATAATTTTTATGGAAACGTTTTAACGTCTAGTGATTAAGTTTGCAGGAATTTAATATAAACCTAATGTATAAGTCACAAAACTATTGGTTTAAGGTTGAAAGTTTTTTTTATTAGTGAAAAAGTATTATAATATTGAAAACGATGAAATAAATAATTCAAACTAGTAGTGTTTAATGTTTGTTAATAGCACAATTGACAATAAAGAAAATTTGGGGAGTTATTCGTTTTATGGTACATTGCCCGCTACGCCAACGTTCTTAAAATCAGGTAAGTAAAAAAAATCAAGTCCGGTTCTGTTCGACACGTCAACTCTAAAGCCAAACCTGCTCTTATCACGTGACGTTGAGTTAGACCAATCGCATTATAGATCGAAAATCGCACATGCGTTGGCTGTTCGCGATTGGCCGAAATTTGACAGCTGTCAGTGATACGGTTGTTAAAATGGTTTGAAGAAGTTGTGATTTTTATAATATTACAGGTTTTTTTAGTTAATTATAACAATAATTATCTAATTCGTGGTTAATAGGAACTAATGTTAATTGTGCAAAGTGCTAGTTCTAATAGATATATTTTAATAAAGAAGGTAAGTCGTTAAATGCACTTTAATCCGGTGTAAGTGAGGTTATGTTTTTTTTTCAGGATGAAAATTTTACCATTAATTTTAAATATTTTGTACGTGATTACTATTAATAATGTCGAAGGCAAAACGAAAAAATCCAAGTCCGTTACGACTCTCCTAGAAGCGAAATGGCACGCGACTCCGCTGGTGATGGAGACCGCGGAATATTTAGCCGAAGAAAACTTAGATTTCTATTGGGGTTTCATCGATTCGATCAGTTCATTAAATCCCCCACTAGACTCAATAGGTAATCCTAACCACTCAATCTAAACGCCAATTAAACTCACGAACCTTTCAGAAAACGAACGACAACAATACAAAATTCTAATCGACCATGCATCGAAGCTGCTGGCCCCTTCGCAAATATCAGTATTAAAGCTAGGCCTGTCTCTGCACATATACTCGCCTAAAATACAGATGTTCGAGCAGATCGTCCAGGAATTAAACCTACCGAATTGCCCGAGTATAGCCGATATCGGCGGAACTGTTGTGTGTAACCCCGAAGATGTTCGCTCGTTACTCGACACTGTATGTATAAATCTGACCTAAATTACCAGAAATAAGCGTTATAATTGCAGCCTAGCAAAAATCCCGCGAGACCTGACCTGTACAGGATTGATAATCACTTCCCCGGCTCGGCGAATCGATCGCTCGTTGCCGTTTTATACGGCCAGATCGGAACTAAATCATTCGCTGAATTCCACGGGATTCTAAAGGAAGCAGCTTTAGCGGGAAAAATCGATTACGTCGTAAGACATCACGTTAAGGTATGTAATCGATGAGTAGCAATCGAGGTGATTAATTATTGTACGTTTAGAATAAAAATCCAAACAAACTAAGACTGTCCGGTTACGGTGTGGAATTGCAAATGAAATCCACCGAATACAAATCGCAAGATGATACCGAATTGCACGAAGACAGCAGCTCATCGGAAGGTTCGCAAGAAGAGGAAGAAACCGAGTTAGAAGGATTCGATTTCGCGAAACTAAAGTAAGTAATTTTATGTATTTTATACGCGATATTTAACCCGGTAATTTCAGGCAAATATTCCCGAATCTCAAGCAGCAACTGGACAAATTCAAGTCCCATTTGCAAGACACCTCGAGCGAATTGGCCCCGTTGAAAGTGTGGCAATTCCAGGAGCTCAGCCTGCAAGCGGCCGAACGTATAATGAACGCTCCCAAAGAAGAAGCCCTCAAAATTCTCACCAACACCGCGCAGAATTTCCCCGTGCAGGCCAAAGGACTGTCCAAGTCCACCGTCAGCGCGGACATGAAGCAGGAAATGAAGAAAAACAGCGAAATGTTCGCGGCCCATTTGAACCTTCAACCGTCCGATACCGGCCTGTTCATCAACGGAATGTTTTACGACGTCGATATCGTGGATATTTACGGTATACTCGACGTCCTGCGACAGGAACTGAGAACCATGGAAGGATTGCACACTTTGGGTGTAACCAACGAACGAATGTCATCGTTGTTGAAGTTGGATTTCCTGGACGAAAGCGACGGGCAGGAGTTCGCCATAGACATCAGAGATTCCGCCATAAATTGGATCAACGACATCGAACGTGACCCAAAGTACGCCTAAAAAAACACCACAAATATACTTAATTAACAACTATTACATTTTTAAGGTATCACCGATGGTCGAGTTCGCTAATGGAATTACTACGACCCACGTTCCCCGGCATGCTACGACAAATTAGAAGAAACCTATACAATTTGGTAACCTATTCAAGCATCAACGCGATTTATATATTACAAATAAATCAATCGTAGGTTCTTATTATCGATCCAACGGACACATCATCGGCTGGCGTATTGAAACTCGTTGAATCCTTCGTTATACATACAGCACCCATACGAGTGGGCGTCGTCTTCAGCGTGACCGATCGCAGCGACGTCGACGGCGTCGACGATCTAGGCGTCGCGATGCAATGCGCCTTCAACTACGTGGCTCAAACCAAAGACGCCGCCTCTGCTCTAACGTTCGTCAGGACGCTGTTGCAAACCGCCGACGATGGGAAGTTATCGATCGAACAGATTAAAGATAAACTTCGCGTGGAATTCGACGAGGATCCGATGGACGTGCTCGGCGAGGATTCGGTGTACGATTTCGGGCGACAATTGGCGTCCGATTTCATCGAACGGGCCGGTTTGAAAGTGTTCCCGCAGGCGCTGTTGAACGGGATACCGTTGGCGCAGGCGCAGATCAACGTCGATGAGTTCGAGGAGACCGTATTGCAGGAGATTATGACGCAAACGCACGCGTTCCAGAAGAACGTTTACAGGGGGAAATTGTCCGATTTGGACGACGTATTCGAGCAGATCATGAACCAGCCGAAGGTGATGCCGAGATTGAACGATAGGGTTTTGAACAAGGACAAATCCTCGCACGTCGATATGACAGGTTAATTAATCATTTTCCCAGTTTGGTGTGTGTTTTTTTACGATTATTTAATTTCCAGGTACCGCTACTAGCATCGATGACGTGCAGAGATTGTTGAAGTTGAGCTCGCGCGACATGACCGCCACTGCCGTGGAGAATTTGAAGTACTTTTCGGCTTTGAAGAAGAACAAGAAATACCATTCGATGACCTATTGGATTGTGGGCGATTTGAACGAGAGGACTTCGAGGAATTTGTTGTTCGGCGCGTTGGAACATTTGGTAGGAATTCTGCGAGGCGTGTTTGCGCGATTAAGGCGATTTCCGTAATTAATTTTTGCAGAAATCCGAGAGCCACGTTAGAGTGAGTTTTTTGCCGAACGTCAACGGCGGCAAAGCGAACAAATTGAATAAGCTAGTGTTAGCCGCGTTGCAGGAATTACCCGCGGAAAAGTCGCTTACTTACGTTATTTCCCTTTTGAAAGATGACGCTTTCTACAAGCAATTGGAGAGCGGCGGAAAACTCGATATACCTGTGAGTACTTTTTCACCAATTAACTATTTATTTGTGATAGCAAATGTTGTTGCAGGTCGAATTGGCGTCGAAAATCGACGCGCAGGAATTGAACCTGAAAATGTTGCGGGTGTACAGCCAAAGAGTGTTGCAATTGAAGGAGGGCCAACGGGCCGTGATAGCCAACGGTAGAATACTCGGACCTTTAGACGACGACGAGCAATTCACCTTGGAAGATTTCAATCTACTCGAACGGTTCACATCGAGCAGCTACCTCGAGAAAATCACCGCCGCTTTGGAAAAGTCCTCGGACGACGACGAAGGTATTTGGCGAGATTTATTCTTTTTGTAATTATTTGCTGATTACGAATATGACCATCATTTACCCAGCTACATTCATTTCGGCTCGCAATCGCGATTTAAAAATGCTAATCGTCGGCCATTTTGGAAATTATCCAAGTTGACGTATCGTTCTGTCATTGTTTCGTTCTTTTGCGGCCTTTTACTACGCCAGTGTCCAACAAAATTTCAATTGTCCAATACACTAATGTTGTATTAAATGCACTAATAATTCCAGAAATGACGAGTAACTCGTTCATGAAGATCGTGTCGATTTTGGTGGACAGATCGCAGCCGAAATCTCGGTTCGACATCGCCTACTTCGGCGACGAGCATTCCGTCATCAAGATACCGGCGGCCCATCCGGACAGGGCCACGTTCGAGATCACCGCCGTCGTCGATCCGGTGTCGAGGGGCGCCCAGAAAATCGGGCCGATCCTGCAGGCGTTCCAGGAGATGCTCAACTGCAACATCAGAGTGTTCCTGAACAGCGTGGAGAAGAACAGCGACATGCCCGTTAAAAGGTTGATTACTTACGCGCGGTGTTTGAATTTGAATTAGATGTTAATTGGGTTTTTGTGATTTAGTTTCTACCGGTTCGTTTTGGAACAAGAGATTCAATTCGACGAAGACGGCAAGCAATTACCGGGTCCCATAGCTAGGTTTAATAATCTACCGACGTCTCCGTTGCTGACGCAGAATTACCACGTGCCGGAGAATTGGTTGGTGGAGGTGGTTCGATCGGTGTACGATTTGGACAACATTCGATTGGAGAACGTGGAGAGTAACGTTCACAGGTGCGGTTGGCGTTTGACTAGCGTTAGAGTTGGTAAATTTTGCGGATTTTTTTTAGCGAATACGAGTTGGAGTATCTGTTGTTGGAAGGGCATTGTTTCGAACAGAACACCGGCAGTCCTCCGAGGGGGTTGCAAATAACGTTGGGTACTGATAACCGGCCGGTTATCGTCGATACGATTGTAATGGCGAATTTGGGGTACTTCCAGTTGAAGGCGAACCCGGGCGCTTGGCTGTTGAGGCTGCGTCAAGGCCGAAGCGCTGATATATACGATATCGTTAGGTAATAAACTAATTTTTTTTTTCACATTATTTGGTACATAAATTTTATGATTTTTTAGTCATGAGGGTAGCGATACGCCGGAAAATTCGACAGACATTAAAGTACTTATAAGTTCGCTCAGATCGCATATCGTTAAATTGAGGGTACAGAAAAAACCGGATAAAATTAACGTCGATTTACTTACCGAAGACGATAATAATTCCGGAATTTGGAATTCTATTACCAGGTATGTGGAGTAATTACTAAACATATTTTCCGGTTGGAATTAACGAAGTTGATTTTTTTAGTTCGTTCAAAGGCAACGAAGAAGAAACCGACGAGAAATTAAATATATTTTCTCTAGCCTCCGGACACTTGTACGAGAGATTCCTCAGAATTATGATGATGTCGGTGTTGAAACACACGAAAACTCCGGTGAAATTCTGGTTCCTCAAAAACTACCTCTCGCCGCAATTCAAAGTAAAACGACACCAATTTAACGTTTGATTTAATTTTCTACGAGTCGTCCCGTTTCAGGATTTCCTGCCGTACATGTCGAAAGAATACGGCTTCGAATACGAACTGGTACAGTACAAATGGCCGAGATGGCTCCACCAGCAAACCGAAAAACAACGCATCATTTGGGGCTACAAAATATTGTTTTTGGACGTTTTGTTCCCGTTGGACGTTAAAAAAATCATTTTCGTCGACGCCGATCAGGTACTTAAACTACCTGCGCTTAATCTACAACATCATAACAACATTTTCGCGTTTTAAGGTGGTTAGAACGGACTTGAAAGAATTACAACAACTCGACCTAGGGGGCGCGCCCTACGGTTACACGCCGTTCTGCGAGTCGCGCAAGGAAATGGACGGGTTCCGCTTCTGGAAGAGCGGCTACTGGCGGAACCACCTCCAAGGCAGGAAGTACCACATATCCGCTTTGTACGTGGTCGATTTGAAGCGGTTCCGCCGCATAGCGGCCGGCGATAGGCTGAGGGGCCAGTACCAAGCGCTCAGCCAAGATCCCAACAGTCTTTCCAACTTGGACCAAGACCTGCCGAACAACATGATCCACCAGGTGGCGATCAAATCGCTGCCGCAGGAATGGTTGTGGTGCGAGACTTGGTGCGACGACGCGTCCAAGGAGAGAGCTAAGACTATAGATTTGGTGAGTGGAATTGATGGTAAATGAGGAGTGTTTGGTTTGTAATTTTTATGTGGTTTGTAGTGTAATAATCCCATGACCAAGGAGGCTAAGTTGACCGCTGCTGTTAGAATACTGCCCGAATGGAAGGGATACGATGATGAGATTAGGGCGTTGCAGAAGAAAATCGATTCTGGGTTGATGGACGCCGATCCTGCTGAACACGATGTTACTGAAAAAGGTGAGTGAAGTAATATTAACTTTACGAACCGGTCGGGTTTTTAGTATCTGAAAAAATTTATTAATACCAAACATTGTTTGTTACAGCTGGAACTGATTTACATTCGGAATTATGATAACTAGATAAATTATGTACATAATTAAGTAATTTGTAAGAGTGATATTTACATGTCTTAAATTATGTTTATCATAAGACTAATTTAATAAATATGTAAGTCTTAAGGCTTGTTACAATTTTTGCATTGAACACGATTAAGTAAAAAAACACCAAATTGGTTCTAAAAAAAATGTAGTAGCGTATTCTACATAATAATCAATCAATGCGATTCGATTATTTCGATTTAAAAGCCGATTATAAAGAGTTTTAATTACAGGTTTAAAGTGTTACAAAAAATACACAATAGGCTTTCGTTAAACGGTTTTGAAGCTTAAGCACGACTAATTAACGCTCAATTCTAATTCCACTACGAATTAGCTTTTCGAACTGTCCCTATACTTCTAAGTGGAGACATTTAAACGGACAAAAAACAGGAGGTTACATTATTCTCGCTGCATTCTACAAACATTCGTATATCTGACTTTTCGTCCTGCAAATTTTGCACTTGACGTAACAACAATCGTAGAATTTACATTGACACCTCTCGATCTTCTCCTCCACGACGGTGCGGTAGCCCCTTCCGCAGCACAATTGCCTGCAGCTCTCCGGCCCGCTCGACGACACGTTGCAATGCCTGCAACCAAAAAACCCCCACCGGTTACCAACCACCTCACCTAAAAACCCCCAATCGAAACCAACCTCCCGACCGTTCCGAAGCTCCCCAGCGCCTCGTCCTTGGTGCAATAATCCGGCGATTTCGATAGGTACACCAGCAGCTGCGTCCCGACGGCCCGCTTCGCCTTCTTCGGCGCCCTCTCCTCGGCGACCTCCTCGGCGATGCTCCCTTCGCTCACCTCCACCGCGTTCGTGTACTTCTCCAGCAACCTCGCGCCAATCTCGGCCATCGCGGGCAGCGCCCTCCAGCACGTCTTGATGTTACACGACCCCGACACCCCGTGGCATTTGCACTGCGTCCTCAAGCTCTCCACCATCACCTAACCAATCACTTTTACATGATAACAATCAGAAACTTTAAACATGCACCACCTTTCTGCCGACTCTGTTGTTGTGCAAATTGGCCGCTGCGCCGTTGGAGCGCTTCTCCAGCGCGTGCTTCTCCACGTTGTCGATGAACCGCCTGGCGAATTGGACGGCCCATTGGACGTTGTCGCCGCAGCCGCCCCATTGGAACTGGCCGCCGGCCGGCGCCGCCGCCGGCTTGGCTGCGCACGTGCACTGGTGCAGGCCGCCGCTCGAGCAGGCCCGCGCCATCGTGTACGTCAAGGCGGCCGAGCTGATGGCGTACACGTAGGCTTGCTCGCGCGTGGCTGCGAAACAACCGAGTAAAAGACATGTTAATGATTTAGTTGAATATATATCGATCGATTGTACGTGGTCTTTTGTCTCTGGTGGAATCGTGGAATCGTGGGTGTTCGGTTGAAGCGTTTGAAAGAAATGCAATTTCCGTTTAATCAGAAGCGGTAGCTTCGACACGTCCCTCGGGACATCCCGCACGTCGCCCGTTGATATGAAAATAAAAGCACATCGCCTGAAAAGATTAGAAAGTTTTCCTCCCTATTGACTTTCCGTTAGTTCATTAGCCAGGCTCCGTGCTCCGCATATCGAATGCGACAACCCCTGCGAATCGAGTCGAAATCAAGCGAATTTTATTTACCTCTGGTGAGGTCGGGCGGCAGGACGGGCGCCATGCCGATCGACGAGCAATTCCAGCGGCGCTGCCTGAAGACGGTCCTGCAGGTGTCCGCTGCGAGGACGGCGGCCGCCTGGACGTGGGGCATCACCTCCACCGAGTGCCTGCAGAGCTTCGCCTGCTGCTTGACGAAGCCGTACCGCCTGCGGGCTATGGTGCAGGGGGAGCTGGTGCCCGAGCGGATGCCTCTGCCCGGGTGGCTGGCCAGCGACAGGTTCCATTGGAGGTGCGAGTGCTGCAGGGAACTGAAATCGGTGGTTAAACGGAGTACGGTCCTGTGTGTGTGGAATTGACGAAGGAAAACAGGAAAACCTCGTTTTTTTTTTGGTTTTACGACGGAGAGTTATTACGGCTCTCTTGGGCAAATAATGGTTCAACATCTGACATTTCCTTTTCGACCGGTGTTGTTTGTCGATTTGGAAACGCGAGTGAGTACCGGCGTATGTACTTTGCGCATTCTGATCCCTCGTCGAAACGTATATTATCGAAAAAATAAATACATTTTTCCTTTTATTTGTTTGAATAGGTAGGTAATATTTATCTCGTTAAGAAAACTGTTTGTATACCCATTTAATTCTATTGGATTAAGGATACAATTTACTCACGATTTTTTTTGTGTGCGTTTTCTCGCAGTAAATTTTAATTTTATGCGATATTAATAACGCAGTTAATTTGACGCTATTTAATACATCGAGACTTTATTGTGCTATAAAAGTTTATATTACAGGGAGACTTCGTAGTTTTATAGTAACGAAACACCTTGTATAACGTAGAAATGTCAAGGAACTTTGCGATTTAATTAGAAAAATCAAAAGATCGACTTAAAAAATGCTGTATATACAGGTGCAGTATTCAGAACTAACGGCCAACAAAAGCCAATAAAATCGAGAAATCCTCGACGGAGGCGTACAATAAAACTAAAAACATTTTACAGCATCATTACGATATTACTAAAATCGGAGATTCATTTCACACTACACTCATAAAAACAAAATATCTAAACGACGATAAAACGAATATACACCTCAGCGCGAATGTTTTGTAACATCCACAAAATCGACCTTACGTTTGAACTTTCAATTTACAACCCGCGACGCAGGTGTTAATTGTCGACGTTTCCCACTCTAACCAAAGTATTTTAACGCACCATCAGAAATTAATTAATCACCCGATGGAGCGCCATAAATTAGCGCGCCGGGCATATCAAAGTCTCCGTTTCGCGCTAATCTAATCAGATACGAAAGTCCCGCTTAACCCACTTCTCGGTGGATTTATCGCCGCGAACTGGCCGCCATAAATTAGCGCCACCTCCAGCCTTTAACCCCCCCGCGACGGGCGCTAAGCGAGCTGACGCTCCGGCGTCGCGACGCACGCAAAAACGGCATTAGCCCACCGCCGAAGATAATCAACAAAACAATGACGATTTATTACGCTGGCTATATGTATACAGAATTCCATTTTTTTTTACTTTTATCACGTTGTAGAACGGTTTACTATTTTCAAATCTATAGGTAAGTACCCACTCTAGTTTTTGAGGTACAGAGGAATTATTTTAAATCTCTATTCTGCAGTGTAATGTATTGTAAGTGTACTTCAATGTAGAGTAGTATAGATTATAGAAGTATATAAATTCATAAAACTAAATCCCTGTTCCCCAGTGTTACCACACTGTATTGTAGTGTTTTGTAGTGTATTATAGTTTACTGTCATGTAGTGTAGTGTCGTGTAGTTTAGTGCAGTGTAGAGTATAGCAATATAAAAAACTTCATAAACTTCTGTTCCCCAGTGTTCCTACACTGTAGTGTAGTGCAGTGTACAGTAGGTATAGAAGTTTTATAAAACTTCATAAAACAAAGCCTCTATGCTCCAGTGTTACTACACTGTAGTGTAGTGTAATATAGAGTTTAGTATAGATACTATAGATAGAGGATTTTTTTTATTTCGTTCTTTGAGACGGGGGGTTATTAATTTTCTGTTTAAATATCAACCGGAGAATTGCGGGCTATAAATAACGGGTCGCTAATGAGCGGAGTTGAGATTTATGGTAATTCCGGAGCAAATAGGTGGTTTGCAAATACGAATTTCTTTGGGGGGAACCACTTGAATAGAATTTTAAACTATGAGAAAATACTTAAAAAATATCACCCATGTATCCAACAACCGGATAAACCGCAACGAACTTTCACAAAAGCAACGAGAATAAACCCAATTTTAACATAACCAGGTGGTTTGTTTTACAACAAAAAAATACCCTCTTTTCTCAAACGCCCTTCGAAGGGAAAGAAACTGATTAGGTCTAATTGGCGTCGATAACACGTCCGATTTCGTACGTTGTGCTCGGCACCCCACGCACCGGGACCCCCATAATAATTATCGGGCGCCTTCGAGATGTACCTGTGAGATACCGCGACTTGTAATTACCGCCTCGAGTCGGGCCAGCGCGATTTATGGCCGATTCCGAATTGGTTATTCGGGCCCTTCTTTCCACCCGCCTCTTTTATACAAAATTTATCGATACGCGTGCAAATAAATTGGTATGTATAGTAGTACTTACAGCCACTTGATCGATTCGACGAAATCGCCCAGGAAAAGGATCACCAACAGGACACCGAAGCGCTGTAGATTGGCCATCATTTGTCGCCTAGCGGGCGCATTTCTTCGGGACGGGGCACTCGATGTCTTCTGCGATACTATCGGGACTTCCTCGGGACGCCGTCCTTCAGCGCTCGAAGGGCCGATCCGGACTGATCGGCCGGCCGCTCGCGATTCGGAGGGCTCTCGATCGTCCGACGGGACTCCGCCGGTCGCGGCACGGCTATCGGATTTTTCCCGGACGGGTATACAATCGGAGAGGATCCTTCTTTGCGCTCGATTCGTTCGGTCGAATATAATTACACTCGCTCGGTTGTTTGTAGTTATCGGCGCTCGGAAGTGAAATAATTGAGCGTTTTGTCGATTGTAATTTCATAAAAATGTGCACGTCTAGTGAGCGTGCGAATTTAAAGTTCTGTCAATTTTGACGTTCTTGACAAACTAATTTTATTATCAATCGATGGTTGAAAATAATTTATAAAAGTAGGAAAATGTTAATATACTGATTAGATTTGGTTCTTTTTAAATGAAATTTTTAAGTATTACGCTATTTATGATAATTTTAAAACGATTATATTTGTATTACCTCAAACGTCAAAAATCTGTCAATTTTGACATAAATAAATTATTGCTCCGTCGGTATTAACATAAAATTCAACCTACAATAAGATGGCTGTGGTAAAATAAAATAAAACGCCAAAACTGCGTAATGAATTGAACAATTTAATCAAATTATAACTTTTCGAATTTCAAAATCACTTTATCGTCTGCCGGACATATAATGTACGCCTGAGAGTTGAACTTCATGACATTTTGACTGTCGTCCCTCAAACTAACCCGGTAATGCTCCAGCGACTTGATCAGAGCCACCTTGACCGACATCGTTCCGAATTTTTGTCCTAAAAATCACAGCAAAAGGAACATAACGAAAAACTCGAGTTCGATCGAAGAACGGAAAACAAACAGAGAAACCGTTTCCATTTTCCCGTCCTCCATCAAACCGAAATTGAATTACCCATGCAACTGCGACCGCCGTCTGCGAACGGCATGAAAGTGCCCGGTTTAATCTTGCGGACGTTCGCTTCGGAAAATCGCTCCGGATCGAAGAGCTCCGGCTCGGGAAAATACTCCGGATCGTTGTGAATGCCCAGCGTCGACACGAACACCGTCGTGCCTTTTTCTATTACCATACTCGAGCCCGGCACTTTGTAATCCGACGTACACATCCTGTTGAACATCGGCACCGGAGGGTACTTCCTGGTGGTCTCTTAAAACAAGCGCGTGACAAATTTGACAGGTGGCATGTGACATCTGTCGTTACCTTTAAATACCATGTCTAGGTAGGTCATGTCCGATATGTAGTCGAAGAGGTTTTGATCTGGTGGGATTTGTGATATTTCTAGTCGCAATCTTTCTTGAATCGACGGGTTTTTGGCCATTTCGTACAATGCGAAGCTTATGACGCTGGTGGTGCCTTCGAAGGCGGCCAGGAAAAACGTTATAGCTTGCGCCACCATTTTGTCGTCGTCTAATAAAATATAAGTCCATGTAATTGTTGATTATCAGCGCTTGAGATCTTACCCAAATCAACGTATTGTTCTCTAAACGAGGGATCTCTCCTCCATTTCATCAGCAAATCGATCAAACCGTCGCCGTTGGATTCCCCGTTAGTTTTTTGCCTGACGATTTCGAAAAATTCTTTTTTGAATAATTTCTCCGCCGCCGGATCGATGAGATTCAATCCCAACCAGTCCACAAGCTTCGGGTACAGAATGTACGCCGATATCGAGAAGTTCCTCTTCAAGTCCGCGTAATCGAACATGCCGCGCGCCATTTTGCGAAATATCGAATTCTCCTCTCTACAAGAACCAAACCTCAACCAACCCCTTTACCTAACTCGCCGATTAATTACCTGAAAGCGTTGGCTTTTACGCCGAACACCGACGAAACGACCGAATCCACGGAGAACATCTCCCCTAATTTCTTGCAGTTGATCAAACCTTTGGAACTAGAATCCGCCAGCCGGTTGTCTATGTACTCGGTTAATTCCTCGCCAGCGGCGATCATGGACGCGAAATACATCGATTTAACGGCCGAGCGGCTGAAGGCGGGCGTGTTGAATTTCTTGTACATCCTCCAGTCGTCGCCCCGCATGAAGGGCAGCATGAAAGTGCTGATGTCGCCCGGCCTCCGGGCGAAGGCGTTGTCGGTGAAATGGTGGAAGTCCCTGACGAGGACGTTCCGCGCCAGCTCCAGGTCTTTGACGAGCAGCACGGGCTTGTCGACGAGGAAGACGCCCACGTAGGGCCCGTCGCAGCGCCGGTAAAAGTCCGCCACTTGCTCGCCGGGGCATTTTTCGAATTTCAGCACGTCGATGAAGTTTCCTACTAGGATGTTGGGTTGGAAGAACGGGATTCCGCGGCGTTTCCAGTACTTGAAGTTCCTCGATAGGTACGCGTATAGGAGGAGTAATAGGGCTAGTAGGAATAGAGGAATGTCCAGGAGAATGCTGTTTGTCACTAACATGGCTGGAATTGTATGTATTAATGTAATTTCGATGTTATATAAGTGTTATTAACTTACCTAAATTATTCTTATCGACGCCAATAATCGAATGCGAATAAATTCGCGAACGGTCTATTGCATTATTATATAAATGCTCTCGATGCAATCGAAACCATGCATTTAGGAATTAATTATTTTGATTTGAAGGACGTCGGTTGATTTATTTGCTTATCATGACTAACATTTTAAAAAAGTCCAATTTGAATATCTAATTGCGTTCAATTAGAGACTATTTGTGGGATTATTTATCGGCGATTTCAGCATACAAAACAAAGGTCAAATAAAAACTTTATTGAGAAAAAAGGAGGTAGAATAAACGCACAACAATCCAATAAAATATTAAAATTAAATAAAAAAACATACAAAAAAAAAGTTCGTCATAATACATCTTCTGAAAGTACGAGTAGTTCTGCTTTAAATAATATATAAATTAATAGCTGCTTATTAAGTAAAATCGGGGCCAAATTATATACATATAAAAAATATTAAAATAATATCAACATGGTTATCACTTAATTTCCCTAAGTAGAGAGCGTATTAAACTTCTCAGTATTATAAAATTAATGTTATAAAATGCATTCATTTACGGTAACACTCGCTGTGCAATTTCTCGACAATTTTACCATCATTAAAAACCCACACGTTCTCTATTCATAAAAAATTATTATTATTCAACCACGTACTCATCCTAAACAATCGGTACAATAAAAGCCCGGCCTTTTACTAAACAGAGAACGATTCGACAACGCCGAGAGCCCAGCACAGCGAAATTCAATCAATTTTTTCTTATAAAATCTACCTAATCATTCGAATAATCATCGGTCCACCTCAACTCCGTACACCTAACAGCAGACGCCACCCCGGCCGCCCCACCACCACCGCCGCAGAAGAAATCGTCATCGAACGGATCGTCCTCCCTGGCGAAGATGTCCACCGATTCCGATTTCCTCACGCCCGCGTCCCCGCCCGACGGCCGCAAATTGCTCGAAAATCGACGCCTCCTCGTCGACGGCCTCCTCGTCCCGTTCGCCACCCTCTCGAAACGATCCACCGCGAATTCGTCGTTGTCCTCCTCCTCCAGGTCCTCCTCCCTGTCCGCCTCCTCCTCCTTGATGCTCGATATGCCGTCCTCGTGCGGCGGCGCCTTATCGCCCGGCGAGAAATCGTCCTCGAACCGGTGCGACTTCGCCTTCTGGTGGTACCTCGGCGACGCCGCCGCCTTCGACACCACCACCGGTCTCGGCCTAAAAAAATCCAATTACAATCAGATGCGTTATAACCTCACATCGACTCACCTCTCCATAGGCGACGATTTATCCGAATCGCTTTCGAAGTTCACCTTCACCGCCGCCCCCTCGGCCCTTTCGACCTCTCGGGGCGCCACGAAATCGTTCTCGAACGCCGACCGGGCGCGACTCGCCGCCGCCGTCGCTCGCCGCGGGAACGTACTCGTCGCCTCCGGCTGCTTGCGAATCGACGCCGAAGCCGCCGCCGGCGGCGCCTTCTCGACCTTCAGGCGGTGCGGATGGCGCGGCGACGTCGCCGCCGCCTCCGGTTTGCGCCGGTGCAACGACGACGTCGTCGCCGACGGCGGCGGCTCCGAGTACTGCGAGTCGCGGCTGCGCGACCGCCTCGTGGATTTGTGATGCCTGTCCCGCTCCCCGTCGCTGCCTCCTACAAAACAAATAGCTTACTTAGAGAAACAATTACTACGAGTAAGAGTATTTTTTACCGGTGGCGGGATGATGTCGCGATTTGATCTCGCCCGTTTTCCTGTCCATCTCCGAGGCGCTGCTCGGCCTCTGTTTCCAGTTCCTCTTGGCGGCGGGGCAAGAGACGAATCGCGGCGATTCGTCGGCGTCGTTCGAGTACTCGTCCTCCCACGGGGACTCCTGCGAATCCTTGCTGTAGTACCGTTCGTCCGGCTGCTCGCGGTCCCTCCGCCTGCCGCTCCCGTAACCCCGAATTTTATCTAAACCGGTTCCATGCAATGTTAGTTAGCTCGTTCAACAGATTCGTATCGTTTTGATTAGTACCGTGTTCGGTCTGCTCCCAATCGGGACAACATCGCCTGTCTCGCCCGTCCCTCCTGCGCTTGTGTCGCCTGTCATCGACGCGATCCTCGCGCCATCTATCCAAATCCCGATCCCTACTGCCCGTGCCGTGTCTACTACCGTCTCTGTCGGTTTCGCGGGGCACGTGGCGCTCCGACCAATGCCTCGATAGATGATCATCTTCGTACCTACAACACACAAAATAAATACATACATAACAAACGCAATCGATCCTTTATTTACTCGTAATCTTCGTCTTCGTCCCAACTATCGGTCAGCCTTCTGTCTCTTCTCCTATCGAACGAACGCCCGGAGCCCGCGTGCCGGTAGGCCGAGCCCCTGCCGTGCTCTCTCAGTTCCCGCCTGCGCGGCTCCTCCTCCCACGGGCTGACGTCCCGCGAGCTCGACGAGTGCCCGCCGCCGCCGCCGCCGCCGCCGTGTTGCCAGCTGCTCGGCATGCGACGTCGCCGCGGCCTGTCGTAGCACTCGTAGTACTCCTCGTCGTAGCTGTCGGTCGATCGCCGGTTGGCGGGACAGTAGCGGCCTGAAATAATCAATATACGAAATAGAATATAATCCCCGATTTGACTTTCTAACCGCAAAAAAAGATGTTGAAAACTGTCATTAGTGTCAATCCGAGACAAAATATGGCCGCGTTTTTTTATTCTTAACGATTACATCGTATAAATTCACGCTGCAGCCAGATAAAACAAGTGTTATTCTAATACTTATACTTAAAGCCATCTTAAACCATTTAAAAAAAACGGTAAAAGCTAACTTGAATAAAAAAAAAATGCAACCAATAATCCCGAATTCAAACGGATTAAAAACTGTCAATAGTGTCAAATCGGAACGAAAGTTCGAGAATTTTTGCGACGTTGCCAACATGTCATCTTGTCAAATTGACGCGTTAATGTGACAAATCGTTCGAGCACACGGTTGCAATTCCTGTCACATTTACGTTAATACGCCCAAATGTTCGAGCATATAATCGATTATTTCTCTTATAAATCTCTTATTTTTTTTGATATTACCGTCCGGTTCCGCCGCGTCGTTGGCGTCCCACCATCCGTCGCGGTCCCTCCTCCTCGTCCTCGGCAAGGGATCGGTGCCGCTGCCAGAGTCCTTGCTGCGCCATTCGGGCGGCGAGCCGGCGCCGAATTCCTTCGAGTCGCTCGACCACGGCGAGGCGCCCTCCTCGCTTTGCACGGGCCGCTTGTCCTTCGACGCGTCCGCACGGACGGCGTCCCGATCGAATATCGCCCACGATTCGCCTGAAATAAAATTCGCTAAATAAAATTCGCTTTATAGTAATCTAGATATAAATTATACCGGTGACGTCGTCGATTTTCTTCCCCGGCTCCGAATTGCTGGCGGTGTGATCGATTTCGGGCGAGCTGCCCGAAATCACGTCCGACAGCGAGCCGGACGTGAGCCGGGCGTTGTTCTGCACCATCTCGGCGATGACGTTCGGCACGGGGCTCTTGATTATATTCGATTTAACCGGCGATTTGACCGGTATCGTCGCCGGTTTCTTCTCGCCGACGTCCGACATCTTGTGCTCGCCCAGCGAAATGTACTCGATGATTTTCTTCTCGTTCTGTTCGTCGTCGTTAACCGATCGCAGCTGTTTCTCCTGATTGATGATGTTCAATTTCTCTTCTATATCGCGCGTATCCACCACATCATCCTTATTATCCGGCTCGTCGACTCCCTCTTCGCTCTGCTTCAGCTCGTTCTCGACGATTTCGCGCAGAGCGGCGTACCGATCGACTCGTTCGCTCGGAGGCTTCGCCTCCGATTCCGCCGGTTTCGGTTTCTCTTCGACCGCCTCGGGCGTTTCGGCCGCCTCCGCGCGACCTCTGCCGATCTCCTCGCGCATCAGCTCCCTGAACACGGCGTACCGATCGTACGAAGCGTCAGAGCGCGACTCCGTCGCGTCGAAATCCGCCTTGAAGTCGGCGAAATCGGCGAACGGATCGCCTTGCGAGTGGGCGGCGGGCGGCGGTTTGGCGGAGGAGCTCGATCGTATCAGCTCGGAGAGGTAATCGGTGAGTTGGGCTAGCGTCATATTGCTCAGCTGCGCCGCCGGTACGTTGAGTTTACTGGCCAGCTCGCTCAGACCGGTGAGCGTGAGCTGGCTGAGCGTGATGTCGAGGCCATCCAATTCCGTCGTTGTATTCACCTTAAAAACGCCACGCTATTAACCGTGAGAATCGTTAAAAGCCAAAATACTCACCTTATCACTAGCGCTAAGAGGCGGACCGGCCCCGTTCGACAATCCTTCGGCGGATCCGGCGCTTTTGGCCGCCTCCACGGGAGTGAGGTACCCATCGTCGGCGGTTTTCTCGGGTCTCGCGGGGCCGCTCCCTTCGAATTTCCATTTTCTATAAGGCGCCGGCAGCGGGGGACCGCCCGCGGCGTCGTCGCCGGTCGCCGGAGCCGATTCGCAAGCGCCGAGAAACTCGTAGGGGGACGAGGAGCCGCCTTCGGGCCTGATAGGTCGCGGAGGCGGTCGGTTGGCGGCGACGCCCGACTCGCCGGCGCTCTTCTTCGGCGGCAACGGCGGCGGTTTGATGCATATGAGTTGGTTGGAGGGGCGCGGCGGCGGTTCGGGGGCGTCTTCTCCTCCGTCGTCGGTCGATAGACGACTGTGGAATATGTCGGTGGGTTTGTCCGAATCGATTTTGGTGGTCGAATTGGCGCGGAGATAACCCGGCTTGTCGGGGGATCTGGATGAATCGCCGTGGAAGGAATTGGCGTTTTGTTTTTTGAAATTGGCGAACTCCGTTTCGAAGGGGTCCTGCTTGGAGAAGTCCGAATCGGCGAAGGGGTCCTCCTCGACGAAGGGGTCCTCGCCGAAGGGATCGGAGGCGAAGTCGCCGGGCGGGGGAGGCGCCGCCGAGGCGGCGGCGAAATTCGTATCGAAGAGGGGCTTGTCCTTGGTGGCGCCGGCCACCAGGTCGTTGAGCGCCTTCTTCGGGGGGTTTTTCAGCTCTTGAAAGAAATGCTTTCGGTCAATGTACGGCCTAACCCGACCCGTACCTACGGTAAAATAAAATCACCTTTTTTTTCTCTCTCTGTCGCTCGATTATTAGTGTACGTGTGATATTTCTTTTGTCGAAAAGCAACAACTATTCAAACACCTACACGAGCAGTCGATTTATAAAACAACAATAATCCGATTCGTTTTCAAACCCAAGTAAACGAATCGACAAGACAAAATAAATCGAATAGAAAAAAAACATAATTTTATTTTACCACAGATAAAAATAAAATAAGCAAACCGGACTGACTAATTAAATTAAATAAGAATCCATACAATGCGTACATGTACATTCGTAATGCACACGGAATTACATGCATTTCAATCCAAAATACGTCTCAAAAATAACATTTATTTCATAGCTAGATAACAAACAAGCTCCAGGCCATTATACACGGCGTTAAACTATTCTACCAACAAATAATCCTTACATTAGTAGTCAAGCATCGATAAATTAACACGAAATAGCTCACCTAAGGGATCCAGCTCGGTAAACACGTCGAATTGGGACAGAATCTCCCGCTTGGCGCGCTCGTGTTTCTCGTCCCTCGAAGGCTTCGCGAGCTCCTGCGACACTCCGTCATCGCCCGAAGCCACCGCGAACCAATCGGAACCCTCGTCGTCGCGGGAACCGCTCAAATCGCTCGAAAACGAAAAGTCCTTCTTCCTCTCCCTCGTCGGAGCCTTCCCCGTCCTGGGCGTTTTCGGGCTAAACACCGAACCGGACTCGGACGTCCCGCGACTCGAGCGCTCCCTGCCGGTCGAAGGCGGCGGCGGCAAAATCGGCCTCTAAAACAAACCGGCGTTTAGTTCGCAGCGAAACGCCGCGAGAAACACAAATCGATTGGGTCTTACTACGGGCAAAAATAGGCTTACGGGCGGGTAAACGGTGAAGCTGTCTCCGAACGGATCGTCTTTGGCACCGAACGGATCCGCCGACGACGGCGTGATCTTCTCCATTTGATTGAGCCCCTGCTGGAGACTGTTCAACTCCAATTCGAGGTCCACCAAATCGGCGACGGCCGCGCCCGAGGCGTTCGCTCGTCGTTCGTTCGCCCCACGATTGGATTTACTATCCGAAGACAACGTCGATTCGACCGTCGTGACGGGTAAACTCGGCGAGGCCGAGCTCTGTAACTGTTTCAATCGCAATTAGAATAACAATAGGAGTGTTTCGGTTCGTGTATGTATACCTTCGAGCAATCGGGGAATAACGGAGAACTCGTATAGTAGTTTTTTTCTAGGTGTTGTTTGGCCAATTCGATTTCTTTCTTCTTCAACGCGAACACGACTTGGAACAGATCCCTCATGGCGATCACCACCTGGCTGGCGGCCTTGTCGGTTTTGATGCCGAAGAATCGATGGCCGGTGTCGGGCGAGCCGAATATGTACCCGAAGGCCCTGGAATCCGTCATGTCCTGGGCGATGAACGAGATTTTGTGCACCGGGTGATGGTACAAGGAATCCTACGGAACACACAGGGCTAGATTCGGAAGCTTTTGTACGCTTTATAGAGTACTTACTCCGGTTTTTTCGTCTCGTAATCTCAAACCGTCGATGGCCACGTTGACGGTGATCCTTTGCTTGTGCTCGCCGGCAGCCCGGATGGCCATCTTTAAATCGGAGAGGGCTTCTTGGCACATCCGGTCGCCTCTGGCTTCGGCCACTTCCAATATACCTATCAGCTTGGCTTTGAAGCAGACACCGTCGCCCAGAAAACGAGTAGTTTCGTTCTTATCTAAAAACAAACCGCAACGATACTGGTGAATTTTTCAAACGGTTACTTTCGAACGGGTTGTACTTTCGAACGAGGCAACACGAATACTACAACAAAACGGAAAAACTTACATTTCATAGGACTGGTTTTCTTTCTTAGGGTTTGCATGTTTACCGATTTATTAAAAAATTAACTAAAATACTCCGCTCACTAACCGGCGCCCGCTGATCACAATTTGTATCACATTTAATTGACTGGTCATATCCTACGCGTGCACCTCTTCAACAAGCTTATTTCCGGCGGGGAATTTCGTTAGAATTGCTCCGTTTCGTTGAATGCATTATTAAATTGTACTAACTTCATATCGATCAAAGTAATCCATTGATCTACCCACGTTCAGGGGTGTAGCATGGGGATGTTAGCTGAGCGACACCTAGGGCATGCTCAGAGGGTTGACAGGCGAATTTATCGATTCTCCCGGCGTAATTGGATAGACATTCGCGATATTAACTAGTTTTATTACAGATTAGAGTACGTTTAAGGGTGGATTAAAATTAAATGGCACGATTATTTTAGTTGTGTACTTTTAGGTGAACTTGGACGAGTTTATTCATGTTTTTTTATGGTGGGATAAAATAATGAATTAATACGATACCGTTCGATTGAGTTACCATATTTTCTTTAGCGTCGGATTATCTTTTATGTAATAAACATTTAAAGTTCAGTTTGTTTATTTTGGATGTTACACTGACATTTCACCGCATAAACTTTTGGAATTTGGCAACAAATAACAATAATGTTGACATTTGACAGGAATGACATAATTATATTGCCTAACTGAATATCACTTTAGTTAGAGTCAGTTAGTAAAAAGAAGAATTTGAATTAATTTGACATTTCGTGTCAACATTGACAGGAAAATTTTGTAAAATACAAAAGATTGTGAAAAATATAAATAATTTACAACTTCTTTGCAAAAAAAGCAACTAACAGCGAAAATGCCAGTTAAAAACGACGAACCCACCGATATCGAATCGAATCAACCTCGAGAAGGACCAAACGAAGTAAGAGAACTGACTCAAACTGACAAATTGAACAAAAGATTATTGGAATCGTTTCTGACTAGAATAAATCAAAATAACACCAATTTCAACTTCGATAAAAAAGACTCCGACGACGGCGACGACAATTTCGAATAATTGGCTGTCAAATCGAAAAAATAACATAACCTATATGTTAAGTGGTAAGGCGGGAAAGTGCTTGTCGATCTGCGATCACGACCTGTCTTTTTAGTTGTAATTCTGCTGTAACATAAATAACAATGCTTTCTGATAACGAATCCGTAAATAGTTCGCACGATGGTGATATACCAAGCGAAGAAGAAGAAACACAAAACGACGCTCCCCTTGAAAACGAAGCCCCAGAAGGAGAGGCCCAAGAAGCTCCGGACGATGACAAGTCCAAAAAAGTAGTAAAACCGAAGAGAATTTTGAAATATCCTCGCCCGAAATTCGACGAACACACACTGAAAACTCCAAAAGGCTTGCAGGCCATCAAAGGCCACTTCCAAGACTTCGAACCGAAAGGCAAAGGCTACGAAGACAAGGATTTAAATGCCATTATAAAACGTTACGAATATTGGTGCCACAGATTATATCCTAAATTTACTTTCGACGATACCATCGAACGATTAGAAGTGCTCGGAAACCGGAAAGCTACAACAGTAAATATAACTCAACGATTTATATTATTAAAACATTAACTTTTGTAATCCATTTTCAGACTTACTTGACTCGCATTAGAATGGGTTTGGAGAGTTCCGTGGAAGAGGAGAAGGCTCTGCTGAGCGATGATGAAGCATTGAATTCGGAGTCTCTCGATGATCAATTCGACAAAGTGGCCTCTGATAAAGACGATCCGCAGCTAACCGAAGAGCAGTTGAGGATAATAGAGGAAAGTAGGAAGAGGGCGTTGGAATTGAGGAAAGCTAAGATGTCGAAGGTTAACGATTCGGTGGTTAGCGAAATTTTGAATGAAACCGGAACGGACGAAAATGAAGAAATGGATTTGGATAATATGCTAAAAATGGTCAATGACGATTCGAACGGAAATAGCGAAGAAGTGATTGCGAATGCGAGGTTATCTCAAACAAATTCTGTTACTGCTGGCACTAACGAAGGCCATTTGAACGAAAATAGTGATATTACTCATAAAAAACCGGTTTTATTCGATGATGACAGTAATAGTTCAGATGCTTTGATCATAGATACAACTCGAGTGTCGAATGACTCATTTAGAAATCTAAATACGGAAGATACCAGTGACAGTAATAGTCCGGAAAAATTCAATGAAAATGCGGAGAGTGATGAAGAAATCGTTTCGGCCAAGGGAAAAAGGAAAAGGGCTGTAATTGAAAGTGATTCAGATGATTGAGGCCTTAATGTTTGCTTCATTGTTAAAGGTAGCATTGCTATTGTAAAATTATTTTTTTAACAATTAGGAATATAAGATTCAAAATGCCTACGATATATACGATTATGTTATTTTTAAATATTAATAAAAAAAATTAAATTATCTAATCATTTTATTATTTTAAATCACATGTTTTATACTCTAAAGCTAAATAATAAAATATTATGTACAATGATCGAAAGCACAAAATGAAACTTTGCTGTTTTGCCATTTATCTCGTGTAGACCATAAAAAAATCAATTATTTTCACACTTTTACCCTTCGCAAAAGATGCAAATATAATATTTCAATGCTGCTATAAATGTTTTTTTTTCTATCTACAAGGGTCAATGAGGACTAGAGGAATTACAGATATCGAGGGAAGAAATTTCCTTGCCATTTACGTGTACAACAGAAATTCTTTACGACTTATCAAATAAAAGTTACTAAAAACATTCGTAACCAATTGAAATAAGTTTCCAAAACAAAACAAAATCTAGTTTATTCAAGAGCTACAACGAACCCCGAGACGTTTCAAAATAACAATTTCGATTTGGCAATCGCAATGGAAAAACTGGGTTTGCTCAAAAAAAAAATATACCAAAACGAAACGTAATTATATCAGTACGGTAACAGTTGTACGAAGCCAGTCAGCCAGCCAGACCTTTACTAAAACTCCCAATAGTACGAATATCGCGGTGAAATCGAAAAAACCAAAAAAAAACGAATACAACGACACTAAATGGCGTTCGGAATTTCCGGTATGAGCGACGCGAAAAACGTCGCGAAAAACGTCCAAACGATCATGAAACGCGACGGCGCCCGATCGCCCTCCTCCTCGCCGGCCGCCGTCCCGCCGCCCCTCGGCGCCCCCTCCACGTTGTTATTGTTGTTGTTCATGTTCCTGAAGAACCCGATCTGGTAGAGGTACAGCCCGGCGCCGAGCAGCAGCACAAACAGGAACCTCACCGGGCTCGAATAGAAGTAGATGACGATGAAGAGCACCGTCGCCCGCGTCAGCATGTAGAACACCTCCAGCCAGTCGCGCTCCGGGTTCACGTCCGGGTCGCGGGCCGCCGCCGGCCCCGCCGCCGCCGCCGCCGCCGCTTCCTCCGGCGCCGGCTGCCTGTGCTGGGCGTCCCCCGCCTCCGCCGGCGTCGCCGCCGGTTGACCGGCTGCTCCATACGAATTAGCAGCACTGAAAACACACAAAAATCCATCGTTAATCCTTCGATTGAAAGCTATCGAAAAGCACAAATTTCTTGAACTTTTACTCGTCTATTCTACCATCTTATAGATCTCAACGAAAGGATTTTAGTGGTGCTGACAAATCAATTTTATAGCATCTACTGAAAACACACAAAAATCGATCGTTAATCCTTTGATCGAAACCTCTATCGAAAAGCACAAATTTATTCTCTTGAACTTTTACTCGTCTATTCTACCATCTTATAGATCTTAACGAAAAGGATTTTGGTGGTGCTGACAATCACACAAATCAATTTTATAGCATCTATCCACCTTTTATAACCTTTTACAATTCAAATTTAATTTAACGACAACGAATCTTGCATCTAACTGAAACAACTTTCACTCATACTACTACTACTTTGTTAATTCAAATCAATTTCGACGCTTTCTCCAGCACCGAGAGCTTGTCATAAAATTACATAAGATAATTGCGCCCGTTACGATTCGAATAAAAAACAAAAAATCGCTCTTACAGTTGCATGTATTGCGCCATGTACTGGAAATAGGCCTGTTGCATCCAAGCCATTTGCATGGCGTATTGATTGGCGTCGATGTTGCCGTTGTTTAGGTTGAAAAAGGGGGCGTTCGTGGGGCCTTCGGTGGGCCTGGAGGGGCCGGCGTCGGTGGGTTGGGGGGCGGCGGGCGGCGGCGTCTCGTCCGCATTTTGGGGTTGGGCGGGCGGGGTGGATTGGGCGACCGGTTGGGCGTCCGGTACGGTTTTTATGTATTTCGAGGCGCACACGAGGTGCACCGTGTGGGTCTCCTGGCCTTCGTACTGTCTCAGGATGTCCTTCAAGGTGACCGAGTCGTTCAGTAGCTGGCCCGAGTAGATTAGTTTCTGTTCGTGCTTGGGCTATAAAAAAAATGTTTAATGTTAGAAGTGGCGGTAATTTTTGATTGTTTCGAGTGATAAGGTCACGGTATTAATCGATGACATTGATACATAAATAATGTATTTTTCTCGAATCATCGATAATAGTAATTACTTAAACAATATCTTTTGTGTTCATAAGCAAATGAATATTGATGATACTGATATGATATAATTTTAGATAATTAAATGAACAATTTCTTTATCTTTGCAATATTAAAGCAAAATTTTTACATATTTTGAAATAATTCTCTAGCCTTGCGAAATTCTAAATTAGTAAATATTTGCATAAATTTTTGCTAAATTTCATTGCTATTTCTATTATTAATCATTGGAAATTAGCAAATCGCTATTTTCTTTAAATAAGTACATTTATGCATAAGTATTTTATCTAGTGCATACTTGCAATTAAGCAATTTAAAAACCCGTAGAAAAATTAAATTGGTAACATGAACAAAGTTCAATTGAGCATAATAAGCGTAATTAAATTTGACGAATTGTTTTGGAGACAACATCGAATATTTTGATTATTACACGTAATTGTTAGTAAATCGACTATAAACCAATTAACTTACTGGTTTGCTAGGGTAAACTTCTGATAAATGTTGCTTTAATTTTCTAATCGTCCATGTAATTTCGCATTTTATCGTCTGATCTTCGATTTGTTGATTTGGAGCCTTGACTATTAGCGTAACGAACGAATCCATATTAATATCTATTTACATCAACTTATATAAAACTATTCACTAGATATTAGCGTGTCTCTCTGGCTTTTTACTCGCAAATCGACTGACATTATTTTCTACATTATCAATAAAAACACTTCGTTTTCTGTCAGATATCGGCCATATTTACTTTTACGGGTTGTCTGTCGGCACGTCATTGGTGGAAAATTACTTTTGACACTTGACGTACAGATGTTTTACCTCGACACTTGGCAACGTCGCGGAACCGCTCCTGAAGTTAATCTAATAAAATTCAAAAAGGGTCAGGAATAATTACGCTAATAATTAAAGAATATATTAAAAATTAAATAATCACATTGTTTTTTTCAAACGAAAAATACTTTTTAAACGTTCAGAATAGAAGAGGCTATCAAAATCAGTCTTGAAAACTGCAAAGGGTAATTGATACTTGTCTATTTTTGTTTTTTTTAGCCGCCGCAGGTCTGCAGGATGCTAGGGAGCGTAAAATTGTGAAACTTAAAACTTGATTGACATACAGACCGGAAAATCTGAAACAATTATAATCACAAAAGAGTCATTTAACTGATTTAAACGATAAGAACTCACAACAACTTATTCCAATGGGAACCAAACGAATCCGTTCAAGTTTTATACAGCAAATACTCTTTTAACAACTTGGGTAAAGGCAAAGACAGCACAGCTTTCTTAGTTATGTGTTGCAGGATGGCATCTCGACAAGCCGATTGTAAAGTAGGAACTAATAAAAAGAACCCTCGTTAGTCAATAATACTCAAAAAATTAATCAATTCCTCGCTCACCTGCATACAACTGAATAATTCTAACTTTCTTAGTAGCCCCGTACACGTCTACAACGACGTGTAGCGGCGCTTGAGTAAAAGGAATGCGCTTCACGCAGGCCCCTTGATCCTCCCCGTTGATGATATAGTGCATATCGGCTTGCAAATCGTTCGTCGGAACGTACATAACCCCGATCCTGCTACCCGTGTCAGTAGGCAAGATATCGCCCAGTCTGGACGGTTTCAGGAGATTCAAGGGCACCGTGCCGCTGCAGGTTTTGAAGAAGTTCCCGTTATCGTCGACCTTCTTCGAGCCCGGTATGATCCACTTCATGCCGTTCTCCTCCTTGTACTCGAACACGCAGTTCTGCGCCTTGCTGATGCCGTATATCCAGGAGGTGCCCATGTCGGCCAAGTGGGGCAGCGCGTAGCTGGGAATCGAGCCCGTTTTGTAGATGGTGAGAGGGTCGAGTTGCGTGAGGCCTAATCTCATGTGGCCGCTCCAGCCCGTTTCGTACTGTTCGATTTCGATGAGGAAGATCTCGCCGGGGGCCAGGGGCTTGTCGCTGAACGTGATGGCATCGGCGAAGCTCTTCTTCCTGTAGGCGACGGTGTTGTCCTCGGATAGGACGATGTTCTTGCCGTGGTAAGGGTGAAATCGGGTTATTCTGTTGTTCGACATACTCGCTGGTGAAAATCAATAACGCGACTGGTTCACAAGAAACTCTAACGTTTCTTACATGTTGCAATGCGATATGCGAGGCTTTTGATTTATCAATTTCACGGGATTTTCGCGTATTTTCGCCACGATTTGTGGGTTTTTATTGTTTGATTTGTTGTTAGTTTTAGATCGAAGTGTTTACTTGTATTTATCTATGACAGAATTGATTGATGTAAATGACAACATTGTCATGTGTCAATTTTTTTCGTAAAAAAAAGTAAAGTAACCAATAACCAACTATATTCAAGACCATTTGAAAAAGTAGAAACGTCATATAATTGACATATGATGTATTCTGATTGTCATTTTTGACACATTCAAATCACAACGAAAAAGTATTTTTTATGTATATAAAAGTTTGTTTTTTAGATCGATAAGCATGAACATTACGTGCACCATTTGCAGCGAATTATTCATAAACTCTTCCGACATTTATTTCACTCAGTGCGGTCACGTTTTCCACTACACTTGCCTCCTTAACTGGCTGGAAAGGTGTTTGTTTCGCCGCTTAGTAGCTAATCTTCTCGTTAACTCGATTATATTTCCCTGCAGGTCGCGGACATGCCCGGAATGTCGTACGAGGACCACCCAAAAAACCATACACAAAGCCTACTTCAATGTCTCGACTCTCGATCAAACCGCAGACCCTGCTACTTTGCTACACAAAATAGACAATTTGAATTTTTCCTCGACGTTGAAAGACAAGGAGATTAAAAACTTTAAAGAAGCCAGCGAGAAATTGACTGAGAAGAACAGATTGTTGAGGGAAGAAGTGGCCAAGTTAATGGATAACGAGAGAAGTTTGGTGTCTTCCACTCATATTTTAAAAGACCGCTTGCAGCATTACAAATCGAAGGTGAAGGAGACCGATAAGCTGGTCGAAGAGATATCCAATTTGAAGGGCGTTATTAGAAGTATGGAAAATGCGGAGAAAGTTATTCACGGAACGAGGGCGCAGGTCGAAGATTTGCTGAGAAACGAGCACAATTCCGATGCCTTGGCCCTGTTAGCAGCCACTTTAAAAAAGTACTCGAAATAATTATTAATTGTTTCTACTTCGATATTAACTACGTTTGAAATTGGTTTGTTATAGGGCTCTTTTGGATTCCGAAAAGAAAGCTAGAGACCTGGATTACAACTTCAAAAAGCTGAAAAACGAATACGCGAAGTTGAATAGAACTTATACCAAAGCAGAAGCCGAATTAGTGGATGTTAGGTAATATTCAGTAAGAGTCCACAAATTTATATTCCTAAAATGTTGTGGATTTATTATTAGGAAAAAATTGCTGGACATGAAAATCAAAAACGAAAGTAAAGCTTTAAGAAAGAGGCAGAAATTATCTGAAGAAAATAACATCATTCTTACTGATCCCGAGAAGGATAATGCCTCCTTAACACCACCATCAGAATGTGACTCCACAGTCCAATTGTACAGTAACCAAAGCAAAGACATTAGCTTAAATGAATCTCTAATCATAGTAAGTTTGTTATATACAAAGGGAAATCTTCATTTAACCAATTATCCTGTTTATTTAGCCTAAACAAGCGGAGAATGTTACAAACGTAGTCAACGCAGATTCCCCGTATTTACCAGTAAAAAAAAACAACTACGGATCTCTTACTTTAAATAAGCTACCTCTAAAAGAAAAGGTAATTGTATATATTTAAAAATGATCAATTATTTCTAATCGAAACTCTTCAATTTTTCTAGTATTCTATATTCAAGTCGAGCCAGCACTTGTCGGATACTAAAGTAGAACCGAAGAAGGACATATTTTACAACGGCTTGGGAGCATCACAGAAAGAGGATAAATTTCCTTCGGCCAAATCTACTGGAAACGGTTCGAAGAGAAAACCCAATTCCGGTTTATTGCCGTCGAAGAAATTCAAGAAACTCGCCCCTACCAGCAGCTCGAATACCAAAATTACAGATTTTGTTGACTTGAGTGGTTAGCTACCACAGAAATTGCTATAATCATCGTAATTATTTCGTATACACTGTTTTCGAGAGATATTCTATGAACACAACAGTACTCTTACAGTGTACATTCGAGTTCAGGAAAATATTGTTCTACAACCAACATTCGCCTGACCCCGAGTACAACTTTGTTTATTTATTATTAAAACATTTTTCTTTATAAATGGATTTTTCAATTGATTTAAAATTCTCCACCAATCGTAGTAATCGATGCATTTAGGAAAGGCCAGTAAGAATTTAGTAGCTGGATAACCGAACAATCGTGGTCCTGGCAAATAATCGAAACTAGAAGAAATTCAACTGTTTTTTTTTAAACGAGTTCGAAAACTATTTAAAAGATAAAAAAGAATTAAAAAGCTCGAGGTTAACAAACTGTTCGTTTTCGAAATGATTTCTCCTGCCGTTTGGCTGCATTCGTGTAAGTAAATCGCTAAAGTAACCCTCTCTCGGCGTAATATTTGTTGTCATTTTTAGGGCTCAACGTAGGCCTTGTGGTTGGGAGCTGCTTAATAGTCGTCTTCGTGGTCGTTTTATGTATATGGTAAGCACTAGAATAATGTGGAAAATTATCGAATAATTGGCTTCTTCTATTCAAGTTGTATACCCAGAAGGGATTTCTCCCAAAGCGGTGTCGGAGTGCATTTGTTTAAGAAGCACTCGCGTTCGTTGGTTGCTGAAAAAAATAAAAATTACAAATCGAATGATTTGCTGGGCAATTTCGATTCGAAGGTCGAGGAATCGATAGAATGCAAAGAGATAAAGAGGTAGGAGCAATCCATCAATTGCAAATGAATAGTTCAAGTAATGCGAATTACTGGGTTTTTAGCTCTAATAAGACTTACTCCGATTTGGACAGCTACGATGATTATAAAGGAGATGCGGGGGTGTATTTGAGCAACGAGTCTTTGAGTAGTTTTTATTCGGTATTGCTTATGGGTTATTGTTATCAGGGGTTTGACTATAATTTGTTTATTTTTAGGCCTATCCTCTTACGATTTCCAAGTCTACATCGAGGGAAAGTTTCGTTAGCATGTTATCAGTATAATTTATTGATAACGATTCGATGGTGCATTTGTTCAATAAGACTGAACTAATTAAGCAGGAATTATCATCTTCCCATATAGTGGAATGTTATAGATATGAAAAAAGTTATTTATAGATGAAAATTCAGTCCTTTAATGTTATTTATTTATTCTTTTGTATACAAAAGATTGTCGTTTTTAAAGTAATTTAAATTAAAAAAGCCTTGTTAATTATATATTTTATAAATCATATAAAATAGTCTTTCATACTGTAAAAAATACATTAATAAAATAGTTATATTTACAATTAAAACATACAATAATTACACCTTTAACTAATACATAATTACATTAGTTTCGGTTGCATTTTTAAAGCTGTCAAGTCGAGAATTTTCCTATCGTCAAGTCCTCTACTTCTGGGCACAATAAAGTCCGGAACTTTCTCTTTAGACGGAATCAGATTGTATTTCTTCATGTATTCCAAACTAGCCAAAGAGAATTCCGGTCTGGGCGTTATAAAACCCCCAGCAGGCGCTTCCTTTTCGAAACCCATCTCCCTTTTCTGCAGTCGCTCGTTAGGCAAATACTTCATGAATAATTGCTGAACGGAGCCCCCTTCCGATTCGTCGCCTTCTTCGACGGGCCCCATGCTTATCCCTACGTTCTTTAAATGCTTCAACGTCGCTTCTTTGACTTTATTCAGCATCTTATTCTTGTCTTCGTCGACTGTTTTTCGATCAGTTTCCGCGTTGGCATTCTTCAGCATGTTATTCACTTGCCCCATTAGATTGTTGTAAAACGTAACGCCGATGTCCGAGGAGGATTCCTCATCGGAGGAGCTATCGAAATCGTTCATATCGATGTTGATGCTAGGCTGGGGGCTCGGGCAAGGTTCTCTCACCCTTAGCTGTTCTCCCAGTCGAATGGATTGGTCTAGATTATCGGTTTTCACCGGAGACAAATCGGATTCGGTGATTTCCTGTATCTTGGGCTCGTGGTTCACGAAGTTTTGTTTCTGTTGGGCTCGTATCGGCATCTCCAGGCTGGTGGTGACGTTTATTGAAAATTTGGACATGCCCCACGTTCGCTGGTTGTCTTTGAAAATGCTGGCTTGCTGGGTTACCGTGTTTTCCTGTCTGAACAGGTTTTTTTGAGGGGTCGATAGCAGGTTGAAGTTCCTTTCTTCTACCGCTGCGCCTGTTTCGATCGATTTCGGAAAGTGTTTCTCCCTGTCTAGTAACAGCGCTACCTGAAATAATTACTCGGTGAAGGGTAAATTTACAATTGAAGTAAAGCAAGTACCTGTTTTTGGAGTAAAAGTAACTGTTCGTTTTGTTGTGCGATGATCTTGAGCAAATCTGCGTTGGAAGGTTCGTAGTCTTTTTTATTCTGTAGGGCTTTAGAGTGTTCGATTTCATCGGTGTTTGTTTGCGTTTCTGAGTCTTGCATACGTTTCGATATTGGTTCGAAATTATACCTTGTTTGTAAATCCTTATAAGGTTCTTGTCTGCTAGGTATACAAATTTGATTCTGTTGGTTTCTTTTGTAGTTGAAAATATCGGTAACAGAATCGTTGTGTTCCTCTTTTCTTTTCGAGACGATTTGCTTCTGCATGAGTAAAAATTCTTGGTACGATTTAGGTGTTGAGTTTTCTTTGTTCTCGCCTGTCGTGTGGGTTTTATTAGGGACATTATTGTCCTCAATTGTGTCCGAGTGCTTGGACATACCGTCTGTATCTTTCATAGGTTTGTTGTTAATTTCGTGCTCGATTTCTAAAAGGCTCAAATCCAATTTTCTGTCGGGAATGTTCGCCATGTATATTTGTTCGAAAGGTTTCGAACTCGTCGCTTTAAGTGAGTTTAATTTCTCTTTTCGAGCCATACTAGCTTCTCCGAAGTCTAAACCATTGCGATCTTTCGCCTTGTCGAGCGGATTACAATCGAAATTGTACTGGTTTTGCTGCAAAGGTGGGCTTTGAAATCTTACTTGTTTTTGGAAATTCCTGTAAGTGCCCGACGGTTGATGGTGTTTGGTGCTAATCATCGATACTTCGGGCACGCTTGGCTTGCACGTAAACTTATCAATCGATATCGGCTCGGGTATATCTCTTGGTCGCTCAAAAAACGAATCCATGGTTATCAAAATTTCAAATTGTATCTAACAGTTTTTCTTTTGAGGTTATGTTTATAGTTCTTCTATTTTATAATTGGCCTTCGTTGTTGCAGTTATTTGGATTTTCGTATGACAGTTGTGAATGTGTGAATTGAACGTTGCCACGTTGTCATAAATATTGGAGATAAGCTGAAAAGCGTAGGTTCGCAATAAACAACCACTTTTTCGCCTTTTAAACTTTAAATACCTTAAAATTTTACAAGTATATACATTTAATTATAAACAGAAGAATATATTAATGAAATTATACAATCTAATATTCAACATAACAAACATCTTCCACTACAAAACCATCGGTGGCCTTAACAATTTTTATTTTAAGGCAGTACGCATGATTTCATGGATAACAAATTTTGTTAGTTCTAAACGATTTTTAATCACATTACATATCATATACACGAGTGCGACGACTAAATAAAATCATATCGAGTAGTAGGTTTAATTTAATTTCGAAATTTTGTACTATTATATTTTAAAATCAACACGAGTATGGCACTTTATTAAAAATTTTCCATAAAAAAATAAAAATGGGACATTTAAAAAATAGTAATCTTCGGGAAACAACGAAGCTAAAATGCGCAAACGCGTCTTTATCGAAACTACGAACACGAAACAGACTACTCAATGGGAGGCAAGTTTTAATTCAACAAACTAATAAAGAACCATTAAAGTTTTCTACAGAGTACAGATAAACAAATTTTGAGTAATCTTGTGAGGCAAATAAATCGTTATTTAGCGGTTTTGTAGATTCACACAAAATTAACTAAACAATTCGAATCGATTAGTACAGTTTCCTATGATTAAATCGAATTCTCAAACGAGGAAAGTGTAACGGCGATATGATCAAAAACATTTGCAATTTTCCCTGCAATTAGATATTTTTGATCATTTCAAATTTGTACCACAATAAATATAATTTACAATTAATACTATTTAAAATCATCTATCGAATCTCGAATATCGTGTTTATTTTTGCGTGTGTCAAGATTCGTAGATTCATAGGTGATAATAATTGAATGAAAAATCGATTAATTTCAAAAAAAATGCTCGGCAGTAATGTATGTATAATTTAGTATATATTCGATTCGTTTATCTATCTATATATGAACACATTTAAATTTTTCCTTTTTTAAATACAAGCATTTTTTTTTAAATTGCACGCCCGCCATTTTAAATTTAACGCAAGCTCCAGCAAAGTACAGAAGAACGAGCACACAGATATTATTTCTCTTCTTAAGTTTAGTAAGACAAATAGCTTGCTATCGAAAAAAAAAAAAAATAAAACAGATGTAAGTTGGGGAGAAAACGTGGGCATCGATCAAGCATTTTTGCACGCATACTAAAAAAAAACCAGAAAAAAAAAAACACACCGTTCCTCCGACTTCGCTGTTATCCCGCCACTACGACGCGTTGATCACTCTCAAAAGATATTCGATAAAAAAATAGAAAAACAACAAAAGCACCGCCGCGAATCAAGAAACCATAGCACTGATCAGTAAATACAACACCATGCCGATCAACGGCATCACGTACCAGAAGAATTTGTTATAGAATCTGTTGCACACCACCTCGTATTGGCCCTGCATCGAGGCGAGGTCGCGCTTCAGCCGCAACTTGTCCTCGCTGACTTGCGCGAAACGCTCCTTGATCAGCACCAGCTCCTCCTCGAGCTGGGCCAGTTGCTCGAAAGTCACCACGCACTTGAGGAGATTCGGCTCGGCCGGCGACGCCGACGATTTCTCCGATGTCTCTTCGAACTTCTCCAGCCGCTCGTTCGACTGCTTCAAATTCCCCAAGGCGATTTCCAATTCTTGATTCACGCCGATCAACTTGTTCTACAAACAAATTAATAAGCGGGAAATAGTAAATCGAATGATTATATATACCTTTTGTTGTTGATTCTCGTTGCAACATTCCTTCCACTTTTGCCTCAACAAGGCCAGCTCTTGTTGTAAAACTTCGTTCTCTTGCAGGTAGTTTTTCGATACGGTCTGTTCGGTTTGTAAAGCCCTATCGAGCTCTTCGATTTTATTCCTATGCGCGCTCGCTATGGATTCCAGAGTTTCGATTTTGCTTTTTAGTTCGCTTTGTGCTACGTGGAATTGATATTTTAACGTTTTCGAATCGATTTCTACCTCGATCGAACCGTCCGTACAACTTTTGTTTCCCTACAAAATAATATTAAGAGAATTAATTCGAACCGGAGGGTCTCGTATTAGTACTTACATCGTACGATTCCGTTTCGTCGGGCATTTCGAATTTCACTCGTTTCGGTTCATCTTGAGATTCGTTTCTCAGATCGTTCGAGTTCTGCTCGTCCGCGTTCGGTTCTAAAGCCTTCTCGGATTCGTATTTTTCTTCGACGGGCCCCACCTACGGAAAACCCGATATCAATTCGATATATTCATATTGTAATGATTCTCGTACTTACAGTTAGGTTAATATGACTGCCCAAACCGTTCGATTGATTCAACAGAGATTCTTTTTCATCGTTATCGCAAATTACGCCCTTTTCGGACTTTACGTCGGCGTTGTAAATGAGATCCGATTGCTAGAAATATTAACACAGTAAATAGAGTATTTTAGTAGTTGTAAAATTCACCTTATCAGCTATAGATTCGTTGTTTTGTATTTTCGCATCGAAACAAGGGTAAATTTCTCGATCGATGAAAAAACTCTCTTGAGCTTCTAATTTCGCTTCTAATTCTTGTATAATTTGTTCTAATTTGGTCCTTTGCTCGTGACTTTCAGTTCTTTGTTCGCTGTACTTCCTCGCCAACTCCTACAAAAATGTTAGAAAACACCTTTAGTAACCCCAAAATGATCGATTAAACATCAATAAACCCGCCTCCAAATCAGCCTGTGCTTGACTCCACTGTTCTTTAGCCAACATTGCATCGTGCTCGGCCGATATCCTCGCCCTCTCCTGCTCCATCGCCATCGTAACGGCCTCCAATCGTTCCGCGTGCAATTTATCCAACGCCTCCTTCGCAGCCACTTGATATGTCTCCTTCTCGGCCTAAAAAATTCACCAAATCAATCCCCAATCGATCGTGCGAATTGATCCGATCCCCACCTGGAGTCTCGCCAAGCTCTCTCTCAGTCTGTCGTCGCCCGCGTTCTTATTGGCCTGTTGCAATTGCGTCTCCAGCGCGGACACTCGCGACAACAGGCGCTCCTCGCCGACATACGCTTGCCAACTCTCCTCCGCCGATTTCCTGGTCTCGTCCACGACGTGCTGCAGCGCCGACAGCTTCGATTCGAGGCATTGCTCGCGCTGGTTCGCCTCCTGCAGTATCTGGTTCAGGCGGTAGAGGTCGTCGAGGGGCACCATACCTGCGATGATGCGAGAATAAATTACTCGGTATTGGGATCGATCGAGGGTAGGGGAATTTACCCGGCATACCGCCTTCGTTGATCGGACTGGCTTTGGCCTCTTTCCCATCGGGCAAATAGAGCTTGATGGTGGCGATGATGCAACCGTGGGTGACTTTTTTGTTGTTCTCCACGACGTCGACGCCGAATTGGACTATATCGCCGGAGCTCAATTCGTGGATGCTGTTCTCCGGGTTTAACCTGCTGTTGTTAACGAACGTTCCGTTGCTGCTTTTGGTATCCTACAATATCGAGGTTTAGCCGTGTAGTGTTTGATAGTTTGAAATAGTAACAAACCTGCAGGTAGAAAATTCCGTTTTCATACCAAAGTAGGGCATGATGTCTGGATAGGACTTTGCAATCGAATATAGCGTTATTGGGCGTAGGTTTGAGCCTGGCTACGGACCTGCCCACTTTGGCGGGCTGATCGAGTACGAGGGTCCTGTCTTGGAAATGGTGCGAATTGGGGCGGCAAGTTAAAATCGCTTTGGGTTCCATTCTATCGGCGGTTATTACTACATCACTAATAACATTGGATGGCGGATAAGTGGCGACATTTTTTACCCAGTTACCACTTACTACAACCATTGCCTGGAAATTTTAGGAACGCGTTACGTGGAAATTGCGAACAATAGATCGTTTGTTAGCGGAGAAATCCGTGGGAAATCTTACCTAAAAACGCGACGTTATATCGTTGGAACGATCTCTTTCGTCGACTTTTTCATTTATAACAATACCAAACGAAACGTCAAAGTCGTGGGCGTGAATTTAGCAATAAATTCGTTATTAATCGCAGAAATTAAACGACAAATTAATTATATCACTAATCATCATCCGCACCTTTAAATTGAAGATATGTTGATCTTTGGTATCTCATTGTAACGTAACGAATTATTCATTTACATATTTATTGCTGACTTACATTTACATTACAGCGATAGTGATGTAAGCAGGGAAGTTTGTATTTCGTATTTTTTTAGTTTACAACTTGACTTTACTTGACATTCCACCACAAAGAAAATTCGGAAACGTCAAATGTCAATGATATAAGAAGAAAGTTTTCATTTGCGTCTAATTGCAAATACAGATCCGCGACGTTGCCGCTTTTATTACGTCAGTGTCAGTTCTAATTTGGCGTATAATTTACTGCTTTTTTCATAGACAAAATCTTTCTTTCTCTATGGCTTTTTTAATTTACAACGCAATTAACTATTAAAACCGTACGATTAGCGTTATTTAAATTAACTACATACCTATTTTTTTTCTGATGTCTACATCGATTACTACGCTTGTCAAGTTCTTTCAATTAATTCCATTTTTCTTTCAATACGTCTGATTTAGAAAACATAATCAAAATGATATCTTATTTCTCGTTGATATTTCGGTTTTGTTGCGTTTTCGACAGGTGAAAAATAGACGAAAATAACGAATCGATTTTTCCTATATGAAAAAAATCGATTTTACATTTTAATTTATGTAATCGATGATTGTGTAATGTCAAAATGAAAATGTCAAGCGAAAAACAAACAACAAAATCCATCCAATTGGGAAGTTACAAATAGAAACCAGTAAAATAAAAAATGTAGTGTTCACATCCAAATTTCGTTAGTAATAAGGCATTAATATTAAGTTACCATGTAAAAAAAACACAAAATCGCTCAAAAAAACAATGAATTATTCCGGCAATTCGCAAGAATCCAGCGATTCATCAGTTAAAAATTATACCTTTTCGCACCGAACTGGAACAAAGGCCAAATTCCGATTCCCATCGCCGCCTAGATTAACCCAAAGCGCTAATAACTCGTACAATTCCACCAACTCCGATAGCTCAAAATCGAGCGCGAGCAGCCTCAAATTGAGCAAAAGCTACAATCTGACCAAACGGCGGCGCAAACCGAAATTCAAGAAACTCCAACCGTTAGGCATTTACTGGGACATCGAGAATTGCCAGGTGCCCAAAAACAAGAGCGCCTCCGCTTTGGTCCAGAAGATCCGCCAGACCTTCCTCGAAGCCTACTACGAATCGGAATTTGTAGTCGTTTGTGATGTCAAAAAAGAAAGTTCGCAGGTCATACAGGAATTACACGATGCTCAGGTAACGCGATTAATGCGACTAAATCTAAGCAACCTTTGATTCATTGCGTTTTTAACAGGTAATGTTGGTACACGTTTCTTCTACATCGAAGAATGCGGCCGATGAGAAGCTAAGACAATCGTTGAGGCGCTTCGGGGAATTACATCCGGCTCCTTCGGCCGTTGTTTTGATATCCGGGGACATAAATTTCGCCTCGGATTTATCGGATTTGCGCTATCGAAGGAAAATCAGGGTTATTTTGGTGCACAACGTCAACGCCGCGGACGCTTTGATTTTATGCGCTAACGAACACCACTCGTTCACCGAGCTTATTAAAGATATACCGGAGAATAAAATAAAAGTTAGTTTTAGAAGGTTTCGTAAACGTAATTGTTTATTATGCGTTGTTTTAGACCCAACCGACTGTTCACGAAACTTCTTTTCTGACCGTTACTAATCTCCCGAAGAACTTCGATGTGATACGATTGAAAAACAGACTGCGATTTCTGATCGAGAATTGCGGAGGGAAAATTTTCAATATCGATACCTCGGAAGGGTCCGCTGTTATTAAATTTTCGAATTTGGATAACGCTCTTAGGTTTGTTTAAATTTAATTCGGTTTTCGCATAAAAGATCCTGAAAAAAATAGTTCACGTTGAATTAGCAACGCTGTAAATTTTTATCGCTTCCACACAAATGAATGGGTTTTGAATGTTTAGTGTTTTTTTCCTTCGAAAATCGACTGATAAAAGGTAGGGCAAAAAAGTGGTTTCGAATGTTCTCTTGTCGAATGCCGGGCACGTTTTATTTTAAGGAAGTGATTGTTAATTTCGAATATGGCACATTATAAGCCCTACGATAAGGACTATAGGTATTTATATAATCCATAAATTGAATGATTTACGTTTATTTCGTTTCCCGTGCAGGGCTCAGAGAAGGGTGCAGGGAGAAGATGTGTTCGGCAACAAAATCAAAACCTTATCGCCAATCGGACGGCGAAATTACGCAAGCAAAGGTAATATTTTTCACGTTTTAACACTCCCCTGTACAACCTGTGGTTTTTAGGTCAAAAATTGAAACAGCCCGAATCGCTGTATCACTCCTACGAGCAATTACCACCTCCCGGTTTCTTCACCACCAGCAATCAAAAAACCTCCAGGGCGGCCGAGAAATCCATCAAGGTAATTCACTTAATTAACCCTAATACTCACTACATAAAGTTAACAAACAACAACCCAACTATGATGACAACAAAGGCCGAGTTTGATTATTCTTCCTCGAGTCGAGCATCTCGATTACTCCTCGAAAGAATATGACGAAACTTCCAAACAGCGATACAACTGATTCCCTCATAACAACCAATAATTCTAACCCTTCTACATTCCTATTCGATAACATATCTATGCGTTAAAGTACCCCAGCAACTTCCAACTACCCCAAGTCAACGGCGTGTACCGCCCGTTCAGCGCCAACGCCACCCCCATGGAGATCGGCTACGAGTACCAGCTGTGGGGCAAGAACCCCGAGAAGAAGCCCTCGACGCGAATTCACAAGAGCTCCGGCAGCTCCGAGTTCGCCAGCGACGATCAAAGGGTACTTATAAACGCTGAGTTACCAACGGTAGCGGTACTACTGGGGTGTTTTTTTACAGCTCGGTTACTTCCACGAGACGTCCAAGGCTCCACAGGGACACCAAGTCGATCTCACTATAAGCAATTTGGATCCGAACGTGGAGTACAAGGAACTGAAGCAGTTGCTGAGGAACATGCTGAAGGATTGCAACGTGGTAAATGATGAATAACGGTTATAATTTCGAGTTTGATTAAAAGATTCGTGTATTTGCAGGCGAATAATTTTAGTTTAACAACTCAAGCCGACGGTACGCCTATAGTTAACCTCACCGTTCAAAGCCAACAAGAAGCCCAATATGTAATATCCCAATTGCACAAGAGGAAATTGGGCCACAAGAGAATCCTGATATCGTACGCCCAAAGCGCCTCGCCCTATCCCGAAGAACTCAAAGCGATGGTCGTCGAACTACTACAAGTAAAAATATCTCGATGTAATCGTACAATAATCAACACTTATCTTACGCATTACAGGAACTACCCGATCAATGTATGCCGCTGTTCAGGCTCATCTACCTGCTGGAATTGAAGTACAACTACACCACTTCGATATCGGAGATCAACAAGCTGAAGGACATTTGTAAGATCGATGAGAACTCCGGCTCGAGGATCATATCGTTGAATCGCCAGTTCAAAACCGCCTCGCCGGCCAGTCTGAGTCGAGTCCTGTCGCAGTACTGCACTAAACACTGCTCCAGCGTCATCGAAAACCGAAGCTGGAGCGAATTGAACGTCCACCAATTTCCGAACGTCAGGATCGATTTGAGATCGTTCGCCGATAAGCTCGGCTCGTTGCTGAGAAGCCACGACAACTTCATGCATCTCATGAGGTATCCATCTCATTATCTCATATCTAACGAGAGTGTTTGTATGAATAGTACCGTTTTGTAGTTTCCAAACTTGCTACGAGCAAGAATTCTTCGAGCCCCTACCCGCCTACGACGATGGCGTTCCTTTGGAGCATCTCGTTACCTGCGTACCTAACGTGGTTATCAAGCTGGTGGGGCCCAATAAGAACATCAAAATCGTAACGGTCGAAGAGAACAAAAAGGAGAAACAAGACGAAGGTGAGTTAGTGTAATTCAACAGTATTATGCTTATTATAACGTTTTACAGAAGGTCCTTTGAAAAGCGTTCCTCCTTCGTTAGTACCGAACATCTTCACGCTGTGCAGGGAACTGGTGGATTTGCTGAAGACCCAAGAGAAGTGCCAGTTGTTGATGAGCAAGTTCATACCGGCCTATCACCGGCACTTCGGCAAGCAGTGCAAACTGGCCGATTACGGTTACGCGAAGCTGGTCGATTTGTTCGAATCGATACCACATGTAATACAGGTGAATAATCTCCTTTCGAACGTTCTTCTAGAGCATCGATTATAGTGGATTTCTCGTAGGTTTTGAACGACGGTACGAAGCGTACTATAACGCTCACGCATTCGACGCAGATGCGCCGTTTCACCGCCGATTTGCTGCGAGTGCTCAAAGTGCAGCCGGCCAAGCAGATTGTCTCTTCGGATTTCCCATCGGCTTATGAAAAAGTCAACGGTAGATCGTTCAACGCTGTGGATTACGGGCTGTGTACGTTCGAGGATCTGCTGCAAGAGGTGCCTGAGAATACAGTGTTAGTGAGCCGGAATGAAGCCGGGGAATTGTTCGTGGCTATACCGAGGAGAGAACAAACGCCCGAAGAAATGGTGAAGACTAAAGAGTTCGCGTTGGAGGTTCGTGTGCTGCAAATAAATTCGCTGTATGTGGTGTTAATTGATTGTTTTGTAGGTGATAGATTTGCTGCAACATTCGCCGTATTATTCTATATTGTTCGATAAGTTCATACCGGCTTATCACCACAACTTCGGTCACCAATGCAAGGTGTCCAATTACGGGTTTTCGAAGTTGATTGAATTGTTCGAAGCCATTCCGGATATAGTGAAGGTGAGTGATGGCAAACTGGGATTGTTGCGAGAATTAATATCTATTGTTTTAGATCGAAGAAATGCCCGATGGCGAAAAAGTGATTAGTTTAACGCTGCCGCAGGCCCTGAAGGTGCTGAGATCTCAGCTGATGGAAATCGTGAGGGGGGCCCCGCAGGCTTCTTTACCGGTCGCTGATCTGCTCAGCGTTTATTTGAAAAAGTACAGTTTCCCGTTGAAGCCGCAAATGTACAAATGCGGCTCGATCAACGAGCTGTTGTCGGGCTTTTCGGATTATTTCCAAGTTAGTAGCGATTTCGAAATACACCTCGTATCGCTTCAATGTGATTTCTTATTGTTTTTCAGTTGATTAATAATAACGGGGAATTATTAATCGTTGCTATTAACGTGGATGATACGCCTAATGTTCTGTCGTTAAGATGCTGGGGATTGTTGCTGAAAGAGCCGCATTGTATGGATTTGGAAACGTTCAAGTATCAATATCAGTCGAAGTACAACAGCAGATTTTTGATGGATGGATTACAACAAATCGGGAATGTAATTTCGGTACGTATAATCTTATATTTACAACGGTATATTTTCTAATTGACGCTTATTTTAGATATCATTATCGGATGATATAAATTACATTGCCTTGACAAAGTTGTATATTTTGTCCGCTCAATTGTATCAAGTGATATATAAAAACGATGGTAAATGTTTCTACGCTCATTTAGAGAAGTTGTACGAAGAGTATTACGGAAAACCGTTGAAATTAACTTCCTACGATATATATTCGATATGCGAGTTTTACGAACACTTCAATCTGATGTTTTTCATCAAAGGTCGAAAGAACAAGGAGATGGTGCTTTTAAATAAGAATTTAGCAGGTAAACGATTGTAAACATTTTACTGAAATCTTCTTCAACTGAAAACTCCCGTTACTTTCCAGATCATTTTGTACCGTTGCCGTCTTCGTTATGCAACAAAGTTCTAATGGATACGAAAAGCAACTTCAATTTTCCGCCGCCTCCCTCTTTAGACATGGTCTTCGGAACGAAGAAGAAATCGTGCCCACCGAAGCCCGATACCCCGCCGTCGCCGCAAGTAAGTAAAAGGCCACGTTAGAACGAAACCGTTTGCATTTAACACTTGGATTTCGCAGACTACCAATTGCGCTTGGAACCATTGGACGAGTACTAACAACGACAACAAACCGCACGATTTGTCCATTCAATTGCCCATCATACTGAACCCTAAATTACTGGGTAATCCGTATTCTTTGATATCTCCGTGTCGTACTCTTCAGCCCTCGATGAGGCACATTTGGAATGATATCACCTCACCGGATCCTGCTGAATTACCTTTGCCCGAAAAGCTCATACAAAAAGGTAGGGCTGTTAGATATTAACTCGATTTTTTGCATAATTAGATGCGTTAATTAACAGGTTCTATTGCTAACGATTCGGCCGATTCAGGAGTTAATATAAAATTGGATAATTCTCCATCGGATAACGAAAACGATGCTGGTCCATCAAACAACGCTGCTGGTGAGTAAAATATTGTCGATAAATGTTTTTTGTATGCAAATTTGTAATGATATTTGCAGGAAGATCGGAAAAATCTTCGTATCGTCCGTATTTACTATTCAGCAATTGAGGATCTCTTAACAAATTAAAATGCGCACAATTTGCAAGTAACGGTAATTTGTACTTTTTTGAAATTTTCGTGATACTGTTAAAAAAATAGAATATATTTTGTTATAACGTTTTTCGTGTAATACGTAAGGCCTATAAATTTGTTTCTTTCTTTTTGTAAAAATTATGTCGAGGTTCGTTAGTAATTTCTTTTTTTCAATTATATAATTTTATTCTAGTAATTGAATTTTCGAAAAATAAGCGTGTTCAAGGACCTCGACATGATTTATGTCTTTTTTATTCTAAGGTAATTATTTTTAAGCTTTACATATTTTCCGCAAAATAGCTGTATGTTGTACATAGTCAACATTTTAAGATCATATCAAACAACATTCCTATAATTTTGTGTCTGTGATTGTTTTATAATTTATTTATTTTTAGATTAATAGAAGTGTTTTCTAACGTGTTTTTCGAAACTTCTATTAGCTTCACGATATATGAATTGCATTTTGTTATACAGCTTTTTTTCGTTGAAAAAATGATGAATGCAATAATGGTTGTTTTTTTATGTAAGTAATACTTTTTAAAAAATATGTGACGTTTCCTAATATAGCATAAGAAGTTTTTTGTTTGTACCTTATTTTAAAATCGATATGCCAAAAATAAAAAAAAGTGTATTATTTGAATTAAATAAATAAATTTATATTTTTATAAATTTAGTTTTCTTTACCAAAGACAAAATGTACAGGACCATTAACAAATCTAGGAAGATATTCAATTTGGAAAAACAATGTGATAAAGTAATTTAATTAACAAGACTAGCAACAAGTCAATTACTTCAAACTGCTTGAATCAATCATCGAATCTAATCAAAATTAACTCAACTATATTTATAAAACTACAATGATTGGATACCTATTGGTTATTCATTCCTGATCCGACAGGGCCATGTCTACGTTCCCAAATCATTCTGTGCTTCTGTTTCATAAGGCAACTTTTTGCTGTTGCGTAACCACCTAAATCACCATCTGAAATCAAACGTTCGCTAATATAACAAACTACAGATGGTACAAACACTTATACTTACATTTAATAAAATAATTAGTAGTAGCGTCGTTGTAAATCTCCCATAAGTTATGGCACTTTTCCAAGTGATCAGGAGCTTCGTATAAAGTGCAATCCTCAAATCTACTTCTCAGTATTGCTACGATTTCGCTATCTACCAACCTAAAATGGTTATATAACACTCGGTTAAATTCGATCAACGAATGGATCGTTTAACGGCAGGTACTTAAACATACCTGTCTCGTTTGAATTGAATATCGGCCTCTGTTATGCACACTTGGTCATCGGTGTAACACTCATCTATTGTTGGTACTCTTCGAAATTTTTGGTGGTACCAAACGGATGGTTTTTGATTCGGTTCGACTATGGTTTCTAAAAGAATACTTTCGAATTACAGCAACTTGATTAGAACAATTAAAAAATTGAGAATTGGGAATGAAACGGGGGAAATGGGGTTATACGAAATGGTTATAGTAAATCATTCTTACCTCTAAACCAAATGGCTGGGGATTGTAACACGTTTGTTACGCTTAACAAGAATCTTTCCAGGACATTTCTCGGCGCAGCGGCCTGAGTTGAGCCTTCTTCTGGCATGTTTTCCAAAATTTTTGTAAATGTAGATTATTTTTTGGTTGTTTGTCAAATGACATAACAGTGACAGGAGGATAACCTAACAATTTAGCAGTGCAGCCAACTCTATTCTCGGAGGATTCGTGTTCTGTGCATTTTATCGTTCCGTCACAACTGTCAAGTTACGTCAATCAATTGATAAATCGCTGGTCGCCATTTTGTTTCGTGGACGAACTGGAAATAGAAACTGCGATTATTTGTTTGTGAACGTGCGGAGTATCGATCAAAATAAGAAATACCAATTCGGCGTTTGCTGGAGAAGAGAACATTCACAATGACGGCCCACGATCAGATGAGGGCCATGCTAGACCAACTGATGGGTACAGGACGGAACGGTAAGCAGCAATGCGATCAATACGATTCGAATTTCATTAAAAATTACCCCCAATGTGCAGGAGAAAATAACAAGTTCCACGTTAAATTCAACGATCCGAGGGTGTGCAAGTCGTTTTTGCTGGCCTGCTGTCCGCACGAGATCCTCTCATCTACGGTAAGTGTCTCCACCGTTTCCCACATCCTCATTATTTTTTTTTTCGAAAATCACACTGTAATTTTCAAAAATAATATCGTTTTTAATTTTGGATTTTACCCGGTGACTAATAACGCACTGTGTTTTCAGAAACTGCAATTATCTAAAATAAGATGAGGAATAGGTGTTTGATTTTGTATGTAAGTACTATGACGTACGTATAAAAATTTCAATTTACTAGGTATATTACATACATGTTGATTTATACATATAATTTAGGCGAAAAATCTCGTCTGATAACGTGTTATGGTTGTTTCGTGTAGCATTAAGAAATTAATACCGATCGAATATCATTGTTAATTTCTTACTGTTTACCGCACATTCGGTTTAATTTCGTTTAAAACCCGAGGACGATAATGGTAAGCAGTTTTTAAAGATGTAGTTAATTTTTATTTGGTATTCGAGCAGTTTCTGATTCATCGGTAAGTAATTCGAGTAATTTTCTTATAGGGATTCGTGTAGGTCTCCCACTCGATTGCGAAGCGAAAACAATTTTGGCTTTGTCCTACGATAAAGGCAAAACCGAAATTGCGTTATCGCGTAAATCTCTTGTCAGAAAATGAATTAGTGGGAGATCTGAATAATATATAATAATTGCATGTGTTGTACTACATACAAAACGAACAAATTCTATTGAGCATCTGACAGTTAGTGAGTATGAGTCGAAATCAAAATATCCTCCAAACGGGCTTGCCTTGAGTGAGTATTAAAAATTTAATTTCGTATCTGTGGGTAATATTCGGTGAATAAATTTCCAACCGATCGAAACGTGTGCATTTTCAAAATGATATAGAGATAGAGAGAATAATGAAATGCAAGTAGAACGTTACAAAATCGAGGTTTCTAAAATGTCAATTGAACAAAAAATGGTGCGTTTATAATCGAACAAAAGTTTTACTGTGGAATTACCGATTGTAAGTTTAAAAATTTCCTATTTATTTACTAACTTATTTGATTACTTTGATGCTCTTCACATCACTTTCTTTAAGTACACTTAAGCGTATACCCAATTGAGGCAGATACAAAGTTGTACTTGCAGAAAGCGTTTTGAACTAATATGAAGTAATCAACATAAAAATTTAGGTAGTGTATCCGATGTTATTAGGTATTAAAGGGTTTGTGAAAAACCCTTGTTAATTAAACCATCATTCGATAAAAATTCATCGATTTCATCTCCCTACACATCTAACGTTAAACGATCATTCGACAAAACATATCTAATTTTGCATTTCAACAGCGCATGGACTTAGGTGAATGCCCGAAAATTCACGATTTGGCTTTACGAGCTGATTTCGAGAAGGCCCAGAGGAGCAAAGACTACTTCTACGACCTAGACGTGAGTAAATTCGGCGCTACACCTATCGATAAGTATTGAAAACGAATTGTTTGAATTTAGGCGATGGAGCACCTTCAGGCGTTTATAGGGGACTGCGACAGACGAACGGAGGCGGCGAAACAACGACTGGCCGAAACGCAGGAGGAACTTTCGGCCGAAGTGGCCGTAAAGGCGAACAGCGTGCACGAATTGGCCGAGCAAATCGGCCAGAAACTGGCCAAGGCCGAGCAACTGGGCGAGGAGGGTTTCGTCGACGAGAGCATGAAGCTCATGGAAGAGGTAGGAGTCGCGGAGAATCGGTCGATAGTGTTTATATCTGTGCGGATTGCAGGTGGATGAGTTGCGTAAGAAGAAACTGGAAGCGGAACAGGAGTACAGGAATTCGATGCCTGCTAGCAGCTATCAACAGCAGAAGTTGAGGGTGTGCGAGGTGTGCTCGGCGTATTTGGGCATACACGATAACGACAGGCGTTTGGCCGATCACTTTGGCGGGAAATTGCACCTTGGATTCATCAAAATTAGAGAGAAATTGGCCGAATTGGAGGTGATTATCTACGCTGTTAATTTAAACTTTTTTAATAAATCGTGTTTGTATAGAAAAATTCGGAGAAGAGGAAAGAGGAAAAGAAAAAGACGACGGGTAAGGATAGAGACCGCGACGAGAGGGAGGATCGCTACGAAAGGCGCTACCGCGAACATTACGTTGGCGGTAGGGAATTGGATAGGAGATCGAAGAGGCATCGGTCGAGGTCGAAAGATCGCAAAGACAGGGACCGTAAAGATAAAGATAAGAAGGACGAGAGCAGAAGTAGTCGCTACAGGTCTAGGTAATATTTTTTTTACAATTAATTTAAATAGCAACAATTCTATTATATTTTGTTTTTAGATCGAGAAGTAGAGACCGTGAGCGTAGATCTCACTCGCGTCATTCGAGTTCTAGTGACAAAAAGAAGGAAAGGGAACGAGATTAACCTGATTTTCGTTTTTGATTCATAATGAATCCTTTGTTTTAGAGGCAATTGAATAGATAAATATCTATGTATTACAATTATAGTTCAACATTTAATGTAAATTAAACATGGTCTTGTAACTACCTGGAAATTTTGTTATATTGTGAGTTATCAATTATATTTAAGTATACAAAAATAAATATTACCATCGCTGATTCGGTTTGTTTTTAATCCAAAACTGAAGTTCTATGTAAAAAGTTTATTCTGTCTAGTTTAATGCTATATTAGAGTCATTCCTATCCTGTTTGATTTGTGATCTTTCTCTTTTAATCATTAATCTTTTCTTAGAGGCCATTTCTAATCGCCTGCGAGCGCGCTCTTCGCTTTCCGGAGACGGTTCTGGCTTGACTACCAGTGCACTTCGGATAGCTTTACGAATTTTCTCTAAACAATCGGCCAGGTTTAATTGTTGGGATCTCGTTATGTCCGATTTGAAGAGTAAGTACCCGTCTTTGGTGAGTTTTGTATCGAACTGAAATGTAAAATATACAGAAGGTATGTGAGAATTTCGTACTGTGTACTACCTTTTCTAAAAGTTTCTGTTTAGCTTCTTCATTAAGCCATTTGGCCGATTGAACGTGGAATCGTATATCGACTTTTGTGTTGACTTTGTTTACATTTTGACCTCCGGGCCCCGAACTTCTGGAGTAGGTTATTTCTAAGTCTTCTACAGGGATATAACCAGTGAAGGTTTGGTCGTTTGAGGGAAGCTAAAATTAGATATTTTAGACTAATTTTTCAAATTTACAACTCATATGAACTTACTTTTGGGTCGGTGATCTTCAGACTACTATTTGGGTACAAGCTTTCAAGGGATATTGCACTCTTATAGGAAAGTGCGCGATATACAGGAGCATGTGGTAAATTGTAGAATCTAATCGAATTTACAATACCACTATAAATTGATTTACAAATACTCATTTTTAATAAGCAATTGAGTAATGGTAAATAAAATTAACCTAACAATTTCTTCTTTTTTAATTAATTATTAATTTGGGATTGCTGTTTACCAGCATATGACAAGATTTGTCAAATGTCAAATCTAGGGATTTTGTTTTTTTTATGTTACATATTCACGTGTGGTGCCGTTAGAATTAGGTTATGTTATTTTAGTAGGAATATATGCTTCCAAATTACTAAACATCATGGATGATTTATTGTTAAAATCATCTTCAAATGATCAGAAATATAAATCCATAGATGTAAATAAGTTAATAGATTTAAATTACGACCTAGGAACCCTTTTAGCAGAGGATACGAACGATTTCGATTCTAACCTTCTAAAGTAAGTGCGTCATTTTCTCCAAAAAATGTGAGTAATAATTTACGAATTTTTAGTCAAAAGAAAAACGATTATCTGCTACAACTAACGAGAGACAACACGCAATTGCTGATCAATCAAATATGGGAATTGCCAACCGAACGGGTCGAAGAGGCGATAGTAGTGAAATTGCCCATTCAAAAAACCAGACTGCCCCGCATGAAACCCATACCCAAGCCGAGACCTCTCACCCGATGGGAGGAATTCGCCAAAGCCAAAGGCATCGTTAAGAAGAAGAAGGCCAAGCTCTCGTGGGACGAGCACCTGAAGAAATGGATACCGCTCTACGGATTCAAGAAAGCCCAATCCGAAAAGGAGAAGGACTGGGTGCTGGAAGTCCCGGAAAACGTCAACCCCATGGAGGATCAATTCGAAAAGAAACTGCACGCCAAGAGCGAACGGGTGGCCAAAAATGAGCTGCAGCGATTGAGGAACGTGGCCAAAGCGAAGAAGATCAAAGTGCCTCGAGTGGGTGTTACCAATTCGGACGTATCCACTGCAAAAGACGTAAGTTACTCACCTTCAAATTACTCTTATTACGTTTATTAAACTTTTATAACGATCGTTTTTTAGTTGCAAGTAGCCGTTACGGTTGCCAAATCGTCCACGGCGAGTCTGGGCAAGTTCCAGAAGGAGCTGCCCAAGGAAAAAGAAGCTAAAGGAGTGGCCGATATAACACCGGGGGCGAGTCGAAAGAGAAAAATGCCACCGGTTTCCGGAGATGTTGAGAAAACGGAAAATTTGGCTATTGTAGATTCTGTATTGAATAAGAGACCCAAGCTATCCATAGACGCGGTCGTAGATAAACGCGTAAATATCGAACAAGTGCAGTAAGTATCAAATCGCCTCGTTTGTAGAGGAATTCGGCTAATCGAAATCTATTTGTTTTAGGAGGAATTCGAGGGATAAATCGAGTTCTTCTAAGAAAGGTAAAAGCACTGCGAAGAAGCCGAAAGGGAAGGCCGGTCAGAGGAAGGGCGGCAAAAAAGGAGGCGGTAGAAAGCGACGTTGATCGTTATAGTTTTTTTTTTTTGTTTCATTTTGTACATATAAATAAGGTAAATATGAGAATTACTCGAAATTATGCGGTATTATAATTTGATTTTTTTGTTGTAGGTTAAAAATATTTACTCACATACCAAGAAGGAAAAAGTGCTTTTTGTAACTTCATACAGATTGTCCTAAATTGTTTTTTTTAGGTTCAATTCTGTGTAGCGTACATATTGAAAGTTTTTGCTAATAAATAATTTATTATGCATTAAACTTTCAGCTTGTAATTAGCAATGTAGAATACGAATAAGATATTGCATACAGGAAACCAGTTTTTTTTCTTTGTATGCCATTTTGTTTCGAAGTTCGATTCGGTTATTGTGGATTTACTTAGTCGAAACCGAATCGTTAACTTACATGTGGAATTTCTCACCATATCCTTTTATTTTTATAGATTTATTGTTAACTGAGCTCCGTTTTTGTGGATTTTTGATTGACTAAGATTAAATCGGTTTGAGTAAACTACTCGTTTTCATTTCGTTGCCATTGAAATAAATAGATTGCAGGGGAGAAAAGGGGGTGAACCCATCGATAATGGGGTCACGAGCATTTAGGTTTGTATGTTAATTGTTTGCCGAAAATCAATACTAATGATGAGGGCATTCCGAATAACTTTAATGTCGCAATCATTATACCTACATAGGGGTGCACTAAGGCATTTAAAAAATTGCGAAAATCGGCGAAAAAGTTGCATCGTTGGGTTAAAACGGTTGTCTAATTATTAGAGAAATAGTTCGTATGAACTAATAGAAATACGATAAATAAATAACTTTATTTCGAAGCTATTTCATAGAAAACCATCCATAAGGGTACGCCAATGACAGGGAATTTTATTGCATGCGACTGAATGTTTAAAAACGCACCCCATTCATGCACGCGAAGACCTACATTCGATAACTCATTCGAAAATATATTAAATGTAAAAATCCCCATCAAAATGCCATGATTAGATATTAAAACAGGGGCGAATTCTAAAGTACACGATTCCACCCAATTCCCGGTGAAACCCATCTCTAACACGCGCCTATTACGAACAATTAATACAAAAAATATAAATAATTTGTTGGTGTGTATTAAGTATTAACCACCCGTACAAATCCGCCCCTGTCGACGAGAACCTTCAACACCACATACATACCACTGACGTTGTCACGTAAATTTCAGTCTCGAATGCCACGGCGTCGAGGCGCTTCCGATCCACCAGCACCAGCACCGGCGCCCATCCCAACCCCCTCGAGAGGAGCGCCATGGAGCGCGTCAGAAACAAGTGTTGCGTGCCGTTCCTGAGCTCCGAGGGCGACTTCCTCAAAAACATCGTGCCGCCCGAGTACACGCCCAAGGAGCTCAAGTGCGAGCTGCTGCACGTCTCCCAGCGGCTGCACGCCCACCAGACGTTGGCCAGCACCAGGAGGTTCGCCTGGTTCCGGCCCCATCGGTGAGTCCCGGTGTAACGCTCTTTCTAGAGGTGTAATGCTCCGATTCGCAGGAATCTGGTGCCGAAGGACGCCTTGGACTTCGCCCTGACGGCGCGCTACTGTCAAACGGACCGGTTGTGGTCGAACAACAAGGATATCTACGTGCAACCGGAGTCGCTGGACGAGGACACGTGGCGGCGATTGAGGAACACCAGGGACCTGACGCCCGACAGGGAGGAGCAATCGTTCAAAGGCACCGAACAGAAGCCTAAAAAGAGGAAAATACCGTACAAGTACAACAAGGTTCGTGCGCGAGACGAGCTCTAGAGTTCCTAGTTTAGTACAGGATGATTGATCAGTCCTAAGAAATAGTACAATGCATCTACCAGAGGCTCCAGAACCTTGACTTAAGCTCGGTCAAAGTTGGGTACCTTCAAAATGTTTTCTTTGCAGGCTCACAAGGTGATGATCGGCGGGGTGCTGGAGAAAGTTCACCCCAGCTACATCAAATTGATGTGCTCGTCTCATCACAGTCCGCAAACCAACGCCGGCTATTCGAGGCAATTTTCCGACGGAAATCCTTATCAGTATTAGCACGACGCGGATTCGAGTAGCTTTACGTTATTCCTCGTATCATATTTCACGCTTAACGGTATTTTTTAGAGCTGCTAAATGGGTAATCAGTTTAATAAATTAATCACCAAGTTTATCGTATTTTAACTCGCTTAATTATGTAAAGCTCAGCACATTATTAGGACAAATGCCATGCAACAAGTGTTGCCTATACGTGGATGAAAATTTCCTCGAACGTCATCGCGCCGCCACGGATCGATTTTCCGGCGCCATGCGCTTTTATTTTCCACTCCCCCGCGACTGGCTAAATCGCCAGTAAATCCACCAGTCGTGTTTACATTTTCCTCGCACGGATCCAGAGTTTTCCCGAATTCAGCCGCCTAATCGGAAACTACAACGAAATGCCGAGCTCCCGCAAGATCATCCTGCAGCACGTCATGTCGGGCATATGCTCGAAGATGAACAGAAAGAAGCAACTGCCCTCGGACGTGATGGAAACGCCGCTCAACCGATGCCTCAACACCTTCGATATCACTCTGTTAGGTAATCATTTCGCTATATGTAGGGTATGCACTTGATATTGGTTGCCCAACTCGAGAAACTAACCGTTTGCACTCCAGGCGTAGGCCATATGATCGGCGCTGGAATATATGTACTCACCGGAACGGTAACCAAAGACATAGCGGGACCAGGCATAATAATATCCTTCCTACTGGCCGGAGCGGCGTGTCTTCTATCGGCCCTCTGCTACGCGGAATTCGGCACGAGAGTGCCCAAGGCCGGATCCGCCTACGTCTACACCTACATCAGCATCGGCGAGTTCTGGGCCTTCGTCATCGGATGGAACATCCTCTTGGAGCACATGATCGGTAATTATACCACTTCTCCACCTTACTCTAGGGTGCTTTAAACGCTTCTCCATCCGGTACTGGGTGCTTTAAACGCTGGATTTAATCATTTAATCCACCAGGTGCTGCTTCGGTGGCGCGCGCCTGGAGCGGCTACATCGACTCCTTGTTCAACAACGCCATCAGCAACGCCACGATGTCGTTGACGGGGGAGATGCACGAGCAACAGCTGAGCAAATACCCCGACTTGCTGGCGTTCGCCGCCTGCCTGGCCTACGCCGGGCTGCTGGGCGTCGGCGTCAAGACCTCCACGATGGTCAACAGCCTGCTGACGATGGTGAATCTCCTAGTGATGGGTTTAGCGGTGGCGGTGGGGTTTCTCTACGCCGACGTGGGGAATTGGACGGAGCAGAAAGGTGAGCGAAATGATCAAGCGAGAAGATTGTAATTGGTGTTTATGCAAGCGAAATGATTGCAATATTTGGTGTTTGTGCAGGCGGTTTCTTGCCGTACGGGTTCGGCGGCGTGATGGCGGGAGCGGCGACTTGTTTCTACGCCTTCGTGGGTTTCGATAGCATCGCGACGTCGGGCGAGGAGGCGGAGAATCCGTCGTTTTCCATACCGACGTCGACCGTTTTGTCGATGGGCATCGTCACCGTGGGGTACGTTTTGGTGGCGTCGGCGCTCACCCTGATGGTGCCCTATAACGAAATCGACGCCAACGCCGCCCTGCCGGAGGCCTTCAACAAAATCGGAGTACACTGGGTCAGATATGTCATATCGTTGGGCGCCATTTGCGGCATGACCACCACGTTGTTCGGATCGCTGTTCTCCTTACCGAGGTAATATGGGCGATATTAGTATGGAGTTTTAGGTGGTATTTATGGGGTGTATTGTATAGATGCATGTACGCTATGGCGCAAGACGGGCTACTCTTCAGCTTCCTAGGCAACATCAATACCAAAACGCAATTGCCGCTCGTCAATTTGATGATTTCCGGAGTGTTTTCCGCTCTCATCGCCCTTCTCTTCGACCTGGAGAAACTCGTCGAATTCATGTCGATCGGCACTCTATTGGCCTACACCATCGTCAGCGCTTCTGTTATAATACTCAGGTACCTCCACTCTAAACTCCTCCGCTCTCCCACTCACCCACCAGCTTCTCCAGGTACTAATCTGGATATCTCTCACACTCTCCCACCAGCTTCTCCAGGTATATACTAATCCGGATACTTTCCAGATACCGGCCGAGCTTCGAAGCGTCGCGAGCGAAACCGGCGCCGGCGACGCCGGGCTCGGACATGTCGAGCACGACGTCGGAGGCGGCGTCGACGCCCGTGCTGGAGGCGGCCGATCCCGCCGGCACGCTGAGGGCCGGCTACGGCTGGCTGGGGCCGGTGTTCGGCCGGTGCGAGCCCGGCTCGGCGGTGGCGGGGGCGGTTTTCGCCTATACAATGTTCAGCTGCGCCCTGTGCGTGCTGATGCAGCGGCTCGCCGCCGGCGAGGCGGCGGGAGGCGGCGCGTGGTGCTCGGCTTTCTTCGTCGGAGCGTTTGTGTTCGTGATGAGCGCTAGTATGTAGAGGAATATAGTGGTAAATGTAAGGTTTTATGGGGTGAATTTTTGGTAGGTTTATTGGTAATCAACGCTCACCATCAAAACACCGAGGGTTTGCGATTCAAAGTGCCTTTGGTACCGCTTTTACCGGCCATAAGTATCTTATGCAACATCGAGTTTATGGTAAACTTGAATATACTCACTTGGTTGAGGTTCTTCGTTTGGATGGTGATAGGCGAGTATTTACTTTACTTTATAAACTCCACTACAATATAATTGATTAATTGCATTGTAGGTATGTTGGTGTATTTCTTGTATGGCATCCATCACAGCAAAGAGGGCGATGGGAATTCGTCGTACTCGATTCTGATGACTTCGTCGGAGGCGGGGAAGGAGAAATGGGGCGCCATTAGCGCCGTCAAGGCGGCGCTGACGAGGAGAAAGGGTTCGCTGGGGGAAAGGGGGGCCATCGTGGACGAAGAGGAGAGCTCTGAGTAGTAGTTGCCTGCGAATTAGTAGCGAGATGATTATGTACTGTGATTTCCGATCGATTGGATTGTGGAAAAATTGGAGTAGTGCACAAAGTACGTTACTCAAACCACTTGGGTTTAAATAAATTGTTACTGCCTGTATAAATGTATGTATAAAACGAAATTTGATTAAGGGAAATAAAGTCTATGATGTTTCTGATGTGGTTTCGATATCCTGCTCCACTGTTTCCTGCTTTATGTAGTCTATTCGGCTTTATTTCGGAGTAACTTAATAAAAATAAATTTGAGCTATAACACATACGAACAATATGAGATTTCTACTCCTCCTAAATCGTTGAAATCGCTAGACAATCCCGTCATAATCTCGTATCGAACAGATCATCTTCACTAGCCACCACCTGGGGAGGACCATCGGGGAAATACTCGGCGAGCACCTCCTTCGGCCGGACCTGCACAAAACGAAATTTACCCAACGCTTTCCTTGTAAATACTACAAGGATCCTACCCGTCTGTTCCTGACATCGGACATTCGGTAATTCTGGTAGAAAGCGATGGTTTCGAGCGTTCTAACGGACCTCAAACGCTTGCCGGGATCCACTTGCAGCAGCCTCTGCAGAAGGTCTTTGGTGGAGGCGTCCAACTCGGCGCCCTCCGGTAACGATCCGGCCGGTTGGTTTTCCTCCTGGTCCACCGGAGGCGTCGGGTACTGCGAATCGAATCGAAGAGAGAGGTTTAGAGGGAAATTTATGGTTTGCTTTAGAAGGGTAAAAAAGTGCGACTGGTTCATTTTCATTCATTTTCATTCAGTTTCATTTTCACGTGGAAGTCGAAGGCTAGACGAAGGTTTTCCTTGGGTGGAAATGATGCGGTAATTGCTCGTGTTTCACACGGTAATGCGTCAGTCGGAACGACTGTGGAATTATTAAATAATTCGGTTAGTCATCGACGATCAATTGTAAAAAATCGCTTCCTTTTTTTTATGGGCGCATCAATTAAATTTTAATAGGTATACCCGGTGTTTTCGTTGACGAAAAGTATAATATCAACGTCTTGAAGCGTATTTTTTAGTAGTTTTTATTAAAATATAGGTTGCTTTGGAAAGTAATTTCTTTAAAAAACAACAAACATTATCAAAAAGTAGGAATTTAATAAATGTTTGCGATACAAGTAACTCGATTGGAAAAATGCTATTTATTAGTTGCGAAAAAATGCTCGAGTAATCGGCTATTAAAAAAATTCGCCGTTATCGAAAAAATTGGCGCTCGTTAAAAATTATAACCGATTTCAGGTGTTTCAGTCGGCGATTATTTATCGAAATAACACAGATTAGCTAAAAAAATAACGCGCGACGGAGACGAAACTATTCGCATTCTAATCGCATCGCGAAATTCGATAAAATAATCGTAAATTTCGCGAAAAAACAACGCGACTCATTGGCATTTCTGCGAAGCATCCACTTAGAATATTCCCGTTTATCCCGCAATTTAACGCCTCGTTAAATTCGTACGATAATAGAAAAAAACCCATCGGATAAGTTTTCGCATCGCCCTGTATACATGCCGATTACGCCGTACTTAGAGCCGACTCGGGGTAATAATCATGTAAAATAGCAGTTGCCGAGATATAAGTAGCGTGTTTGCGACTTCGACCGGGCTCTTCTTCTTGCTCTCGGTGGTTTTTTTTTTCAGAAATACCAGCTGAACTCGGCGCCTGAGACAATCTTCAGACGGCCGAGGAGACACTCCTCTGTATCGGAGGGCCCTTTCGATACCGAATGTCCGGCTTTTCGCGATATTACTATGCATTTCTTGGCGTTATCTCGGCGCTGTTTTAAGTGCTGTGTAGGATAAGGGATGCTCGATTTTCGGGGAAACAATGTTAATGGGCGTTTTCCGGGCTATTGTCGAAGGTTTCCTAGTAATATGGCGAGTTAAAAGCGAAACATTTATAGTCTAAATGAAGGCCGACTAGTAGGTTAATTATGAATTATATGTCCTATAAAAGAACTGTTAAAAATCGTAGGAATTCCGCGAAAACGGCCGTTTCTGGTGGGACGATGATGATACTGTTAATTGCTAACGTTTAATGAAAGAACGAGGAAAGGATGAAAAAAACTTTTTACCATAGGCATTCGATCAAGATCGATAAATCAAACACGTCGTAGCGCCTAGCTCTCGTTCGCTCATTTCGCTATTTATCATTCCGCGGGAGATGCCCTCGTTTGAGGTCAAGTTCGATGATATTTTTTTTCTCGAATAGCGCGGTGAAATTTCGGCGATAAACCTACGGTTTCAGAAAAATCACGACAAATTTGTTACTAATCCGCCATTATCCTGTCAAATTTCCAATCTGTCAATTTGCTGTTAATTTCGAAATAATCGAAGTAGGCCGTCATTTGTGGTGTACAATTTCCAATCTGTCAATCTGTCAAATTACGTATACTTTTATTCAATCGACGTAGGCTGTTTGTTATAATAAATTTCGATATTATTAAATTAATGTCAATCGAATTTGTTGCATTAAATAAAAAATATACAGAGTATGTGCAGGTATTTTTTTTGTTATGCATACATATCTACATATTCTTTTCCTGTACTAAATAACACTTATTAATATCTATTGGTTTGGCATTTCTCGATTGTGTGTTCTGTAATATCGAAACTACCGTTAGGTAAATTTGGTTTTGTAACTAAATACAAGAACGTCAACTTTGCATAAATTAAACATAATCCTTAATTACCAACCGTGACATTGTGAAATTGACGGAGTCCTTAATGAGTGGCGTTTCGCTATTTGCGAAAACATCCATTTTATTTTTTTCCTTTCGTCTTTAAAAACGAAATATCCACATTAATATAACGGGGCTAAAATGGACGTATAGGATTCAAGTGCTGCCAACTGTATTTTATAACTCCACAAGCATCTTGTTTAAAATGGCAATAAAACAACGAGATATGTATATCTGTGCCGGTCGCGGTTTTTCTCCATTTACCCGTCAATTAATTCTATAAATATAAATACTGAATAAGATGCGCAGTTTTGTTCATTTTCCGTCATTTTATACCAGTTTTTCTTCAACTCGCCTAATAAAATATGCAATAAAAACCGCATCTAGAGTTCCTGGCGCGTCTATTTTAAGAGCCTTCGGTATATAATTTCTGCAATTTGCAACAAATTCGTACTTACCGTTTTAACGCGAGATGCCTCGTCTGCTCGATAATTCAGCCAATTATTATTATTTTGAGGTTATCGCAGTGCAGCCAACTGCACATGTAATAAAACAATAACTCTCCAGCGAGATTCCACAACGTCGGAAAATAGGAAGAAAAAAAAACACCGAGGGTAAGACCGAAGAATCGGCTATTTTATCGTTGAAATGAATAAAAAAAAAGAAGATGTGAGCTTGAGTACCAGTTGATCGGCAATTTGTGTGCGCATTGTATATAGTTCGAGGAATCCGAAAACAATAAGCTCGTCGTTAAAAAGCTACCGTAAAAAGGGTAGAAATTACGCTAGACGAGCACCGAGCTATAAATATGTCTCTTCTGCCGGTTTTTTTCTCCTCTCTCCCGTATCGAATACGATCGCTTTGGGAAGTTTTATCGGCTTCTATACAAGGAATTTCAATCGCAAACCCGTTTCGAATCCGATGATAGTCAACCAAACGCGAATCCACAACCACCTAGATACACATCAAACGTTCGAATCCAACCGCAAGGGCTCGATTCAATTGACAATTATGACTTATGACGTGCGATGTTTGACGTAAACTTTTTATTATATCCCAAGTAGATTCGAAATTGTAATAAAACGACCCGTTTTCTAAGCATAATCCTCGATGCACAATTGTTATTACGCTTCATTTTAATAGGTATAATAGCTTGAATTACAATCGCACTGTCATTGAAGATTCACGTTAAATTCCATGTAACCTTAGTCAAGTCATGGTCCTAACATGTTCTTCCCATAGTGTTGACCCCAAACGTAATGTCCGGAAAACTACGTTATGATTTTTGATGAACAAGATAACGATCCGAATATGTACAGTATCGGTCAAAAAATAGTGGACACTTGTTACTGCCTTTAGAAACACTCCATAAGATGGTAGAGATGTAATATTTTCGTTTCGTTCTTGTTCTGGTTTGTAGTTAATTTATTTTCTAATTGAACCACAAAAGGGCGTTTCGTTTAAATTCGTCAAAAAAATGTTAGAAGTTTAAAGGAAAATATATGTCAGAATTTGGGTGGTCATAAAATAGTGGACACTTTTAAAATCAACAAAAAAACAGGTAAAAATAACATTTTTTTAATATTTAGTGGCGTAACCTTTTGCCTTAATGACAGCCTCACATCTTCGAGGCATGGAATCCACCAAATTTTCTAAAATATTGAGTGGAATTCGTTCCCACTCTTCCTGAAGCACTTTCATAAGTTCGCCGGTTTTTGAAAATGTTCGAGCCCGAATTTGCCGATCCAAATGCTCCCACAGATGTTCTATCGGATTCAAATCCGGACTCTGCGATGGCCAGACGATTCTTCTCACCCCATTGACATGTATCCATTCCTTCACAAGCTTTGAGGCATGTTTAGGATCATTATCGTCCTGGAAAAGCCAGTCGTCCGCCATCTTTTCTTCGGCATATGGTAACATATGTTGCTTGAGAATGTTTTATACATATCGGCCTTCATAATGCCCTCAATCCTTATCAGTGGACCTACCCCATCCCTGCTGAAGCAACCTATATGCATATATAATGTTAGGATGACTAAAAATTTACATGTGACAAAATAAGGGAATTTACCCCAAACCATAACGCTTCCTCCACCGTGCTTAACCGTAGTTATTTGGTACTTGGGATTGTTGCGAGAGCCAATAGGTCTCCTAACATACCGTATGCCATCGCTAGAAAACAAATTAAATTTGCTTTCGTCACTCCACAAGACGCGACCCCCAGTCAGCCACTGACCAATCAAGGTGTTCTCTAGCAAATTTCAAGCGAGCTTGGACATTCTTTCTTGATATTAGGGGTTTTTCAGAAGGCTTAGCAGCGATAAGCCCAGTACGTCTAAAATTTACCAAATAAGTCTTTTAACCACCTGGAAATTAAAAATAATACCGAATAATCCGCTGAGCCGTTGAAGTGGAGATGGTAACTCCATAATTTTCAGCGGCTGTCCTTCGCACATCGGTGCTGTTTTTTCGGGGATCAGCTTTAATTTGACGAACTAATGTTCGACAAACACGTTCTCCAACTTTAAATGGTCGGCCACTTCCTTTTTTTCGTTCTGCCATTTCCGTACTCTTCCATTTTCTATGGATCGTTGAAACGCAGGATTTACTAACACCAAAGCGCGATGCCACCTCACGAACACTGGCATCTTCTTCAATTTCACGAACAAGCAATTTCTTACCATCAGCAGATAAAGTTTTCTACTCATGATCCACTTAACTTAAGGTGTCCACTATTTTATGACCACCCAAATTCAGACATATATTTTCATTTAGACTTCTAACATTTTCTTGACGAATTCAAACGAAACGCCCTTTTGTGGTTCAATTAGAAAATAAATTAACTACAAACCAGAACAAGAACGAAACGAAAATATTGCATCTCTACCATCTTATGGAGTGTTTCTAAAGCCAGAAACAAGTGTCCACTATTTTTTGACCGATACTGTACATATTTATACACCATACACCATTAAATTAAATCGTTGTTTTATGAAAAACAAAGGCGGCCATGTTCACGGCCAACTTTATACCAAAAAGTTTCAATCATCCACAGCCTACTATAATTAATAAAGTAAGCACATACTGTTATCGATTTATAGGTATAGTTTTTAATGAAGTAGTAGAGGGATATCGTAAACGGTTCGAATTTAATGCGGTGTTTTATGCGTTCTATAAATAAATTTTATGCTAATTTTACGACGGCCGTATATTATGGACGAAAAACTCTGCGGACTTTTATTTATTTATTCTGCAGATGCGCGATTTGATTTAATAATACGTGTAATCTAGAGAGTCCCTCCGGGGTGTTCGGTATAGGCATTTTTTTTTCATTCCAATTTAACTCGTAAAACTTTTAGCTATACAAGGTGTTTTAATATCGAGGTGAATACTCGTGGGTGGATAGCAACATTCTAGATTAAGGCGCGATAAAATGTCGACGTATTCCGAAGGAAACGAGGTCGATATATCGCGGTTATTTTCCAGTCAAATTTCATGTTTTTTTTGGATAATTTTCCGAAACAAATGAGAAAACAATTCATTGGAACTCCGGATAAAATGCGCTCGACCGGATCGAAAAGCGATTTGAATGTAATTGGAATTACGCGGAATCGCCTAATAGATTTTTTTTTCGATTTTTCCACAACAATATTGTTTATGTTCAACAAAATCCATCGATTCTTCTCGTGTATAAATAACCTGATGATGCTATTGTGTTATTCAACATCATTTTATATAATACTATAATTCCCTTTGCCGAGGGTCTCGTTAATTTGCCAGTCTTTCATTTGCACAAAACCAATAATTAATTAATATTCTAATACGCTAACACAATAACTAATAAAACTATTCAATTATAAACAACAACACGATTTAATTAAATGATAATAATAGTTATCGATGCGAAAGATAAAATCACAACAATATAACGCTCACGGTAAAACCGAACGCATTTAATGAAACTTCTATAGCGACGATATAGGGGGGGTTATAAGATGCGTTCGATGGTACATATCGAATGTACAAAGACGTACATTTTCCGCGAAACCGATTCCAGTCACGTTTCTTTATCAACAGACTGTACATCATCTTCAAATAGTACTTATTATTAGATTAAAGGTTAACGTAACGCCGGCGGGGTCGTAAATGCGAATAATGCACATTGCACACATCCTTGACACGCTATTTAGCGCAATGCAATATGTCGGGATGTTTTTCGAAAAGGCGACCTTCAACTTCAGCATCACCAAAACGGTCTAGATTGGACAATTCCTCTCCGTTTCGCCTTCAATCTTCAGTCTTGACCCTCGCCAAGCGAATCCCCCTTGACGAATTACCAGATAAATCGCACAGTTTTAAGTCTTAAGAGCATAACTACTCTAAAGGGAGTACCGAGAATAGTATTTTCGAAATTAATCGTTATACAAAAGCGAGAAAATCGAATTCTGAACGAGATAAACTGCTCCACAAAAGTTAAGGAAGTTCGCAAATTTTGCGATTATTTTAAAAGTTAGAGACTTTTTGATCGCCAAATTTTCAAATATGCGAAATTAAATGTTTTCTCTCATATCTGAGTGGATTTTTTGTCCCTACCTCTACAACTTAATAATAACTTAGTAATAATAGTAATAAATTTGGCGATCAAAAAACCTGCAACTTTTAAATTAATCTCAATTTTTGTGAGCTTCCTTAACTTTTGTGGAGCTGTATATTTTCGAAATTAATCGTTATACAAAAGCGAGAAAATCGAATTCCGAAGGAGATATTTAAGTAGTTCGATGTATAGGGTAAAGAGTGTAAAAATCGTGTATTAAAAAAATTTGCTAGACAATTTTCGGTGTAAATGCTCTTAAGGAAGGATTATGCAGTCGAGTGGACGCGGAAAAATCGAGTATACTCGCCATTTCCGCCGGAGCGAAAATTGGTTTGTACTTGAAGAAAAACCGAATCAATTGAAGTGTTTTGCGTCGAATAAATAAACACAAATTTCGATTAATACCGAAGAATTCCAAACGTTTTTTTCCTCCCCTAAAAACCTCAAATCCGCGACTATTCTATTTACAACAGAAGAAAAAAAAACAAGCATCCAATCACCCGCCTAACTGTCGACGGGTTCGCTCCTCCATTTACTTATTCGCCGCATTAATTTACTTAACTAATCATTCGGAAAGATGAGGATGTACAGATAAAGGCGAACAACGGCGTCCGCGGACCGTAAAATCGCTCCGAACGGAACGCCATTTCTATGGAAAATTTTACGATACCTGCCGAGGATCGGCCGAAAACGGTAAAACCAAACGGTTAATTAAAATTAAACAACACCGCCTAATTAACCAATCAATCGAGAACGCTTCGCGAGCTCGATATACCACTCGATCTCCAGCTATGATAAAGCTACACCCTTCTATAGAGGAGTTGTGGGACGCCCTGTATTATAGAAGCTACATACATATTCGAAGATGATAACGATTATAACGATGATGATGAAGATGATAACGGCGCGGAGCGGAGAAGGTAGGGAGAGGAATTGTATAATTCGCGTCCATCGGGAGTCCGACGAGCGCGCGAAGAATGGGGGGGATCGGGGGGGCCCTGTTCGAAGGGGGGCGACGGGCGGGGGTTCGGGGCTATAAAGAGCGCCGGTCGTCGGTGTGGTTTCGCATTTACGGTGACCGGTGGTAAATTTTTGGTCGAAAGTGCAACGTTTGGCGAGAAATTTTTTTTTCTGCTCTCGCGCTCGATACGTCTTTTTTGCGATACATTTTATTTGTAAACGAAAGCAACAGGTAATACACTTTTTTTTTCTATATTTGTAAGAGTTATTTATTTTTTTTGCAATTTTAATTGATTTTTCTTGACTTAAAGCTGTATAAAATATTTATTACAATTAAATTAATTGTTTTAAAATGTGGATAATAAGCGAATACGCGTTGTAAATTGATTACAATTTTTCTATTAGGTATTCCAGTTTTGAGAAAATTTGTTTTAAATTTTGGCGTCTAAATAACTCCACCAATATTTCGAATACCTACCACAATTTTTCTCATTTCACACCAGGCAAATTAAACTAATAATTCAATCAAATAATCATTTAAAACATGACGTATTTAAAACATTAAATATTAATACAACTAATTAACAAGTAGTATCGAAAAAAATATTTGCGCTTCCACCAAAATTTGTATACTTATTGTACATTTTTCCAAGGGTCAATATACGCATTTTCGGTCAAATTTCGCATTTTCAATAATCTAATAGATCTACCTATACAGGGTGAACCAATAAAACAACTCTTTAATAACTAAATAAAATATCCTAAGCAATCATTTCTGTTATAAGTAGGTACCCCATTCTTCACAGCTTCAAAACATTTGAGCCATTTAAATTGGAATAATAATTTGATTTTGGGCAACCCGAAAGGTCCCTCAACTTTGCACTCGCCCGGCCAATTTTCGACACGAATTTTTCTTAATTCGTGGGTCGACAAACCGTCATACAGTCGTACACACATCTCGAAACGAAAATGGTTTTTTGATCGAAGCGACGATTTAAATTAGATTAAATTAGACGCTTTAATTAGGTAATGGCAGGAAGAGCGCTCCGCCACTTATACACCAGACCCTTTTTATTCATTTTCTTTCGCCAAAGTAAAATGCAATTACGCTTCTTTTCTTTTTCTCAATTCGTCCGGCGATTTTTATTTCTAATTATACACAATTACGATGGGTCACCCGGTATATTAAGGGGCGGATTTCTATTGCACAATCGCATAACTTATAGATAGGACTCGGTTCATACCCAGCTGGATACAAACTAATATAAAAACGATTCGAGAGAATGATAGTAATCGAAATTTCGTGAATGGAGAAATCGCCTACATACAATGCGATATTAATTAAATGTAATTGCAATCGCAGAAGGTCGGTTCGCATTGGGAACGTAAAAAATACATAGTATAATGAAAAGCGGTAGGTTTTATTACGAAACGGACATCAAAACCCAATGAACCGTGTACCGAACCGAAACGACGCAAAAAAGGGACCATTAGAATAAATAGAATAATATTATAATAATCGTTTATGCGGAAAAATTCACAAACGCGGATGTGCGAATGGACATTAAACGACGTAGTTTCGGGTAATTCGTACTGATTGTTTAATTTGTTGGATTAATCGGTCGATTTACTTTATCTCGCGCAGTTTCGAAAAAATAACACTTTAGATACGAACTATAATAAAAAATACCGTACATACCTTTTGTAGATTGTAAAAAAATCGTTTTTATCGGATTTTTTCAACATTCTAAACACGATTTTTTATTAGTTTTTATCAATTATTTTCTTTTTGTTACAAAAAAAATTAGTTTGACGTTTTAATGGAATATAAGCAAATAATTTGACATTTAAATGACAGTTGACACTTACGGCCTACTACTAAAATCCTACCCATTAATAATTCTCTAGCTGAAATTTTTTGTCACATTTAAAAATTAATTGAGGAAAATCAAAATATAGACAAGTCTAATATCCGAAATTTCTATTACAATTTTGATTTCCTACGGAAAAGTAAACTACCTTTCCTTCAAATATTTTTGACGTTTCAATGACAGCCAACGGCCTACTACAAAAATATCAAATAAAAGTTTTACGAGCGACAGCGAATGCACATAAGATTTGATGCGAGTATTAAATATTAAAAAAAAAACTACATACAAAAAAACCGACCGGCACAGGTTCTCGTCGAGCTTCTGTAATTCATCGTAATCGTCTCGTTACGTCGAAAGTAAAAGTCGTCCGGCAAATATGGCCTTAATGGGAACGGGCAAACGATTGTTGTATCATCGTCGCCAAGTTCAAGGTGAAATCGGAGACGCTTCGAATCGAAAAAGAAACTTCTCGCACGAAAAAAAAAACACCGCAAGAATAAATATGTACACAAAACGTTACAGGCAATTAACGAGTTACAACAAAGTGTTCTATGAAATTTGACAAGTCGATAATAATTTGACACCAGGAAACGTCAAACTAAAAATCGAGTAGGCTCATTCGAAATGACATTTTCCAATTTGATTGCAGAATGAAAATCATCGTGGGTTTGCTGCTGGTGGCGACGGCGTTCGCCTACCCCCTAGCCGATGAGCCCCAACAGAACCAACAACTAAACCCCGTGGAACAGAAACCGGAGGCGGTGCCCGACAAGCCGGCCATCTTGCCCGAACAAGCCCCCCAAATACAACAACAACTACCCGCCCAGGACTCCGCCGAGAGCTCGGAGGAAAGCGCCGAATCCAAGGAGAAGGACAAACCCGTCGAACAGAAACCGCTGGAAAACTCCTCCGAAGAAAAGGACGCCGTCAAAACGTTGAAGAAACTCGAAGAACCGACCAAGGAACCGACCAAACCCGAGGAACCCGCCGCCCCAGTCGTAGCCGAAGAACAACAACCCATCGTTCCCCAAATCGCCGCCAAGGCCATCCCGGCCGAGCCCCAGGAGAAACCCCTGGCGCTTCCCACGCAAACCGCCGCCGAGCCAACCGCCCCCGTCGAGCAGCCCAAGCTCCTCGTGGCCGAGATCAAAGAGGAACCGGCCCTGCCGAGCCCCAGCGAGCAGAAGCTCGAAGCCGCCCCCGTCGCCGAGGAGCCCCTGCCCGAGCTGAGGAAAACCGAACCGGCCCCCGAGAAAACCGAAGAACCCGCCCCGATCGCGCTACCCCAACCGGAACTCCCCATCGCCGCGAAGCCGGAGCCCGAGAAGAAGGCCAAGGCGGAGGAACCGGCCCCGTTGGAGGAGGCGGCGAAGCCCGAGGAGGCGCCCAAGGCGGCCGAGCTGCCCGAGCTCGACGCCCCCAAGCCGGTGGAGGCGCTGCCCAAGCTGGAGGAGCCGACGTTGAAGCTGGAGGAGGCCAAGCCGGAGGAGAAGCTGCCCGAGCCGATCGCTTCAGCAGCGGGGAGCTCCTGAAGGAGGTCTTGAAGAAGCCGCCCGACGAAATGACTGAATAACCGGGGACCGGTCGACTCCTCGCCCGTTCGTTCGATCGAATTCGCATCGAGCACTTAAAATAATGTTTTTTGGAATATTTTTCGAGACGAACGATCGGGCGATTGGCGGTCTCTCCCCGCGACATATAGTAATTATTTTTTATTTTTTTTTTAATTTATGCGCTCAATTTGTAAAAGTGTAAACGGATCGCGTTTTGTTATAGAAACCGTGTTGTTTTTATTGTGTAATTTTTCTGTTTTTATTATTCCTCCCCCGTTTCGCCGAGCAATATTGAAAACGATGCTAGTTTTTTTTTTCAACTCTTTCAGGTTTTTTCTTTCAGTCGAAACTTAGCGTAAGGTTATGTATTAAAAAACTTTTAATAAAGTTTATATAAAAAAAAACGTATTTGTGTTTATTTCGTTCCTGTTGATTGATAGAAATCCCTAAATTTTCAGTAATCAATAAAATATACTGCTCCACAAAAGTTAAGGAAGTTCCTAAATATTGTGATTAATTTAAAAGTTGCAGGTTTTTTGATCTCCAAGTTGAAGAGGTAGGGACAAAAAATCCACTCAGATATGAGAGAAAACATTTAATTTCGCATATTTGGAAATTTGGTGATCAAAAAGTCTGTAACTATTAAAATAATCGCAAATTTTGCGAACTTCCTTAACTTTTGTGGAGCAGTTTATTAAACTAGAAATAATACTTGAGAATTTCATTTACGAGAAATCTCAAACGCTTCAGAAATTCCAGAAGAATCGCACCTTTTAACAACACGAATCCACGCAAAGGAATTACGCAAAAAAATCGAAATATATACAGGGGACGCGCAAAAACTTACATCCTATTCGAGTTAATCGAGCGAACAAGCTTCAGCGAATCGACTGAACAAGAAAGGCGCTCGAAGAGACGACGAAGAAGCGTCCGCAGGCCGTGCGAAAGATAACCATCGGCTTAGGAATAACCATTTGATTTTTTTAGAGAAGCAACACCGACCGTGCAGCATTCCTGCGGACTTTGACTCGTCTCGCGGCCGTTGCTTGGCCGGATCTTTTTTTTATTTTGTTCGTTTTATTCGTTCCTCGGACCGTTCGATTTTTTCCATTCGGAGAATGCATAATGAGCGCGATACGAGGGGCAGCGCGAATGTACTTACCTGGTTGGTGAGCATCAAGCAGGCGAGGACTCCGAGACTCCACCAGTCGACGGCGTGCCCGTAGGGCTCGGTGGAGAAGATTTCTGGAGCTGCAGGAGAATTCTTACTGTTAGCGTTTAACGAGCAAAAATCGTATTGTACTGGTAAATTGAGACGAATAATCGTACTCCCCTCGTATGATAGATGAAGGGGACTCGTTTGTTGTGGATTGTAAAGGGAAAAGGAATGAAATGCGTGTGAAAATCGGTGAAAATTGTAAAAATTCGCAATAATGATCAGATAACAAGCGCACAGTCAACGTTTCGTTTACAATTTTCACCAAAAATCTGGCGCAACATCGCAATTAATCGTCGATAAAATAAATAAAGTCTTTATTTCGACTCGGAAATCACAACATTTATATATTAATCGCTAAACTATTCACAAATTATTTACAAAATATATTTATATGTACCTTAAAAACGTTTCGTTTAAGCGAACGAAACGAAACTCCATTTTGTTTTCATTTCAATCGAAAAACATTTCGTAATTGTAATTGCAAAACATCGAAAAACGAATACTAATTACACCGCCTGTTTTCCTTGCGAAAATCACCCGAGAAAATGGCAAATTCTCGACAACAACACGAATTCTATGTTATAATAATTATTGTACAGACTTTGCTTCATATTTAATTAATTATATCTTTTAATCTAAGACACAGTGCACAGTTAATCTTATTAGTTTTTACCTCTTTTAATATTGCACGATTACCGATTAACAAATAGATTATTTTTATTTAATTTTTAATAGTAAACACGGCGCTCGATCTAAAAATCCGACAGTGATTGTACACGAATCTTAAGCGATTAATTAGACATAGAAAAAAGAAAACTTGTTAGTTATTTTTATTTTCCTTCTACGAATTTATTATATCATAAAAAAAATCTAACGTATGTACAATGTCAAATCCGCATATATAAAAAAATTCGTCGATTATCACAATAAAATAAATCCTAATCGAACAAAACAAAATTCAACTCCTATTATATACATTTATAGCCTTAAAGTAAGCAAATATTGACATGGTAAAAATCACTTATTTACCTCGTATCTCTGCGAGCGATAAGTTTGGTCGAAATCCCTAAGCATTTTATTTAATGTTTTCCGAATAACCAGCTTTCTCAAAAGGATATATAAGGCACAATTTTTGTTTTTTTTTTTTGTCAATTACAAATCGCAAGAACCGAGACAAGTGGACGAGAGAAATATATCCTTTTAACAAACTGTCGCTGAAGCTGAACACCTAATTATATTCTTGCAAAAAAACTTCACTACGAGGAGAGATTTCAACGCGTAGAATCATATCGAGACTAGCCTGTAGAATTGTCCTTTCGAAACGAAACAGTCCGCACACTTTAAATTAACTTCCATACTTTCAAAAAAATCTCGCTTATACAATTAAATATGTACATTATTCCCTCAACAATCGTTTTGTAATTTCTACCTGAGAACGTAAGTAAATCGCGCGTTTATAAATAGTCAAGCTAACGAGTCGTTTCCAGAGTCAATCGAACACAAAAAAAACCCTCGAATTTGGAAGGATTATAATTATGCGAATCAGAAGCACGACCCTATATTTCTGAGGACTGGAAACAGCCTACGATTTTGCATTAAATAATGTGTCCCCTAAAATGACTGTCAAACTGTCAAACTTCAAAAATTATTTTTTGACATGGCCGAATAGCCCAAGTGTAGCTGAGGCCTTAAACGAAGAAGAAGATTTTTTTGACATTTCGACGACAAAATGGAGAAATATTTTAACCGAAGATAACAAATCTATTTTTAGTTTGAATAATCGCCTCGTAGCGGCCATTTTAGGAACCCCGATTTATCTTCCAAACAACGCAACACTTTTTCGACCTACGTTTCCAGACCTCAGAAATTCAAATATATCAGAAGTTAAGTAATAAATTCAAGGATCGATTTCGGGCGTTTGAGAAACCGTTGTACACTATCAGGTGCTAGAACATGCGCAAAGGAATCGACTATTTGTATGCACTGCAAGCGATTTATAGACGTTACCAAATCGTGATCGTTTCTCAAACAAATCCCCCGGGCTCCATTAAAACGACAACGTTTCTCTAATCAACTTCTTCATAGTCGAACCGACCGAAGCGCCCCCGCTCGGCCCGCACACCGAATAATTCAACTTGAACAAATAGGGCTGCACGTCGCTGAACCCCGTATCGAATATCAAATCCAGCTCGCTCTGCGACGGCATCTTCGGCAAATACTCGTGCCTGTTCATCACCTCCGTAATATAGATAATCTTATCGGTCAGCAACTCCCCAACCTTCTCCCTACAAACCTGTCGCTCGCCCTCGTTGTTCAACGTGATCAACTCCAAGCGCACCGTCCACACCTCCCACGGTATGCACTCCTGCTGGAACAGCCAGCGGCTCGGCTTCTTCTGGAAGAACTCCAACGATATCTGGCCCATGCCGGAGCCCTCGTTGCCGCGCAACTGCTCCGAGAAGCTGTTGATCTCGCGCCGGATGGTCTGTTCGAGCGACGCCGACGAGCAACAGACGTAGGTCAAATCGATGAAGTCGCAATCGACGTCCGTGTAGCCGACGGTGCCCACCGAATAGCTGCCTTCGTCCGAATAAGTGAATTTACCGAGCGATCGGTGGAAGAGTACAGTGTGAAAGATCGAGGCCACCGCCTCGTCCGCCTGTCTACCCTCCACCGTCAATTCGAATATTTGAGATCGCGCGTTCATTTTCACAATTAAAAGAAGCGAATTCGGCTCAGGAGGATATCACAATCGAGATCACAGATCGTTTGCCCTGAGATTGGAACTAAACTAATGCGAATCGTTGCGGATTTTTTGGTGAAAATAACAGTGAATTAAACGCTTCCGTTGGCTGTGCTGCTGGTTTTTTTAGGCGCTTGTGTCTCTTTAATGCATCATACCCATGTAGCGCAACGTGCCGCAAATCGTTTTCGTCCTCGATCCGAAGGGTAGCCACTTGCTCAGCCCGAAATCGATCAGCTTGGCATCGCCTTGCTCGTCCAATAGGATATTCTCCGGTTTCAGGTCTCTGTAGATCACGCCGGCGTTGTGCAAGAAATCTACGGAAACGAATATTTAATCGAATTCGAAATCGTTTTACGATGAGTTTACTCACCGATGGCGAGAGCTATTTGGGCCACGTACAATCTCACTAATTCGACGGGCAGTGTTAGGTAGGTTTTGATCAGGGCGAAGAGTTCGCCGCCTTCTACGAAATCGGTTACTAAAAAAACGAAAATACTCGGTCGTTAAATGATAATAAATGTACAATAAAGAACGATCAGTATGTTGATTGAATGTGTGCTCTAAAACATGTGCAGTCCTAAGCATATTTGTGTGCAATAAAGTCAACTTAAATTAGACTCAATTCAAGGAAAAAGAGTGATATTGTGATAGTATTGAAACTTCCACACTCTAACCCACTACTATTATAATAATCTTTCTTTGTTCAACTAATAAAATTGACCATATTGCAAACAAATTGGCCCTTACCCATATATGTTTAATACCCTACACTTTCCTCTTTCTCTATACTACTCTACCCTTCCCTATCTTTCCCTATATTACCCCTACAAGCGTTACATTCAACACTATTTCCTGATATCCTTTGAAAAGAAGAAAAAAAAACAACAAATTTTTACCTATATACAATCTCTTCCTGCTCTGCCAATTCACGGGACAATTGACGATGAAAGGATGATGGCCGCAAATCCTCTGTATTTGTACTTCGTCTTTCACTTGCTGCACCGAATTATCTTTAACAACCTACAAACAATTCACAACGAATTACGATACCGTTTCGAATGTATACATATTGCTTCAATTCAGACCGCAAAACATGGTCGTTTCTATAAGTTGAACAAAGAAAGATTGATAAAATGACAGTTGACAGAGTGAAAAGTTGCAATGACACAAATGTCACTCTTTCTTTTTCCTTTGTAAGTGTCTCATGGAAGATTGTTAAAATGACAGTTGTCAGAGTGACAAGTTGCAATGACACAAATGTCACTCTTTCTTTTTCCTTTATAAGTGTCTATAATGTAAGTTGTCTTTATCGCACCTATAGCCTATATATAATCTATGTTGCGATCTGGAATGAAGCACAGCGTATACACCAGAGTACCTTAGATTTGGAGAGGACTTTCAAAGCGAACGTCTCGCCGGTGGGTACCTCCTTGGCTTTGTACACCTTGCCGAAGGCCCCTCGATTGATCTCTTCGATTATATCGAAACGCTGCTCGTCGCGACTCGAAGCGATCGGAAACACGGGAAGAAAACAGGATTCCGATTGGGACACGGGCCAGGCGGTCTTGCTCGATTCGTACGGCAGCGTCAACGTCGATTCCTTCCACCTGAAAAACCGACAAAACCGAGGTAATTACGATGGATATTTAGAGTACAATTAGAGCGAGAATTTCGCGCGGAAGTTCCGTGAAACACGGGGAAAGAAATCCGAGATAGCGGGGCAATCACGTTCTGATCCTGCACGAGGGCGTCCTTGAACCGAACGGCGATTTTATCTAATGATTTTTAGCGATGGAAGAAAAAAAAAAAGGCTCCGGCGTCGTTTTTAGTTCGTAATTAGATAACGAATGACCTACTAAATTATGCCGTTTCGAATTGGAAACATGAAATCGCATCGGAGAATCGCAATGACCGACATTATTAGATATATCCAAGGAACTTCATACCTTGTAGAATCATTTTTTTTCCGCCAAGATTGGTGTTATCATTAATTATTCGCACGCGCGTAAAAGCTTCATGCAACCTTCGAAATTATTTACTCCCTTTAATAACTGCATAAAACGGAAAATCAACAAAAACAATAATATTTTCGCATCGAAATAATCGAACTACTCGATTCATAAACAGATTATTTTTTTAGTTAAAGGCGCTTATTACACTTCTATTACACGGAGGTTGTCGACCGCTCAAAAAAACAAATTAAAATAAAATCACACACGATTCTAATAAAGCGAGAAAAAAAAAACATTTAATTACGCTCTCATTGTTCGCGATACATTTTAATTCTAATCGAGAAAGCATCGCCGGTCTTGTTGCCAAGTCTAAAAGTCTAGGAAATTTTCTCTCGAAATTTATCTCCGTTGTCTGAGATGCGAGTAAACAAAAACACGAAAAGCCCGGTTACTCAACGGGGCCCCGGTAATCTCCGGTAACAAACAGAATAACAGATTTCGTCTACCTGATAATAATCGGGCGAAATTAGAATAAACACCGCGCACATTAACGAAATACGTAATTGCACGCGCGCTTATTCTCTACATTGCAGTAGAATTGCGACTGATAAGAATATTTTTGCAGCAAACAAAAATCCCAAAAGATAACGAATTTTGAGGACTGCATAATTTATGGGTTTTTTTTTCTAGTTTTCAACTCCCATAGAGCTCACCCTTGTCACAAAAGCAGGTAGAAACAATTCAAAAAACCCCATCCCAAAGTATTTAAATACCTAGAATACGTTGTTTGTATAGGCCTCCTGAATCCTACCCTGTATTTCTACCACCATGTTTATCAACAACAAGCTTTATACTTCTCATTGTATATCCCAAACATTAAGCACCCTTATTACAAATACGGAATCTTGTAATGTAATTAAATAGTATTCACCTCCTTAAACCGACCCTGTGCGTTTTTAAACATAAATTTATCAACATTTATCAAGTAATCGTTGTTTCGAGTTGACAGATCCTATTTATACGAATGCAAAACGGTACACAAACATCACTTCCTTGATGCCTGACACGTGGTTGATTATCTTTATGCAAATTATAGAATACGAAAATAAATAAACAAAATAAGAAAAATAGATATAGCGTTTGTGTGGCTTACCTTCGTCTGGATACCCTGGACCAAGGTCTGGCGAAACTATAAGTAGATTGGTGGCTGCTTACACTGGCAAAGGATCTGCCGCTGGAGCCTGCACTGAAATGCGAGTCCGCCTGCGAAACACGCCAGAAATTCGGTGCGTTTTAATGGCGCAGTTATAAACAATGGAAGGAAGGTTAAGGCACTCACTTGCTTCGAATGGTCGTCTTTCTGTTTGTAAACACCGTCTACGAAACTCGAACGCGCATCGTTTCTCTTAGTTGTTGTATTTCCCATGAAAATCTACGCGGAAATACGCTTTCCGAGCTTTCGTATCCAACATATCAGCTGTGATGACCTCAAAATCAGGTAGAAAACCTTTTGTTGCTTTTGCCTGTTATATGATGATTGATGACAAACAATTCTGAACGGAGAACCAACGAACCGATTGCTTCTCTCTTCGTCACGCTCTCTTTGTGTTGGATGGAAACTCGCACTTGACGCCGTACGATAGAACGAGACGACGTGTACTTCATCATCGACCTGTCACTTGCCAACGTAACACTTGCTCCGTTCGTTTCTTCTACACCCTACGCAGCCTACACTGTACCTACTCGAATTATAGTAATTTTACCGATATTAATTTAAACTGCTGAATTACGAATTACACAAACGATTAATTTATGTTTTGCAATAGAAAGTTTATTGTAAACTTGTTTAATATTTATTTGAATTATCGATTTTTCCAATGACAATAGTGACATTGAAATAATTAAGTTGGCAATATTGCGTAAATAAAAAATGCTGATAAACTTCATTCGTACCAAATCCAAATGGTTATAAAATACCGTAATCATATAAAACAGAGTGATTTCTTAACAAAAATAAGTTAAAAACATCCCAACATTCAATAATAAACGTTATTCATCATAATCAATCTATTTAAGTTGTTCGATGTTTATAGGTTATGCGAAGAGAAATGTCATAGCAAAGGAAAGGTCATAGTTTTCAATTTTGTTACTAATTACCGAGAAAAATGATTAATGCGTTTACAAAAAATACACACTTACCTTACTGTAGATCATTTTGTATATAAATTTCGAGTTCCGAACGTAAAAAAACGCTAAATGGATCCAGCAGCCCTTCGAAATGTACCTGACGGTGAGAAAGGTAAGGATTTTATTCAATAGAAACGTTTTATACAATTAATTTTCTCCTTGTCAGATTATCAAGCTCAAATTAACGAATTGCTAGAAGAAAAGCAACACATTCAAGAGGAATTCAACATTCAAAGAGCGAAATTAAAAGAACTGTTTCTATCTAAAGAAGGTACCGAGTTAAATTGACGTGCTTACGTGCTTGTAACGCGATTTTTGGTTTAAGCCGAACTAGCTGGGAGAATCGAGGAAAACGAACAACTTTCCAGCGAGCTATCCAGATTACGAAACGAATTAGACGATTGCAAAAGCCAGTTAGTCGTCGATAGTATTACTTTAGAATCCACCTTCGAAGTAGAGAAAAGGAAAGCCGAAGAAGAGATAGCTTCCCTACAACGACTTGTACATGGTAAGTAATGGGTTAATGATTGATTAGTAAAACACGAAATGAATGAAAACGCTTTATTTATTAAGAAACCGTGGAAGAATCGAGTTCGACTAGATGTCTGTACGATACCGAGTTAAAGAAACTACAAAACTACATTCAGCTATTACAAAGAGAAATAAGCGATTTGAAGACAGAGAAGAGTCAATCACTGCATCACATATCACAGGTGAGTCTGTTATTTTCGAAAAAATTAATCACTATTTTTATATTAAAAAATTACACTAAGGATATTTATTTATATTTTTACCTTTTGGCGTTAGTTGTGTTTGAAATTCGAACCGACTCCAACCTTAAACTGTCAATAAAGACTGATAAAATTTTCCAACCTGTACCTTATCGCCTACAAATTTAAATAAACTATTAATTCCAACGACCCACAAGTTTTTTTATCGCCTACAAAACCGATTATATTTCAATTTATGTGGATATTCGATAGAGTACGAGCCGTCGTAACGGTTTGTTGTGAATTTAACTCGCGTTAGTAGGTCGAATTTTTACAAAAAAATGGATGTTATCGATATTATCAGGGCAAGTAGTGCCTTTCTCGAACTATTCGATACATTTATTTATTAATACTCTTTTGTAGGAACACAGTAGTTTGGCGCCCAGTCAAGTTTTGAACGTTCTAACCAAAGGATTGAAGAAATTAGGAGCGGATTCGTTTTCGTCGCAAGAAAGCGTCGAAGATCTATCCAAAAAGGTACCCGAAACGAACCTATTCCGAATCCAACCAATCTACAAACATCTAAATTTCAGACTGAAGAGGACGCCGAAGTGCTACGCTCCCTCGTAGAACCTCTCAACGACCAAATAAAGGCCCTGAAAGAGAAACTGCGCGCCACCGACGAGCAATTGCAGAAATGCAGGACGTGCAGCCACCACTCGGACGACGTCAGTTACCTCCTAAACTCACAACAACCCACCCTAAATCATTATTTTTAGGGCGATTTGTCCCCCGCGAACGCCACCACGGCCACCAACACCTCTTTCGAATCCCACCGGCTCTTCATCTGCGACATGTGCAGCAACTACGAGGCGCAGCTGGTGCGCGAACAGAAGCTCTGCAAGGAGCTGGAGGCCAAAGTGGGGGCCGCCGAGAAGGCGGCCGAGCGCCACAAGGAGGAGCTGCTGAAGGAGATCGGCTTCCGCAAGGACATGGAGGAGAAGTGGAACGAGAAGAAGGAGGAGCACAAAAGACAGGTGGATGTTGTTGAATAGTTTATGTGCCGGTTGTGTTGAGTTTAGTCGTTTTAGGTGACTGAATTGACTCGTATTACTGATTGTACCGAGCAGGATTTGAAAGAGCTGAAGCAGGTGTTTAATCAGACTTGCTCGGAGATGAAGATGAGCCTGGGGAAATTGACGCACGAAAGGGAAATGGTGCATCAGGAGCTCGTTAGGTGATTACAGCAAATCAATTAATCACATTCACTTTTATAATTACATAATATTTAGATTGCAACAGGAGAACGACATGTTGGTGGGGAAATATACGGCGTGTTCGCAAGACTTGCAAAACGAATTCATCGATTTGCCGAACGTCGTTGAAGTATGTAATTCGATTTAGGTAGATTTGGTTGTTATTAAAAATCGATTTTCGATCGGCAGGATCTTCAAGAGTTGGTGTTGAAGAGTCGACAGAACCTGATAATGGCCGTGATTGGTAAAGAAGAGATGGAGAAGAAGGCGAACGTTCTCCAATCGGAAATTATGCTGTTGAAAGATAGGATAACGAACGATCAGCACGAACGGAAAGGATTAGAGGATAATTTGGAAATCGAGATTAGGTCGCTTAGGTAGGATAAATACGTTAAATTTTGTATAGTAATGTTAATGTAATCGATTGTTGTAGGAAACAAATCGATCAGCTACAAAAAGAGAAGAAACAATTCCATTCGGAACACGAAAAATTGACGAGTTCCCAAGTTCACAATCGGGAGAAATTAGATGAGCAAACCAATAAAATCGAAGAATTAACCAAAGCAATAGTAAGTACTTTTACCATTCGCAAACTCGAAATAGTTCCTAATACACGAATCGATTTTTAGAAATCCACGGAAAAACAAAACAACGAACTAAAAACCAGAGTACTTTCACTTCAACAAGAATTAGACAACACCGAAGCGGTCCAACAAGACTTCGTTAGGCTATCGCAAAGTTTGCAAGTAAGTACTCTCACTACGATCCTAACGAATTAATCGACCGGTGGTTCTCCGAAATAGGTTCAATTAGAAAAAATCCGCGAATCCGACGTGGAGGTGCGATGGCAACACGACGAAGACGTCGACGCCTGTCCGGCCTGTCGCTCGGGCTTCGCCTCGGCCAAGCACAAGCAGCACTGCAGGCACTGCGGCCAGATATTCTGCCAGAATTGCCTCGCCCGGACCGTCCTATCGGGGCCCCACGGCCGCCCTTCGAAGGTCTGCGACGTCTGCCACACGCTGTTGAACAAGTCGTCGGCGCCCTATTTCAGCGAGGCGCCCCCCATGACTTGAGCCCCGATTAGAAATTTCGATTAGAATGGTGACACGTTGATTAGTATTTTTAAAATTCTATGCTTGTACTTGTACAAAGTTATTATTACATTGTAACGGTTTATCCCGAATGAGAATCGGTGCATTCGAAGTTTTAAATTTCTGAATATAGTCTATAATAAAAAGCGTATTAAAATTATTTCTATATATTATTCGAACTTGTGGCATCGATCCGATTTTTTTATGATATTGTGGTAATATTGATCCATAGGTGAGTACCTCACACCGTTCCATTCCTCTTGGATTCTAAAACAATTCGAACTTGTAATAAACTCTTTAACAATATGAATTTAATGTACTTATTTGTGTCTTTCTTGACGATTCTGACGGGTCCCCGGATTTGATTCCACTTGGAAACTTTGTGCTCGTTGACGACCATTAGGCCCAGAATGGAATTCCACAAGGCGAATTCCAAGCTCTCGTGCCTGTCCCAATTATCCAGCAACAATACGGAGGAACTTAGTATATTAGCGGCTTTGGCGGCGTCCGTGATGTCCCCGAAGTATTTCGGGTAATTCTCGAACAAAAACGACATGAACATCTGAGGTTGTATGGAAAATTCGTCGACTAGAGATCCCACGTTTTTAACCAATCGCCACGAATTGCCCAGTTGTTTCCTTTTCGGTTGCAAAACTCTACCTAAACCGTGAAATAACCCAAGCGATTGGTCTTTATTCATTACGTCTAACTTCACCGAATCTTTCGAACGTTTCCTTTTGCCGGGTTTTTCCTCCTCTGTGCTTATTTTAACCGTGGGTAAATCGCCGCTACCTGCGTACAATATCGATAAAAATCGATTGAATTCATCGTGTAATCGATTACCTAGTAAACTAGCCATATGGAACTGGTTCATTGCGTTTCGAATATCACCATCGGCCGATGCTAATATAGCATCGATTACAGTCGAAGAAGGCTGCTTGAGAACATCGGGGTTCGATTTAACCAAAGCCTCTGCTCGTTTCAAAGCCAATTTCAATTGTCTCGCAGCGCAAGAATTGAAACTGAAATATATCCAAGATAGTTTAAGTAGAAACTAAATCGCTCGAGCGCTTGCCTGATGTGATTGATGTTAAATTTCAGCAAAACTTCGTCGGGGAAGAGGGTCCTTTGTAGGTTTACGTTCGCGTTGTGGGCCTCTGTGCAAATGAAGGCTATCGGCTGGTTGATGTATCTGCAACTTCTGCAAATATACAGTAATTAGATTGGAAAAGGTCGCGTTGAGAGGCTTACTCTAGAATTTCGCAAAATTGTTCGGGGTTTCTTATCACAGCGTTGGGGAAATCTTCTACGAGTGTCAAACGATTTAGGGAAGACTCGAAGAGCGAAGGGTACTTTGCGTCGAAGAGAAATTCAGAAAATTGTTCAATTTGGTTTGTTCTGTTGTATTCGTACTCTTGATCGATGGGAGTTATCCATTCGGTTATGGAAATACCTAAGGTCTTGCATAAAACCGAAAGAGTGGCTGTTTTTCCTGAACCAGTTGGTCCTGTTAGTAAAAGAAACTTGGCAGTTTTCTAGAAAAAAAAACAAGGCTTTTATATCAAACATCTAAAAAAAGTACATGATCCTTACTGATTTGTCTTGAAAAACGGCAAATTTTAGCCAATTTTCTACTTCTTCGATTTTCTTAGGGTGTACAGCCAAGTCGCTTACAGCTACAGGAGCTAGCTCTTTGTGGAAATTAAGAGCTTTGTTGGATGTGCTAGAATTAGGCTTTACATATTGCTTACGTTTAGTTACATTGGAATCATCTTTCCTAGGTTTCGATTTTTCTGTGCTTGTCGCAGGACCGAAGTCAAATGATTCCCACTACAAACATTATTTTATGATTCTAGAAGAATTAGGATTATTAATTTTACCTGTTTAAACTTTTTGGTTCTATTCATTATACTTTTTTTTGAGTTTGCCGAACAATTGAATATTTTTAAATTTACTTCTGTTATTGAGGTTATGTAAAAACTTACATGTCAAACAAGGACACTCGTACTGCATACAACAAACGTAAAAGGCATTACAGAACTGAAGCAACGAACGGATACTCAATGTCACGTGTCAACAATGTCGTATGCCATATAGACCTATTCAGTTTAACCTGTGCTGCGCGCGCATATTGTGGACAATTAGCTGGACATCTAAACGAACAAACGAACGCACCTCAGGTAAAATACGGTTCTGACAACCAGACAACGACAACTTAAGACGTCATTTGTCATTATCCAACAATCCGTCGGATTTAATGGACGCGGTGACTCGATACAAATTTGTTTTTACTGCCCAGAAAGGGGTTATAGGCTTAATATTTACGTACAAGTCAAGTCTAAGAAAGAGTAAGAGGGTTAGTACAAAGTTTCCGAAAATGCTTTTTGATCGGTTTGCTATAATATATATTTCAAAAAAATAATCCCATTGACCTATACAAAAAATTATTACCTTTATAAATAAATATACTAAATAATACAAAGAAATACTGTTAAAAATAATACACACTGAACATAAACAAACATCAAACGGAAACAAAATAGGGTTAAGAATGTTAAGATTGATAATGGTCTCTTCTTTTTTATATTTTAAACAGTTTTCATCTAAGAATCATTCAATGTGTCTGTCAATCAGCAATGAAATAGGCCAAATATCTCATCTCTCTTGCACTTATGTTTGCGCAGATTTTAAATGGTTCCACAAATTGCGCGTGAAACATATTTGCTTCTTTTATTCTCTTATGTTGATCAAATAACTCCATCACTCTCTTTCGTAAACTGAATAGGTCTATTTCGTTAAAGTCGTGAGTTGAGTTGACCGCATTCATTTAAATTTATTTATTAGAATCTTCGTAGTTTTAAGTATAAATATGTCTGATAACGAATCACTAGAAAAAGACGAATCCCAAACTAACGAAGATCCTCCAGAGCAATCGAACGAAACGCCTGTAACTTGGAAAGATTTGGTGAGTTACACACGTGGTCGACCATGTTGTAATCCTAATCTATAACAAAACGAATTAAATTTAGGGTCTTGTAGATGTTTTGTGCAAGGCCTGCGAGCAATTGCAATGGAAGGAACCCTCCAAAATTCAGAAAGAATCAATTCCGCTGGCTTTACAAGGCAAAGACATCATCGGTTTGGCCGAGACCGGTTCAGGAAAAACGGCCGCATTCGCTTTGCCTATATTACAAGCCCTGCTAAGCAATCCCCAGAGATATTTCGCGTTGATTCTAACGCCTACCAGAGAATTGGCTTTTCAGATATCCGAGCAATTCGAAGCTCTAGGTAAGATATTTAAACAGTAATGTTGTAGCGTTACTAATAAAGAGTTTTCCAGGTTCTAGTATAGGCGTAAAATGCGCCGTTATCGTAGGAGGCATGGACATGATGTCCCAATCGCTCATCCTAGCCAAAAAGCCCCACATTCTCATCGCCACCCCCGGCCGTTTGCTCGATCACCTCGAAAACACCAAGGGCTTCAGCCTGCGAGCTCTGAAGTTCCTCGTCATGGACGAAGCCGACAGAATTCTCAATATGGATTTCGAGGTGGAAGTCGATAAAATATTAAAGGTGATACCCAGAGAACGAAGGACCTACCTCTTTTCCGCCACCATGACCAAGAAGGTTAAGAAACTCCAAAGGGCCTGCTTGCAGGATCCCGTTAAAGTCGAAGTGTCGAGCAAATATCAGACGGTCGATAAGCTACAACAGTATTACGTTTTCATTCCTGTAAAGTTTAAGGTTTGTTCTAAATTATTTAATCGATCGATCAATCGAATGTACTTAGATGATGTATAAAATTAGTACTTATTGAATTATAATGAAATAATTATATTCGTCACTACCTCTGATTATAGTAATGGCGTTCTACTAGTTTATTTACAGATAATAAGGCGTTTATAAATTATGAATTTGTTTTAGGATGTGTATTTGGTACATATTCTGAACGAGCTGGCTGGTAACAGTTTTATGATCTTCTGTTCCACTTGCAACAATACCATCAGGACGGCTTTGATGCTCAGAAATTTAGGTTTAACGGCCGTACCATTGCACGGACAAATGTCCCAAAACAAGAGATTGGCAGCCCTGACAAAGTTCAAAGCGAAGAGTCGTTCGATATTAATATCCACCGACGTAGCTAGCAGGTATACAAAAATTTTCTCATCGATATTACTAATTTAAATTACTCGCCTATGATGGAAACATTGTGTTTGATTTAATACATGAAACGTATACAAATTTATTCGTCACTACCTCTGAGGTGATACTCGTAACTACTCTGTATTATAATTATGCAAGTGTAATGATTTTGTATTAATTTTTGTGTTAATATTACAGAGGTTTGGACATTCCACACGTGGATGTGGTGATAAATTTCGACATACCCACGCATAGTAAGGATTATATTCATCGAGTGGGTCGAACAGCCAGGGCAGGAAGGTCCGGGAAGGCTATAACCTTCGTAACACAAGTAAATATTCTTCGTAATGGTTTGAGTTAGTTTTCAATTAATTCGTTTACAGTACGACGTGGAGTTGTATCAGAGAATAGAGCAATTAATCGGGAAGCAATTGCCCTTGTACGCTACAGAAGAGGATGAAGTGATGGTGTTGCAAGAGAGGGTGGCCGAATCGCAAAGGATAGCGAAAATGGTAATTGGAAATTGGTTTTATTAATTCGTTGGGATTTATGTGTGTTGTATTTTAGGAGATGAAGGATTTGTCGGATAAAAAGGGCGGGAAAAGGAAGAAGGGAGGAGGAGGAGACGATGATGATGATACAGAAGGTGCGCTCGGCGTGAGGAAACGTCTAAAAGGCAAACAGAAGAAAACTGGGAGGAAAAAATAAAACGATTCGTTTAGTTTTTGTATTTAAATTAACTAATAAAAAGACTTTGGTGTGTAATTTATACAATTGGATTACATTACGATTGCTTTGGTAAATACTACCTGGAGGATATATACATGTATGTAAGAATAAGTTGAAACAAAAATATTACTATTACATAAAAAAATCGTATTATTTGGTACAATAAGTACGGAACGTTTGCGGTAACTCATCTAATCTTAAAACCTCAAAAATTCGTCGAAATTTCGTTTCGGTAAATTTCCAAGGAATCCACGAACTCCTCGTACTCCGCCTCTTGGGCCCCCGGCCTATCGACGCCCGACGAGATCGATCTCGGCTCCGCGTAGATTTCGTTCTCCACCGAACACTCGTCGGGCTCCTCGCGCTCCTTGATCCTCGATCTCCTATTGACGAATTTGCAATACTCGGAGCCCTCGCCCATTTCCAACGAATCCGGCGTGATGCTGTGCAATTGAGAGGGCGAGCACGGCCTGGAAGTCGACGAATAAGAAGAGGTGTTACATTCTCGCTTTTAATTTAACTTAAAGCATTGGCGTGGAGACATCTATAGAGTATATAAAGGACATTCGCTCGCTAGGCGATGACGTCACAAGCCGACATGTTGCAACGTTGTCGGGTTGAAATGAAAATCTTGATGTGACAGATATGTTTAATTTAAGGTTATGTTTACTTTCATTGTTTAGAATTTAAAAAGAAGAAATGCATTAGGTTGCAATCCGATTGACGGGAGAGGTGTTTATTTGCAACGCTTTACAACCCTATAAAACGGAAATATACATTTAAAAAAGTTTAACATAACCTATAAATTTCAATGTGCTGAACTATCGAAAACAATGATCGGGAAAAAAGGGCCTACATCGTCCCGTTCCCTCTCAAAATAGGTCGAAAAACCACCGAAAATCGCGGGAGAAACTGTCGATAAAAGTACAAAAACCGCACGAAAAACTATCTAGAACGAACGAAAAACACAAAAACTACTCGTAAACTTGAAAAAATACAGAAAAATCGCGCAAAAACAACAAATTGTAGTCACAACCTGTCAAAATGTCAACTACAAAGCGCCGCTAAATATTGCGAATGTTGAGACTAAATGCATGACAACATCGCTTTCGACTGTCAACTACGCGTCGTTAAATTCCCCTAGTCAAATGAAAGAATTAACATTGACACTAGGGACATTTTGAACTGCGAATGTCCTTTAATCTTTGAGGAAAACCATCGGTTACCTGTTGTTCGCAACAATCAAATCGACCGGTTTCAAAATGGGCCCGAAGAACCTCGTCGATCCGATAACATTCTCCGACATCATCTCCCTTCTCTGCATGATCGTCAGAGACTTGTGCGGCCTGGGCACGTCGTAATCCGGCTCGGAGAACCGCCTCTGCTTCATCGGCAACAATCTGGAAAACTTCAAATACAACACATCATCGAATCCTCAATCAGTAATCAGTTCCCTCACCTCTTCGTCGTTCAAACTGGCCCCGTTGAGGCTGGATGTGACGCCGGGCGCGAGCACCGGGGCGCTGGTCACCTTGGCCAGTTCCTGCAGCAGCCTGCCCAGCTCGTCGGCGTCGACGTCGTCCTTGCGGGCGGCGCGACGCCCGCGCAACACGACGCCGTCGGCGAAATCGGGCTCGCTGAAGCGCTGGATCAGCCGCCTGACGGTGTTCTCCTTGCCCTTGGTGGGCTGGGCGTCGAGCTCGTGCAGGATCTCGTCGAGGCTCTTGTCCTGCTCCGGCGGCTTCCTGAGCTTCTTCGGCGGCAGCGCCGCCATCTGGTGGGGCTCCGGGTGTCGCGGATTGTCTGCTATGGAATAGTTTTTGAATGCCTTGTTGGAGTGTTAATAAGGATTAATTAATACCTGTGAGGGTGCTGCTGGGTAATTGTGGTTGTTTGGTTTTGTCCGGGTCTTGCTTGGTGTGGTCGAATTTCGTTCTGGTTGTGTTAGTTGCGAGTTTTTCCTGAAAACAAGCGATTTTTCCGTGTTATTGCGATCGAGAGATTCCTGAGATTCGACTAGTAATAGTGTTGGAATGAATGCTTACAGTCAATACGGGCATTTTTTGCTCCAATAAATTTTGCAATTCGGAAAGCATCCTCAAGGCCGACGAATCGTCCGCCGGTGGTTTGTCGATTTGGTCCTTTTTGATTATCTCCTGGACGGGTTCCTTTTTCTCGTCCTTTTTCTCGATGATCCTCCACACTCTTCGTATGAAACTCGTCTGTTTCTTCACTTTGTTGGGCTTCTCCGCAACCGGCGCCTTCTTCTCTTGCTTCTTTTTGTTCTTCTTCTTACCCTGCACTTGCTCCTGTTAAACTCCTAGTTAGTACCATCAAGAAATTTATAATTATAATAAATATTGTACCTGTACGATTGTCGGTTCGGCGTACTCCACGTTATTCCTCTCGATATCTTCATACAAAACCTCATTCCTAACCTCATCATCGAAGAAACACGGTATAGAATAAGCATTTTCCTCTCCACTCCTGTTCACATCCTCCCCATCCACCAGCTCATTCTCGTTGTGATCGATCATCTCCTCCAGCTCCCGCTTCTTCACGCCGGCGTAACAATCGTTCACCACCGTCAGATACTCCACCTTGGAGTCCCTCCTGCCGAACAACGACTTGACCTTCTTCCGCGGCCGCTTCTCCCCCACGCCGGCGTACTCCACGTTCTCCACCAGCATCGACTCGGGCCGGGCGCGCTGCCTCCTGGCGGGCAGCGTGGAGGACCTGGGCGGCTCCTCCTCGCCCCTGGACACCATCTCGTAGAGGTGCTCCGAGGACTTGGAGTCCTTGCAGTCGAGCGGCGGCCGCCCCAGCGGGCTGTAGCTGTGGGCCCCCATGCGCTGCAGCCGCTGGATGATGTCCTCGTGGGGCGGCGTCTCGACGCTCTCGAGGGAGTAGCGGAAGTGGCTCATGCGCTGGACGGCCTTCTGGGGGCTGACTTCGGAGACGATGGCCTGCATCCATTTGGTCTGCTCGTCGCGGTTCTCCGCCCTCTAACGGGGGCCGATCGTTTTTAATACAAACATTAATTAACATTTTAATTTACTTACTAGTGTGATGGTGGATGTTCTGGTTTGTAGTTGGAATACTCCGGGTATCGAAGGGCAGGGTTTCACTATGCAGGGTGGGCCTAAGTTGATGGTGCCTTTGCAGGGTGATATCGTTTCGTAATCGTCCTTCGAGCGATAGTAGAGTAGTAAACCGCCTTCGAGGACGAACCAGTACTTTTTGTACAGGCCGATCATCTTCTAAATTAGTGTAAATGAGTTAGTATGAGTTGTTGTTGTGTGTGTTTTTGTGGTGGTTACCCTTTTGCCTTTCTTCTCGAGATAGCCGGATATTTTGGTGCAGTTTTTCGTTCGCATTTCCATGGCGGTTTTTCCTGCAAGTCGGAGAGTGAGTGAATTCCTCGCGCAACGAATCGCGGTAATTGGGTAACAGTTTATTAATCAATTTACCGAAGACAATGCGTGTAATTCGATTCGTTTCGATGCGCTCGAATTTTTTGTTGTTCGTCTTCGGTTTAAAAAGTGAAATTTTCGCCGATTTTACCCTTAAAATAACCCTAAAAATCGGTTTATTTCGAAGCGAAAATCAACAGAAAAATGCATCGAAAACATCGGAATTTTTTTAAAGAATCTCCATAATTGGTTAATGTCTCTATTTGACTTTATTAGGCGTTTTTCAAACACTCGCTTTCACCTCGTTCTCTTAATTTACAAATCGGGATCTGCATTTACTTTCGATTATTCATTAGATCCGATGCACACACGATTTTACGAACTCGTACGTGACGCGAAAAATCTAATTATCTCGTCCGATCGGTCTCGTTTTTAAGAAAAAGTTCTTCTTTTAATGACGATTTATTAATTGCAATTAATTAGAATGCACTGGAATTATATTTTAGTATAATAACAGTGATGCACCTTTATTGCATAGCAGTGTATTCGCTTTCCTTTTGAAATATATATTATACTGGAATAATCGATATGCACGATATTAGAAAACTTAATTATTGTTGAAAATGGTGCAATTAGTGAAGCAACGTTTCGTTTATTGTGTGTACCATCGTCAGTACTCGATTAGGGAGGAATTTTTTAGTAGAAAAAATTGATTGTTGAAGAGTCATCTTGTGGATAAGTTTTTCTATATGCTTGATTTTGGAAAATGGAAAAAATATAAAAAAATCAATGGAATTCTTCAGTAGAAACTGCGTTAATGGTAAATGCATTAATTCGTCGAAATCGGCAAACGATAAGATACATAAATAATGCGATTATTGTGAATCATTCGGATACAAAAATAAATAATTTGTTATAAGTTAATGACAAATAGGAATTTTTTTGTCAAAAATTTAAGAAAATGCAACTTTGGCTGATATCCAATAAAATAACCAAGCATATACCGGATGATTTCGCCACTATTTTATCACTATTTACAATATTATTCGAAATACCAGTGGTTTGTTATCTCTTTTGTTCCAACGAAACATTCGGGAAAACAATTAAGTAAATTATAAACACTGTTCGAAAAAAAAATTGTTAATTATCAACCACCGATAAACTTCCTGTATATATTCCGCCTCTATTTTAAAAGCGTTCTGTATATTTAATACACTAATTACTATTGCATTCGGGGTAGGTAAATGTTTCCCCGGCATGCGATTGGATCTAAGGGATTTTGTGGAGTGGTTTTCACTTAATATAATTATGTAGTTAGTTTTATATGAATTATATTGAATAATGCAATTTGTGTACTTAAGACACACGACAAAATATCGCCTTATCGGACTGTGTAGGTGTTAATAACATTATTATTCAGATAGAAGATTTGTGTTACATTCTCGTTTATCTCCATTGGAAGGATGTTGTTGGTAAATGTTCACGTAATAGTACAACAAATTTACTTTTATTCAATTTATCTATAAAATTACTAGTTTATTAGTCTCAAGTCCGGGCGATTGTAAGAGCAATTTCGCCTGTTAGAAAGCCAATTTCTTCGGAACATATGGGACTCAACCACCGTGAAAACCATAGAATAAACACATACATATTCATGCGATATTCGAAATATTTCATTGCTCAAACACGCGAATATTTCTTAAAAAAAAATCGTAATATTCACCTGGTGATTTTCGCACTTTTCCACTCCAAATTCGCCGGTATTTCACACCGAATCGCGAAGCATCACGCCCGATAACACCGCTCCTTTTGGGACTCTCCTCTCCCTGGACGTCTTCTCCTGCGAGGGGCGACCTGGTGCTCGACGGGACGGCGCGTACGCGTTTGTGCGTGCTCGACGAGAGACGGAATTCCAATGGAAATGGAAGATTGGAAGCGCCGCCTCGCGCTCGAGCCTGCTCTTTTCTATTTACGCTATTTTCAGTCGCGTTCCGCCAGAGAAATTGGAGCCCTCGCGGAAGTGCACTTCCGTTTTTCGGTGATATACCGGCCTGATGCGGCGCGGAGGACGAAACAAACCGCGAGCGCTTCGATCCGACTCGGGGGAACTGGCAAATAAAAAAAAATTATCGTTGATATTTATCGCGAACCCCTCGTATCTCGACATCGCTACAATTAGCAGATTTTGAGTACTGGATGATGAAAAGGTGGTTGTAGGTATTTATTGTACACCCCTCGTATCTCGAAATGACTCCAATTATCCTATTTTGAGTACTGGATGATAGAAAGTTGGTTGCAGGTATTTATTGTACACCCCTCGTATCTCAACATCACTACAATTAGCAGATTTGAAGTACTGGATGATAAAAAGGTGGTTGTAGGTATTTATTGTACACCCCTCGTATCTCGAAATGACTCCAATTATCCTATTTTGAGTACTGGATGATAGAAAGTTGGTTGTAGATATTTATTGTGATTGCCCCTGTATCGTAAAATCAATACAATTTTCAAAGTTAGAGAACTGGCAAATACCAAAGCGATTCTACATACTTATTCCATTCCCCCTGTACAAATTTGTTGTAGATAAACTGCTCCGCAAAAGTTAAGGAAGTTCGCAAAATTTGCGATTATTTTAAAAGTTACAGACTTTTTGATCACCAAATTTTCAAATATGCGAAATTAAATGTTTCCTCTCATATCTGAATGGATTTTTTGTCCCTACCTCTACAATCATACTAAATTTGGCGATCAAAAACCCAGCAACTTTTAAATTAATCTCAATATTTGGGAACTTCCTTAACTTTTGTGGAGCAGTATATTTATCGTAAACCCCCCGTATCTCATAATCACTTATGCATATCTCTTAAAAACACTCCCTTTTACTTCTATATTTTTTTATATTATGCGAGTACAACACATTCTGTATATACGAATAATAAATTATATTTTGTACTAACATACGAGGGTAGTGCGATTATTTCTAACTCGGCTTACCTCTTAGCATGGAAAGAGCGCGCGAGTGCGTGACGTAATCAGCAGGAAAACCGTTTTTCTTCTCACGAAACGGCCATTAGTCTTACCGGTGGTGGGTTTGAAAGATTTCCCGGGGGGCTGGAGAAAAGTATTTCGCGTGTAATTGTTCGTGCGGGACTGTATGCCGAAGAATTCGAACGCTTTGTTATGAATACTTTATAGAGGTATGTCGTGGATTGGAATCCTCGTAATGAGCTGGACTTGGTAAACATGTATAGAGGAAAAATGTGCTGTTGAATTCCTGCGGGACGCATCATCCTGTATGTTTTGCGTTTTGAGAATGAAAATGCGGTCGTTTTATTGCGTACAATTATGTATTTTATAATTTCGGGATTATCATACAAAATACTATCAAATATACGAGTTCGCTAGGAAAACAAGCCGTAAAAAAATACAAAAAAAATTACAGAAGCCTTAACGTCTAAAGATATGTAAAAAATAATCGGTATATTCAACTTTGACCCTAAGAATTAGTAAATGCTTCGACTGGTAAATACGCTAATTTCGTCGACGAATACATGTAATAATAATTATTAATAATACGTGAAAAAAAAGATATTACAAATTGCAAAAACGGTTACAAAACTACATCAGTTCGAGTTCCGAACGGTACCAAAACAGGCCCCGCCGATACATTTTGATAAGCAGTAAAAAAATTATTTACACACGAGTCGTTTTGGTATAAATCGTAGGAAAACGAAGGCCATTTATGGTTGTTTTGGCAGTTGAAAAATCTCCTTATAAATTACACCGCAATTTCGGTTACATCACATCGAAAAAAACAAAATACATAAACAAAAACACCGTCCCTAAACAACTAGCTTAAATCATTTAAAACTATCATCTACATTTTCGAAATAAATAGAACTTTAGAAAAATAACGTGCACAAAAAATCAATGAAAAAAAAAATTAATACACGTATATACAGAATGTCGCGATGTACATCACCGACTAAAATCATCCACAGAACAATTTAAATATTCCGACATATGACATATGACATACTTCGAGTTCTACGCAAAAGTCGGCGAAACACCGCAACACCCCGTATACATAACAACGTCATCGCATCCTCTTTTTCGCGACATCCTAGTACTCCCACTGGGTGGCCCCCGCCAAGGCGGCGTCTCCGACGCGGAATCCCCCGTTCTTGTTAGCAACCAGGTAATTCCCCGCCGCCGTTTTGATGCACAGCCTCGTCGGCTCTCTCAGCTCCAAGTAGAATCCCTCCGGCGTGTCCGATTCCGCCGAAATACACTCGCTATCCGCGTGCCAGTACTTCCCATTATGATCTACAAAACACATTAATTACTAACTCGATCAATCCTTTACCGCATTCGGTCAATATACTAAACAACAAAGGTTGGCTCAAGCTGACGTCACGTCATCAATTAATCAAATCTAGTGACTTGTATAGCTTGTAATATAAACGTACTTTTGAAATAAACGACGCCCTTGTCGCCCCTTTCGACTTGTATCGACTCGTAGGCGGCCTTGTTGCATTCGAGCTTGGGATTGGCGGGCGACTTGTAGCCGACGAAGCCCTGTTCGCACTTGAGCACCAGAATGGGCCGGTTGACGAGGTAGAAATAGTACTTGCAGGTGTCGTCGACGGTGTCCGAAGTTGCGTACAAATGGCCGGAGCGCTTCGTGATGACGTAACGGCCGTTGTTCGCTCTAAACGCCACCGAGCCGTCGCTTTGCCACGATAAATCGAACAGAGCGTTCGACGATCTGCAATTAATGTAATTATTACTTGTGTATTATTGAAATAAATCGTTGAACAAAAACGGATTCTTCTTTTTTTTATGTGTGAACCTGTCAATCTGTCATTTGCGTCAAGAGTTTTAATGACTATGTTAAATTTCAGTCTACATGTCAAAATTATCTGGTAACTTAATATAATTCAATATAAATTATTATTCTAATATAATTATTACTTGTATATTATTGAAATAAATCTTTGAACAAAAACAGATTCTTCTTTTTTTATGTGTGAACTTGTCAATCTGTCAGTTGGGTCAAGAGTATTAATAACTATGTTAAATGTCAGTCTACATGTCAAAATTACCTGGTAACTTAATATAATTCAATATAAATTATTATTCTAATATAATTATACTTTTTATTACTATAACTAAACGAAACATGAAACAAACAACATTATTCTTCTCTTATTATCTGTCAATCTGCCATTTGTGCCAAGAATTTCAATGTCCGTGTTAAATGTCAATCTACATGTCAAAGTTTCCTGTTAACTAGGCAACTCAAAATACAACGCAACATATTTAAATCGCTTGATAAGCGAATAGTATGAACGAAAAAATGTATTTACCTTTTATCACCGCACGCTTGGATCCCGCCGCCGGTCTCTAGGGTCCAGTACCTGTCCTGCATGGTGCGAATGTACCATCTCTTGGTGCTCCAGTCGAATTCCAATTGGAAGGTTTCGTGATCGGAGATTTCCTCTTGATTAGCCGTGACGTCCACACCTGAGAACAAACCATCAATCACTGACCCATTGCGGCTTTTTATACAGCGATTTGCTGATTGATTTCTCGTTAAAATCCCGATCGTTGTTGTTACTTTCGTTTATAAAATGCGATTGTGCACTATAGAGTTATTTTTTACGTAGGTATTTTGATTTTCTTCGACTCGAACTGGCATTCCTAATGAAAACGTGCGAGTATTCGCGGAATCCATTACGTTTACGTGACCGCGCATAAAATCGAAAATGCCATCTAATAAGGAGCTCGAAAACGTAATTGGTTAATTAAGCAATTAATTTTTTTACCCACAATCGCGGTATAAAATATAAAATAAGAGGAATAGAAACGGCATTAAATACACCCAATCGTCGATAAATAATCCGAGATAATAAAATTATCATAACTACATACATATGTTTACCGAATGCAAACACAACAAACCGGTGCCTATAGGCAAAAGCTTCGCGTAGGCATCGCGAAAAATCGAAATGAATTTATTACCTACACTAGCCGAGATCGGATTAAATTCCTCGCGTTAACCATATGCCCGTCTGGCCTTTTTTTTTTCTCTCTCCTGCTCCTCTCCAACGTGGTATATCACATACACACACACACACACATCTGTTGCTCTCTCGCCCGGCCTTTACAGTTATTCGCCGGTTCGAAACACAATGAACTATAACCAGAAGATCCGGACACAAAGGAATTTCATCGAGAGCGCACAGCAAACGAAAATGGTACCGAAATTTCGAATTGCAGCGCAACCGTTACTAGAAAATGCCTTAAGAAGGACGGTAATTAAATCGCTGTAGCGTCCCGTTAAAGAAGACCTGGGTATATCAAAAAAAAGAGCATTTAGATTGTAGATAACTGGCGACATCTGCAAAGCGTGTACGCGAGTACTAATCGAAAGAATGCCGTTCGCAATCTTTTTATTTTTCTATTTCAAATTACAATCCCGACCGAATCGCTTGCAAACAAAGACCCATTTCGTGTACTGTACGAAGATAACACAATGTAAGCGATTGTCACTTCCAGGAAACACATAATACAACTCCAGAACACCAGATAGTTACCTTGCTTGACGGAGACGAATCTGGCGTTCAAAGCAGCTACAAAACTAGCCTGGGGCAGCGAATCCTCCAACGAGAAGAGCTCATCTTTGGTGACAGTATTCGAGCGCGTCTTGAGCACCGCCTTGGACCCGATGGGGCTCAAATACTGGCCGGTGCGGTCGCGCAACGCCAGCTGCCCGCTGTGATACTCCGCCGTGAACAAGCAATCCTTCGAGCACTCGTCCACCAGCTTGCCGTTCATGGATAAATACTTGTTGTTGCAGGTGTGTACGGCGTACTTGCCGCTCTCCTCCGACCGGAACTCCAACGTGAACAGCGTGTCCTCGCCCCACGGCACGTTGGCGTCCACGTAGATCTCGTCGAGGTTCTCCGACAGATGGGCGAAGCGCTTCCTGCCCACCGAGCGCAGGTTCATCTGCGGCCGGGCCGCCAGATGGACGTTCCAGAATTCCGCGTCGCTCGGCACCTTCGCCGTGCAGGTGAGTTTATCCGCAGAAGCGCCCAAGAAGTACCTATAAACATTTACACACTCAGAAATAACTACCACCTTTAGTGATTACTACTAACCCTCTAACTAAGTTCCTCAAGGCCCATCTACCGGTACCATCTTCAGCGACGCTGATTTGGAACTTGCAACCGGGATCCTTCACGTCGCTCTCGCAGGTGACGTTACCGAACGAATCCACTGCTAAATATTTATCCAAATGCGACCTCAGATAGATCAAACCTGTAGGAAATCGATAAATCGATAAATAGAAGCTTCCTATCGAAGAGTATCCAAAACACTCACTATCTCCGGCGCCTGTTTGGTCGGGTTCCAACGTCCAGATTTGCTTCTTCTTCAGCGACGTGCCGTTGGCGTTGATCTTGAAACCGAACGATTCGGCGGTCAGATAGCGGAATTTGGAGTTGATCAGGCCGATCGTCCAGCAGCCCTTCTGCTGGTTCTGGGTGATGATGTCGCCGCAACCGTTCGAATCGCCGTTGGTGTGGTGCTCCACGCCGTTCATCGTGATGTTCTGTAACAGGAATTCGTTGATGGAATTCGGCGAGAAGCTGTAGAGATGTTATAGAGGGAGATCTGAAGAAGGTCCGTTTTTAAAGGTGTGTGAAGATGTAAGGGAAACATTTAGAGGGTGATTTTTGTGGGGAATGCTTGGGGAAGATCTAGAGTGATAATGTGGAAATGTATATTTGTTAGAAATTGGTTTTTTTTTGTACATACCAGGATATCGAATGAGTCGCTTATAGAGCATAATTCGGTCATATTTTTTTATTCTAAATCTACCGATTTTATTTTGGTATTTAATAGTTTGTATTGACAATAACGTCATGTAATCAATACTACCACAAACCATAAATATCCCTAGATTTTCATTTAATTATAATAGAGACAAAGATTATATTAAATTTAGCTGATGTTTTTATTATTGCGGTTAGTCGAGATACTCTTCCATTTATCGAAAGGAAGTCGGAGTAGATACTGGCTGCATTTTAATGTAATGGTTTTCGAAACATATTTTAATGGACACATTTCTCTCTACCTGTATAAAATCCCCGAAATGCGAGAGCGCGTTTAAAGTAGCGAATTCCTTCGCCCCTTAACGAGACTCGAACTTCCACTTAATCGATCTAAATATAGCGCCGAATTATAAGCGATATATTTATATAAGGACATCGGGCTGTTCGCCTTTCCTTTTATCGCAGGAATGTTTTCTTTATGCGATTATACGAGTCTATTTCGAGAAGGCGATCGGCTGCGCGCATACGCATTTTGTGTATACAGGGCGTATTTTCTTTTCGGAGAGAGATAAAATTCAGCACGAGGACGCGTTTGTTGTGAATTGTGAATGTGAAATTCCGCAGGAAGCGCTCGGTGTGTGCCGGATGAAATTCGATATTTTTAGCCGTCGACGAGACGGCCCTGAACTTGCGCTGTCGGGTCAACTTCGATTTCGAAGGGCGTGTTCGGAATTTCGAAGGGCAAGGGCAAGGTCTTCCGCCCTCTTCGGAAGCTAATGCAGGAATTCCGGTCACGGAACGTGCGTATATACAAAAAAACAAACCCGGCGAAATCGCTTTCTACGATGTCGATACAAAAAAACGAACCCCGATGACAGGACGTGTCGATCTGTCAAATTTGTTACGAGCACTCCACAGTCGACTAGATTAAAGTTATAGTTTAAAAATGTGTTTTTTGTGGATTAGTTCTCGTTTGATAATCTCCAAAAAGATTCCGAGAGCGCGTGTACTTGTACAATATTTAAGAACGTACAAAAAAACGAACCCCAATGACAGCTCCTGTCGAACTGTCAAATTCGCTACGAGTAGGCATACTCCACAGCCGATTAGATTAAGATTAAATTCGGAAAAAAAATGCATTTTGCGGATTAGTTCTCGTCTGATAATCTCCGAAAAGGTCCGAGAGCGCGTGTAACTGTACAATTTTTAAGAATGTAGGTACTGAACGGATATTATTTACTAACAATGGTCACAGAATGGTGGCTTTCACGGTTGTAAAATTTCGTTAATTGCCCGCTGATACGGAGATGCAATTAAGAGTGCTCGCCGTATAGAAAATATAACGATATTAATGAGGTTATTAATACGAAAATAAAGAGTCGTACTTGAAGAAATCCGCCTTGTACGGCACCTTAAAATATCGAAAATTTCGTACAAAATATAATTAATTAATTAATAAAACATTATATTAGCAAAAACGGAATATAAACAATTAATTATTATAATTTTATTTATATGCTCTACTGGCGCTTTCTCCGTAGGTATTACTCGCGTTCCGCGAAATTAATATATCGTTAATTTGGGAAGATTATTACCGTTACAAATGCATAATTATCAATTCAAATGATAATGTTTTCGCGCTGGATAAGTTTGAAGCTTTTTTTTAATGGTGCATGAACATATACATAAATTTACGCTACGTAATTTTTAATGGTAGAGAAATTTGGATTATCCTGAAAATCCTAGCAAATTCTACTATCTAATCTACCGCAAATATATACCCTATATAGGAAAGATACTATCTTAATTAAAACTGTTATCTTAATCTTTCTGCCGGTGTTTTATACGGGATTAAATATTAACCGGCTAACAGAAAATTAAAAGAATTATCTCATATTTATCCTTTAATCCTTGTTATATTTAAATATCTTTTCGTTGTATAACTTTAATAAGTCTTTAGGTTTAAAAAAGCGATCCATGTTAGATCATGCTATGATTAAATTTTAATCCTTTTTATTAATTCATCAAGCACACACGCATCATTTTTATTCTTCACACAATTTACGTGCGTACAAATAAATTATAATTTGGGTCATTTGACAGCTATATGACAGTTATATGACAGCTACATGACAGTTGTCATTTAGCAGAATTTTATTTCGCAACAAATAAGGTCAATTTATTTGCAATTATCTGACGTTGAGCGTGAGAATTTTTTTTCTTATTATTTTCTCGAAAGTGCCCGTTAAAAAAAACGTTAACGAGCGTAATTTTTTGCGGGATCCCGTAGAAAATTATTGCGGTTTGTTCTTTTGATTAACGATTGATTTCACGATCGAACAAATCGGAGGAAAAATATCTTCAAATATCTACGGTTTTTTTTAAGTTTTTGAGTAGTGAAAAGTTGAAAATATTTTTATTAATTTATTACTACTAATATTCAAATATACCCACTTCAACTTTATTAACGATTAGGGAAATAAACAACGAATAATAAAAACTGTACATACAAGTAATTTCTGTATTGATAATTATATTTAAAATTTTTTAGCAAAAAAATTCCAAGTGCCCAACCTTGTGCCACACCGAAATCATTGTTCCTCATCAAAAATCAATATCCACAACCAAACCAAAACCACTCACACACACACCAATCTCACCAAACCTCTCAACTCAACCAACCCATTAAAACATCTACCTAACAAAGCACCTTATTATAAATTCAAATACGCCGATAACACTCTTACAAACATTAAAATATCAATAAACAATACCTTCTTCGACACGTCGACCCCGCAACTCTCCTTCTCTCCTCACCTACTCGAAAAAAAAAAATCAAATAACAATCGCCCGAGAACCGCCGATGAAATCGCAGAAACTCACTAGAAATTCGCACGGCCGGCTCTTCGTATGATGGCGATTCTATCGCTTAGTATTGTATATTTTATATTGTAGTCGTCTGGTCGGGGTTTCCGGTTAATCGAACGCGCACACGCCGGTCTCGAACTCTCCAACACCAACGGGAGATTGAATGAAAATGAACTCGACGAGTAACCGTCTCGCAAGAAATCACCAGGTTTGCGCCTCCCCGAACCCGCCGACCGGGTTTTATACCGACCCCGGCGACGCTGCCGCACCTTCCTCCATTTCCTCTTCCATGGGGAAGTTTACTCAACAACTCCTCCAAGCGTTTACCTAGATTTAGTCACTGTAATTACGAGAGAAATCGAGGGAGAGAATGAAGGCGTTATCCTCAACTAGTCGTACGAATTTATTACATACAGTAAATGTTTGGATGTAATTGCGCATGGAAGAAACGGCAACAACGCGTACAGAAAGGGAGAGTTTTTCTTTTCACCCCCTTTCTGCGAGGGTGGTAATTTTCGGTGCCGACTGCACTCGCAGCGTTATACAAATCGCTTCGAATTATCGATGAATCACGCTCTCTTTTTACACAAACCAAAACCAATTATCCTCTCACACACAAGCAATTTACTCACCCTGTAGACTATTTCGCGACAGGCGTATTTCGCGTCTAATCGTCCTGTCGAAGCATGTCAAAAAACCACACACTAAACCATCGCGCTGGAAATTAAACAGCCCGATTTATAGCCTCACATAGCCTCACATAGCCTCACATAGCCTCCCAGTAGCCCGAGAACGAGATGAACAACAACGCCCGCCGCAGGATGGTCGTGCAGAAGTTCAACAATCGGCCGCCGTTCCAAGCCAAGTTGAAGGAGAACGCGACGGCGGCCGGCAAGAACTACAAGAAGACCTTCGAGAACATCGAGGAGTCCTACAGGACGATCATGAGCCACTTGAATTCGATCGACGACGAGGAGGAGACGATGGAGGAGCCGGAGCCCCATTACCCGAAGAACCCCGCCAGACCTAAAGTTATAGGTACTCGAATTAAAAGCGCTTTGAAGGGAATTGATTTGTTATAATTTTTTGTAGTGAATTCGAGCGCTATACCGAAGGTGTTGGATAGGTTTCAAAGGGCAGCGCCCAAGCGACAGCCGACGGTGTTGAGGAGCAATAATCCTACTCGGAAAATCGTGAAAAACGATGAGAAAATTACGAAGGAAACCGCCCTATCATCGTCCGAAGAAAACGGTAATTCACTACAAAAAACCACGCCAAATACTCACTCCATACCACCCAATCTAGACAAATTCGGCCTGCAAACCTTGTACCGAAACAAAAACATGGATTTCGGCAAGAACGTTTCGAACCATCGCACGATGAAGAACCTCCTGCAAACCTACGACGAACCTCTAAAGGAATACTCGAGGTACACAAGCATCTTACAACAACTCAATCGCATTCCGATAATAATCGATTTGCAGCGTGCAAAAAGCATCCCACCACAGATTCGACAAGGCCACCAGCACCTCGGACATCCCCTTCGACACCCGCTACCACAAAACCTACAGGAAACCCCGGGGATCCAAGCCCAGGACCGTCGCCAAGCAACACAGCCACGGCTCGATCTCCAAGACGAGCAACCCCACGCCGAAACCCTTCTTGAGTAAGTCGACCAGCACCTTCCGGAAGACATCTATTAGGTGGAAACCTCCTCCAGCAGATAGCGCGATCATCTCGTCGCCGTCGTACGTGGGGTCGCTGTCGGAGAGCGCCTACGCCATGGACGAGGAGGGGGACTCGAGCGGCAACTTCGCCGCCGATCAGGTGAAGAAGATGGCGAGCAAACCGAACAAAATCGTGGCTAGAAAGACGGACAACAAGATGTCGACGAAGCTGAACGCCAGGGCGCTGAAACTGAAGACCAACAGCAAGTCGAAGCTGCGCAACAACGCCGGCGCCAAGAACTACATGGAGATGATGAACGCCGTGAAGAAGAAGCTGCCGAAGCTCGAGTCGAATAAGGAGTTGTTGTCCAACGGTTTGTGGTGTGAAATAATTGTGGAAAAAGTGTGGTGGTATCTTGGTGGTTTTTTTAGATAATAAATTCGAATGGTCCGACGAGGTGGAGGAGTCGAAGAGCGCGCACCAGGTGAAGTTCCCTAAGGAGACGCGATGCGCCGTTGAGAGGATGATGGAGAACGCTAAACTCGCTGGGAGCGATAGCACCAGGACGCCTTTGACCAAGTACATGAAGCCGAAGGAGATGAGCATCAAGCCGGCCATTTCGTTCAATCAGAAGGAGCTCACCGCTAGCAAGATGGCGTTCGCGAAGAACAATTCGCCGTACACGGTGAAGATGGAGGCGTCGCCGATGTCCAGGGAGAGCGGAGCCGTCGGGGACCACGCTGTGTCCGGGGCGAACGCCGGAAAGGGTGAGTATAATCCGGTGAATCCCCGGTGGTCGGGTTGAAAATTTGTGCATTTTTTTGGGGTTTGTTGTAATTTTTTTGCGGTTTGTTGTCATCAGGTGCGCCGTGCGGGAGGCCGGGCAGTCGCGTGAACAGGAAAATCCAAAAACCCAGAGGCGTACGATAGAAAAATAGGCCCCGACGAAAAACATTGAGCAAATTATCAGTTGCAAATGGATAAAAAGCAAATTGTTACGTGTCAAATCAGCACGACTAAATTACTCTTTATAAGTAATCCCCGTTTAGTTGTGCGTTTCTTCTTCTTTTTTTGTTATACACATTTTGGCGAATCGGTTTTTCCCCTATATGGATTTTCGTTACGGAAAAGTTAACAGACGGAAGAAAGCAAAAACTTGATTTCGGATAGACTAAAAGTGTGCCTCGATTTTTGAGATGATTATCTCCGCATGTACGCGCAATTAGCTGACCATGAAATAAAGAAATGAATTTTACCACTAGCTTTTTTATCGGTAGTCTAACAATTCACACTCTAATTGATACGCATAAGTTAATTAATAATAATTGGGCGCATTAATCTCTCACATGCTGTAATGGACGGCTACGTTATTTTATAAATATGTAACTGGATTAAGACGTATGAGCTGGAGGTGGAAATGAAGGAAATTTCATCCATAAGTAGTATTTTAAATTTCGCGCTTAATTTTGAATACGTTCCGAATAAACAAAACGAAGTTAGTCCCACATCAACTGTCAATGTCAATAAATTTTATTTTATAACCTGTTTGATTCGAAAACTTAGTTTGAATTATAATTATGTTTAAAGAAATAATAATCGCATCTGTTTCGACAATACCTTTAGTAATATACTATTTAGCAAGACAAAATTACAAGAAAAAACTGTATAAATTAGACAAGGACAACCCGTATTATTACCAATTAATTTCAGTGAACATGACCAACTTCGATTGTAGACAACATATTATCGACAGGATCGAATGTAACGACGAAACTTGTTCTTCCGTATATTTAAATACGCTCGTTAAATTTATTTCGAGCGCCGAAACCAGCATTTCCGTGTGCATGTACATGTTAACTACGAGGTATGTAAATTACGCACTGATCACAGCCCACAGGAGAGGAGTTAAAGTGAGAATGATCACCGACAGGGGAATGCTCGAAACGAAAGCAATGCAAAATAATATCCAGAAATTAAAAGAAAACGGTGAGTTAAAATTGACAGTTCTTTGATCAAAGTTAGTCGTGATCAGAGTTAACTGTGATTGTTATATTGTTATATTCAATGTAGTATAAGCGATCAGAGTTAGCTGTGAGAACAATATGTAGTTTGAAGTTAGTCATAGTTGAGAAGATAATTATTTTTGTAGGTGTTCCGTTTAAAGTTCAACCGGTTAGACATAATATGATGCACCATAAGTTTTGTTTAATCGATGAGGAGAACGAGCAAAAGGCGAAGTTGCTGTTTGGGAGTTTGAATATAACATTGCAAGGATTAACCTCGAATTTCGATAACGTCATTTTAACTAATAATTTAAGCATAATCGGGAGATTTAGTGAAGAATTCGAGGAATTGTGGAATTTGTTTTGACATGATTTATGTAGTATTCTAATTAAGTACTTTGTCTGTGATACTGTAATAAGTAAGTTCTGTTATTTACAGTATAGTGTTATTATTATTAAAAAGTTTTCAATAATTTGTAAAATCCAACTGTTACAGTAGCGATTTTTGGCCTCGTTTGTTGTAGTTATTAGGTCAATACACCTGAAGGTAGCGCTGTTTAGTTCTTAATATAAAAAAAGAAGAATTGTTTTTATTGTGATTGTGTCATCCTTACTTTTAATATCAAATATAAAAAGCAATATCTATAACATTTTATTACCTAGTAATTGAAAATACCAATACAAGATGCCCCTGTCGCAAATTAGAAATTTTCACTTAAAGGTAACGCATAAAATTATTGTAACTTTAAATGATTTTTCTACATTTTTTCTTTCCAGATACAATTTTTAATCCACTTTATTTTTATGTCGGTCGCCTCTATGGGTGGATGGAGTGCAAACGCTTATCTCTTCTACAATAGCATCTTAATTGTACTTCTCTTGTGGAGTATTTACCACGATCAGAGCCACGAACCAATACAATTGGTAAGGATATCGAATTACAACAAACCTCCTATATACTAGAATATATCTGAGTAATAGAATGTACACAATATTTCAGGCAATTGTAGTCAACGGCTCTTCTATACTCTTGGATATACTTCTATTAGTAATGGCATTCCCGGGAAGCAATGATAGTAAGAAATCCCAATTATTTTATAAGGAATCTGTTGAATTAAACACGAATTTTTAGGGGCTAGAGAAAAGTTCTCGGCTGCTATGGCTATATTACATTTAATCATCCGGCCTTTCAGCACGATTTTATTAATCAAAAGCCTGGAGGAACGTAGCGGAGCTTCGGGTAATTCCTGTAAACGCCAGAGTAATTATTTCAGTTAATTGTTAACGCTTTTAGGGGTGCTGACGGGTTTATTGACAGGCAACAGGAGCGAAGGGGCGGATTCCTACGAGGACATCGAAAGAGGCTCATCGGCCGCTCATTCGTCTGCGAAAGTTGGAAGTTACGATTTCGCTTCTCCTCAGCCACTGTAAACTTATTTTATTTAGATGTCGCGGTTTTATTGTATGTAATGGTAAATTTATTTACTTATTTTGAATAATTTGAGATCTAAAAATGTTGGACTTAATGTTAGTAATTCTATATGTTATTCATTGAGTTCTATAAAAGTAACTTGAGATTATTTGTAACGCAACCTGCTTGAATAAGTATATTAGGTATTAAGTGTTTTGCGTTATTTGTACATATATTTGTAGTGGTAATGTACATATTTTGTTTGGTTTTTATTTTCTATAGTTCTATAATCGATGTTGTATCGTAAATGCTATCTTATATTCTGATAAACACAGTGATATCGTCGAAATTTATTAAATGGTTTTTTTTATTTGTAGTTTATGTATGTGAAATAATAATTTTATAATTTATTCAAACTACAGGGTGTAATCTAATCTTGAAACCAAAGAAGTAGATAAGTTATTTTTAGAATGTTTTATTCGAATGTCTCGTTAGCAATTATCGCATATTTCTTAGTTATTTCCCTAAGATATAAAGCAAACTCAAACTATTTAAATTGTACATATCGCTTCGAACTGTATATTGTTTTATCATAAGTCATTGAAATATAACAAGCGACTATGTGTAATGTTTATCAAGTCTTGATAAATGAAAAATGCTAGCTATTAATATTTACAGGGAACAATTTTTTGATCTAAACTCCGAATTGTATATCTTTAATTTTATTTCACGAAAAACCTAACACACAATTATTCACAGATTCTAAAATTACAAACTCAGGAAAAAAATCTTCTTAGAAAAGTCAGAAAATACAGTATTTATATACCAATTTGATTTAGAAAACGGATATTTACATAACAAAAACAATCAATATCAACCTTCATCCTTCATTTAAATTATAAAAAAAAAAACAAACAAATTCAGTCAGAGTCACAAGTAAAGCTAAAAACAATTAAATTCTATCGTAAGTTTCCGCTGTTGTTACGAAATTCGGCCTGCAACCCGACAGTAAAAATATAATTCCATCCTGTAAAATATAGATTAGATTAGTTCGTGATAATTATATTTTGCTTTCGAAACAGCGACATTACCTTAACGAGACCTGGTAAATTCTTCCAGAACTCCACATTAGGAATTACTTCAGCACCTCGAGCGCCCCTAATGAAATATAACACCAAGGCCCCACCGATAAGATATACAGAAGCAACAATGAACAAGATTAATAAAAATACCGATCCTCCATTCATTCCATGATATTCCGTTATTATACAAACTTTAGGAGATGACAATAGTAATTCCTGAAACAGGAAAGCTTGCATTTTTATTGAAATCTAATGAGTTATCTATTTAAATCTTATCAAGGTAAATAATTCGAATTGCGCTTACTTTGTTATTATCATTTAGAATTTTCAGAAACGGTTGTTTAACATTATCACAAAGTAACTGTATTGTAGCGGTGATGGCTCTAAAATAAGTTTATTAAAACGAGACTTTACCATCGAAATGTACTTACTTTTTATCTGTTTCATTTAGAAAGGTTATCAAATAATTGTTGTCAGTTGTGGCGAATTTGATGCTCTCCGCTTTGCCCAAAACCGTGTGATTCACATTTATAGAAGTTGTATTGTTCGTTTTTACTTCGTAGTAGACACTTCTGAAGAGCTAGGTACATACGGAAATTAATATAATTTATAAAATAATGTATGATTTACTTACAACACCTGCTTCTAGTAAGTTATTAGGGTATTTGATGTTATGGCATCCCGAATAAGTGTAAGTTATGTTTCCTTGTGTATCGTTTAGATATTGTCCGTCTTCGAGAATTGTTGATATGTTTATTTTCTGATTATCGTTCAGTTGGCAAAAACAAGGATTTTCGCTCACGCAAACCGCTGCGATATTAGTAAACAGAAGAATCGGGCTACAAATTAACAAAACCTCGCGAATTTTTAACATCGTTATTTACATTATTTTATATTTAATCTAGAACGAAATATAAAAATCAACTAAGGTTATGAATGACATTCAAGTGACGTCTGTCATAAGTCATTCGAATTTTTTTATCGGCGTGATTCTGCAACGAACGCACCATAGTTGCACCAATCAGAAACAAGAGTTTTAGGTTGCGTTTTGTTGTACGTGTCCTGTCACATCAAAGTCGATGTCAATCCACTGGCGCATGCGTAATTAGTTTTCTGCATTCTGTAATCGTCCTCTTTACGTTAGATGTCTGTGTTTACTCTTTTCGCAAAAATACGGTGTTATCTGGAAATATTCCGCATCTAAACCAGATATTAGAAGATATTAGCCGCGCCATTTGATCGGTAAGTTTTTAATCTACCATTTTCAGTACTTTGTATATCGGCTCGACGAAGCTGTATTGTGATGCAGATTCACGGCGTTGGTGGAAGCCATTTTGGATTCTATTCGAACGGTTTATTTCTCGATTCTATTAGCCAATATTTCTGGGTATTACTTTTTAATTGTGGTTATTTTGTTCATTACTTTCGTTATGATTGGTTACATTTACGAAAAAAAAGGGGTACAAGGAGCTATTATGTTACATACCCTTAGATGTTAATTGTATATTATTTCTAAATAAATTTAAACGCATTTAGAGGTGCGTTTTATTATTAAATCGTAATCGTTGACGTCGTGTTTATATTTTGCCGGCGAAATGACGAACGTAATTTCTTTGGAACAATATCGGTTAATCGCTCGAATCGTACATTTTTTTCTCAATTTTATTTTTGCATTGCAAAGAGACAAAACATGTTAATTTTGGAGAGTTTCAGGCCGTGGATATTTCGTCGCCGTCGCAGCTCGTCGTGTACCGTCGTCCGTTAAATATAAACCGGAATTATTAGTATATAAAGTATATAAAAAAAAAAAAACGGAAACGGAAACAATGCCGGGTTTTAGCAGCGCGGGAACATTCAAAATATTCATCGGCAATCTGCCGGAAAAAACGGCCGTCGCCGAATTGCGTCCGCTATTCGAAAAATACGGCAAAGTGGTCGAATGCGACGTCGTGAAGAATTACGGCTTCGTCCACATGGAGAACGAGGCCGACGGACGGGAGGCCATCCAATCTCTAAACGGTCAAATGTTCAGCGGCCAACCGATGAAATGCGAGGCGGCCAAAAGCCGCAAAGCGCCCCAAACGCCCACCACCAAGATATTCGTCGGCAATCTAACGGACAACACCAAAGCGCCGCAGATACGCGAACTGTTCAAAAAATTCGGCACCGTTGTGGAATGCGACATCGTTCGGAACTACGGGTTCGTCCATTTAGAATCCACGGGAGACGTTAACGATGCTATTAAAGGTAAAAAAAAACCAACAAAAAATCAAGTCAAATCGGGCGAGTTAATTGTATTATTTATTTTTTTTACTCACCCGGTTCTCTATTCGTTACTGTTGATGTCTATTTTTTTTTTTTTGTTAATTTGTTTGGACTCTGCACGACAAAATAGACCGATAACACATACACACACTATCGTGCGAACCATCTATTTTGTCGTTTATACAGTGTTAGAAAATTTTTCGCGCATAATAGGGAAATCAATGTTAAATTCTTAGCCGGCTGAAATCCAGTCTACCAGTGTACATTTCGATAGAACGTCGCGATGAATTCTAATAGATTTAATTGTTCTACTGGACTTCACACCGCGATTTGGTTCTGTTAGATTAAAAATCAAATAATTTCGACGGTTTCGACACTTCGACAGTATCAAAACGGGTTCGGATGGGTGAACGTCGAGTCGATTAAAAAGAAATGAGAATTTTTAAACGATAATTTATTGAAAAAATATCACTAATATTAAAATAGAATTATGTAGATATGTCTTTTTGCCACAATGGCTTGAAAAAGAAAGTAAAATCTAAGAAAATAATAAAAAGGAAACTTCAAAAATAAACTTAAACATTATTTTAAAACAGAAAATAAAAGAACTCTAAAAAATAGTCTACCGCTTTCTGCTAAACAATAGCCAAACCTGTCATACAGATGTCATCCCATATTACTGAGCTGAGGTATAATTCTAGCAGAAAATTGAATTATTTTTTCCCTTATTTCAAAAAAATTTGTTGCTGTTTCAAAACTGTACCTACCGATACACACATTTTTTGAAATATCCCCAAAAAACCTATTAAATGTAGTTTCTAAATAATTTTGTACCTCATACCTAACACAAATAACTTTGTACCTCTACAAATCGCGGCGTGCGATCCAGTAGAACAATTAAATTTATTAGAATTCATCGCGACGTTCTATCGAAATGTACACTGGTAGATTGGATTTCAGCCGGCTAAGAATTTAACATTGATTTCCCTATTATGCGCGAAAAATTTTCTAACACTGTATATCTCTTTAATCGGTTCGTCTTTATACGCCATCAACGACATCAACAGTATCTCTCACTCACTGTAATCGGTTTGTTGACGAAAAAAAAACAAAATAACATAATCGGTGTGTTATAATAATATGTATCCGAAAAAAGATTTGAACGGAATGATGGTGGACGGTCAACCCATGAAGGTGCAAGTGTCGACGTCGCGCGTAAGACAACGGCCGGGCATGGGCGATCCGGAGCAGTGCTATCGATGCGGTCGCGGCGGTCACTGGTCGAAAGAGTGCCCCAAAGGTATGGGGCCGGAGAGGTTCCGCGATCGAATGTTCGGACGGGATCCGTATCCGCCGCCGCCGCCGCCGCCGTTCCTGCGCGACCGAATGATGGGCAGATTTGGGGTACGGTATACATGATATGACTATTTGCTATATGCTGTGCGGTGTGTATGATGCTCTGTTTTCGAAATGGTAGGTGCTGAATTCTCGGAGATGTTGTGGGTTTACTTGTTTATTATCTAATTCTTGTTCTTGTAATTATTAGTTTCCTGTTGATTTTCCCTTCTAATAAACTTGTAGGCTACGATGTTTTCTGTAAAAACCACTGGGAGAGAGCCATTATCGCAATCGTTTATGAGAATTTAGTGTCTACTATTTTGGAATTAGAGTATAACAAACGAAAGGAATAAATTCGTTATGATGAAATTGGTTGGTTTTTTGGAAAAAAACGCTCGGATAGGTGAATTTTGTTTACTAAAAGTGCGATTTTTCAAAAAGAATTTAAGTTTTCTTATCCTCTTCGAGCTATTCACCGATTTGGGAAGATGTCGTTCGAGTAGTTTCGCACTCAAGGCGAATTATTAATATTTATTCTTCGTTTATTTATTGTATTCTCAAATAACATAAAATTTATGTGTATGATTTTTAAATGACTTATTCAAAAAAAATTGTTATGCAAGATATTACAAATAATATGTTTCTGAGTAGGAAAATGCAAGATGTATAAAAATCAGTGGAGTGTGAATCAGTGGAATCAAAATAAGTGGAGGAAACTGAAATTCTTTTTGAAAAATTGCGCTTTTAGTAAACAAAATTGACCTGTCCGAGCATTTTTTTCGAAAAACCAACCAATTTCATTATAATGAATTTATTCCTTTCATTTGTTACATACTGTATATACTACTACTATTATGAATTTATTCGTATTTTTATTAGAAAAATCTCTCTATTGCTCGATTCTTCGAATCGATTTTGATTTTAGTTTGTTAGTTACTTGTCGTTATGCGGGGCGTTTTTCGAATCTTCGTAGGGAATTTCGGGACGCCCTGTATATCGGCGGTTTGTTGTTTTCGCAAAATAGTCGGGTTTGTGTTATTGCTACAAATTACGAGTTTGCGGTAAGATGCCGAAAAACGTTTTGTTAATGCAATTGGCGAGAAGAAATTTGGATTTGTAGTTAGATAAAATGTAACCGGGTTAAAAAAGTTGTATTTCTTGCAAATCTAACAATTCGATCTACTACTAACAAATGTTTTATTGAGTAAGTTGCATCGTTTGGGTTTAGAGGTTTAATTTATTACGATTTGAATTTGAAAATTTCTACCATTTTTATCACCCCTTTAACATAAATTATGACACCCTTCTCCTACAGTACATATTTTATAGTTCGAACTCCCATCCATTTCCACTATTAAACTCCAATTTGCTTCTTTACCAACCATCGTTTAATTTATTACAATTTCCCACTCCCATTTTTATCACCCTTTAACATAATGACACCCTTCTCCTACAGTACATATTTTATAGTTCGAACTCCCATCCATTTCCACTATTAAACTCCAATTATCCATCCATCTGCTATACCCAATTTACATCATACTCCATTACAAAACAGATAATTAGGTATACTAGCATATATATTTTTTTTGTTTTCGTCCTAATTTTGGACAAATCAGGACAGTTACGACGCCTACTACGACAGGCGCTTCGATGATTCGCGCGACCTGTACGAGCGCCGCTACGCCGGCCTGCCGCCGTCGAGCCGCGACGTCGCCGTCCGCGGCGGCGGCGGCGGCGCCAGTTCGAGGGACTTCATGCCGCCGCCGTTGCCGCCGCGTCGCGAGCCGCTGCCGCCGATGCCGTCGATCGGTTTGCGCGGCGGCCCGTCGAGCGGCCTGAGCGCCGGCATTCGGGAGAGTTCGTTTTCTCGGAGCGGCAGCGACTACGGGATGTTCAGCAGGCGATCGCCGCCGCCGATCGCCGGCAGCATGTCGGTGCGCAGCAGCAGGATGTACGAGGATTTTAGCAGGGATAGTTTCGACGATAGAAGGTTGGTTGATTAAAAATAAATAATAAAGGGAACGTTTATAAGGCGATTGGTGTACACCTATCGAGCATGATACAAGTATACAAGGTAAAAACTCGAGAATATTTTAAGTAGTAATTCCAATAATATAAATAACAAGAAAAAGAAGAATTTGACATGTACGTCAAAAATGTATTGTTTATGTATTTGACATGTATATGTCAAAGAATAAGGTTATGTTTGTTATTTTTCCGAAGATTCTCACCTGTGACGTCACGCAATTCAAACGAAAATAGGATATGCAATAAAATTTAGCACCTTTTTTAAGATTAAATATTAAAAAAAATACTCGAGAATATTTTAAGTAGTAATTCCAATTAATATAAATAACGAGAAAAAGAAATAAGAATTTGACATGTATATGTCAAAGAATAAGGTTATGTTTGTCATTGTCAATTTCATATCTTCTTTTATTGTATCCTGCCTATCGAGTAACTAAATTTAGTTACTTGTGTGGACAATTTGATTTGGACAACTTGCTTTAGCTGCTTGATAGGTGTATTCGGCGCCTTTATATATACATAGTTTGTATATATATATATATACAAATTTTTTGACGGTTCGGTATTTTTTTTTTGTTTGTTTGTCGCGTAGGCCTGGTTTGAGGGGACCATCTCCGCCGAGAAGATACGCCCCCTATTAGATTTTCTAATGGACACGCGTGCGTTTAGAAATTCGAATGTATTATGTATGTGTATATGGTAATATCATAGACTTAATAATTATTACGATTACGTTTAAAAAGTAATTTTTTTTTTGATTGATGAATATGATTTTTTCGATGATTTAGGAATATTAATTTACCTATATTTTTGCATTGTAATTTGTTGTAACTACGCGAACAAGATTTTATAATTCAGTTTGTGGCGTTTTTGTTTTATTTTATTTCTCCAAAGTAGTAGTGAGGCAATTTTTTTTATAATAAAGATCGTAGAAAATGTATTTTTTTCGATATTAACCATCCAAACCTATTAATTTATCGTGAATAGAAGAAATACAAATCATTTAAAGTGTATATTTTACACAAACGAACATTCATAAATCAGTCTTGCAATCAATATTTGATGCACATCCAAATATTACATTTCCCCATACAAACAGTAACAATTATATTATGTACAATAATATATAAATGCACATTCCAATAGTCACGCGGCCTTTTGAAAAGACAAAAAATGAAAAATAGCTGGATTACATTTAACGTACTTTATATTATATATTTATCGCACTCCTACTATTTAGTCCTTTTAATCGTGCGAAAAACGTATAAGGTAAAGTACACTTAACATTTACATAGTTGACCCTATATACTGATCATTGTCCCTAACCTTAGGGCTTGTAAATGAACCTTTGGTTAATAAACTGAGCCCTTAGGAATTTTCGTACATTTCTACGAGACACCTTTTTTGTCATATTAGGAACTTATTTTTTAGGTCCCTATAATTTCACTTCTGTCAACTACATCAATTTGTAGCGAATGAATTAATTACGACCCAAAATTTCCTTTCTTTTATATCATCGATAATAGATGACGAGAAAGAAAATCCGGATTATATTTTGATTCATTTAATTTTATAAAGTAAATTTTTGAAAAAAAAAACAATTGAGCATTTTCGAGAGACTAAGCGTAAAAGGTGCCTTTGTAACAAGTGTAATTTTTATACAATAAAAAAATTTACCAGCCGATATTTTCACATCAAATCGATACATTTTTTTGCACAGTAACTCGCAACAAAATGGCACTATTTAATTAGGAAGTAATCACTCAAATTTTCACATATACACAAAAAACCTACCCAACAAAAAAAAATTATGGCCACTATGAATAAATACTTAGCTTATTTTGTACATAGATAGGATATTTACGAACTCGAATCTATCATGCCATTAACGATAAATTCACTTTTTTTTATCACGACATGATAAATTCAATATTGTTATGTTAATACCATCTTTTCTAAAAACTATTTTACTGATTTACCTATTCTAAAAAATATTTGTCAACAGTATTATCGTTACACTCTAAAAGACTTACAAGTATTTAAAAATATGTTAGGGTTATTAGAGGATCATTTTATATGGCCTTTATTTTATAAATAAGGGGGTAACAAGTTTATCGCGCTATTAAAACGTTTTGTATATTTGTGTTATGTGATGATATAACACACAAATATACCAGCGGTTTAGCCATGATAAACTCGTGCTCGCGAATACCTTTTTTTTCTAAATGCCGATTCGATTACGATTATTATTATAAATAAATTTCGAGTTACTGTGCACGTCCATTAGGTCAACTGGACTTTATGAATGTAAATAGGTACTTCAATTTCTTCATCATGTATGGGGTACTCTCATCGTTTTGTGTATATCGTACAAAAACTTTTTATATCTACGATATTGTCATGATGACAATACGAAATAAATCGGGATTTATGTACGTTTTATTCAAAAAATAATGAAATACCCCTCTACTTGTACGCACGCATTTATGTACAAATCATATCTAGGTTATTAAAGTTAATAACCGATACGAAAATTAGGCGACTAATTTGTTAAACATTAACTAATAAACAAAATATATACAACTCGTTTAGTATATTATATGTACAAATTTACCTCATTTTAAAGCAACGTTTAAAATAAGACGAGAAGAAGAAACTCCATTAATCACATCGGATGTGCATAACCTACCTAATATTTGAATTTAAAGCTATTACAGCCACACGCATCCGATGCAAAACGATTTTACGAGAGCCTCTAAATATTTTCAGAAGAACCACAATATTCGATTTAATAATAAAGAAGTTATCTTCCGAAAAAAAACTAATAAGAAAGAACGAAACCTAGCTATTAATAATTCACACGATTTTTATCGTGGTGTCCGTATCCAATTTGGACAATGTCTTTTTCACCCTCAACGCCGTCAATCGCACGTCGGGATTCGAATGCCAACACTCCTGCACGATCTTCGCCAGCGTCTCCAGCACTTCCTCGCCCTCCCATCGACGGGGAATCTGCGGCCTCGCGTTCTTCACGCACACAGCCCCCAGCATATCGTCGAACGACGGATCGGACGGTACGCAATCGTGGTAGGGCAACGCGTACTCGTCGGCTATCTGCGAAATTAAAATCATATAGAGTAAGTTTATTAATAAGTTGATTTTAATTGTACCTTTAGCATGTCGCCCGTTACGCATCGCATTCCCATCTCCCATAATACTAGCGCGAGGGCGTACATATCGGCCTTTTTGTGCGACTCGAAATTATGAGGGTTCATCGATTTGTCGAGCAGCTCGGGCGCCATGTACCTCCTGGTGCCCGATCTCACGTTCGGCGGTACTTCGATTTCCTTTTAAATCAAACCAACAAATTATATCCTCCGAATCGTTCGAGTCCTCAAAACGTACCTTCATATCAGACGAGTATTTAACGGCCAAACCGAAATCGGCGATGCAACATTCGCCGTTCCTCTTCACCAGCACGTTCTTGCTTTTGATGTCGCGATGCGCGATCGCCGGCTTGCCCTTCGTACCGAATATTTCCGTGTGCAAATGCGACAGGCCGGACGAGACGCTTTGGGCCATCAACAACAACGCCGCCGGATCCAAACAACGATCTTGCAAATAGTCGTAGAGGCTGCCCAATTCGTGGTAATCCGTTATCAGCAGCATCTGCGTCCAACTACCCGTACCTACCAAATCGAAACCGTTTAAAATCATCTCGAAAAAGTAAGATAAATTCGATATTACCTTTGATATCGGCGGCGATGAAACCGAGTATGTTCTCGTGGCGCATCAGCACCGTCTGATAGATCTCCGTCTCCCTGAACCAGCTCTGCTCCTCGGTGGTGAAGAACACTTTGACAGCCACGCGGGTGCCCCGCCATTTCGCCAGCCACACCTCCCCGTAGCGACCTTTACCGATCGAATGCACCATTTGGATTTGCTTGGAGATCGTCCGTTGGACGAGTATCGGCAATCCCGAGCCCGATCCGCTCGATTGTTCGATCAGATTGGTCAACGGACCATGAACCTAAACCGAAATAAACGTTAAAAGTCTAATAAAAATCGATTAAACACAGTATTATTACCTCCAAATTGGGAAACTTTTCGGCGCCGTACGCCTTGCCGTACAATCCGAATTTCCTCTGCATGTCTTTCCTGCGTTTCTTCACGTACACCAGCGCGATGACCAAGAGGACCAAAGTGAGGCAAAAGGTGACCGATGTCAATAGAATGGTGAAGGGCAGGCTGTCGGTGTTACCGAAACCGGGCGTTTCGGGCGTCGGTCGCTCCGGATAGGTCGGTCGCAGGAATTTGTTGCATTCGTCTCGATCGTTGCAGCATTGGATCGATTTGCTCTGTTCGTGAGGCACCAGATGACCCTGACACTATACGAAAAAATCGAAAGATTAGAGCAATACAACAGCGAATTTCGAATGCACCGACCTGCATGAGGCCTCGCTCGTCGTCCGGTAGACATCCGAACGTGTAAAAGGGCACGTCCCTGTCTTGGATTTCATCGTAAACGGCTTCGACGGACGTGAAACATTTACCGCCCGTTCGAATTTCGCACGTGCCGTTTTGCTGACCGTCCGGGCAATGGCCCTCGCAGTAGCATCTTTTTACTGTAACAAAAAACGATATATAAAGAAACTTTAATTGACTAACTTGCGGTGCAATAAAGTGTGCTATCAAATTCATTCATTTCAATCAAATTCATTCATTTTTTTAATTATTTGTCGTAGAAACTTCAATTAACTAACTAACTAACTTGCGGTGCAATAAAGTGTGCTATAGGTTCAATCAAACACTTTAGGTTTGTGTTGTTTTTTTTTTAATTATTTTTCGTCTCTTAACAGTTCTCTCTCTCAAGAAGCGCAAATTTATAAATAACCGCGCGGTTACGTCATGATTAAATTATTTCGATATTGTAAATTTCATTATTCACGAGTTAAATTCCTGACCATTACACGTTACGAATTCGAGCGTTTTGCATTTCAAACGTTCCAGAAATTACCGAATCAATTACGTAGAGGTTTGGTTTTTTTATTATATTTTATTCAACAATAATACCGAGTAATCTACATACGAATATACCACATTTTTAGATATAATCCGTCTCGTGATTCAAATTGTAATATTCCAACTAAAAAAAATCTACGTTTTAAACTAATAATGAAAAAAAAAAACAAAACGCAAGTCGAACGAATCCGAAGCGTTCATTAATTTATTCGGAATTCTAATCGAGCTACTTTATATTTTAATTGGCCCCATAAAGCTACGGTTTTTAATGGGCCATCGTTCAGATCGAACAATGGAGATGTTATTAGTAATGTGAATATTTTTTCCAAATGAAAATACCTCCATAAAAATCATAAATTTTGCCCACATGCGACCTCGCTCGTTCCCAAAAAAAAAAATACATAAATAAAAACAATAACAAGGGCGCAGTGTCGACATCTCTCGTTTTCCTTCGACCGAAAACAACGCAAAAATCTATTCATCTCACGAAAATCGACCAACATTTAAATTATACAAGAAAAACAAAACCGATATGTTTTGAACACAACGCCGTCTTACTCAGGGGTCAAGGGGCGTAGCCCCCCGCTTGTCTTATCGAGCCTCCTATCCCATGCAAGCTGCCATGACAGGCAACGGGCAGAGGTTTCTCATTCATTAAAACCGAATATAAATACATTCTAAAGAAAAAACTCACCCAGATCATCGTACATCTTTCGAAACGATTTTCACACCATATTAGTACTTGGAAAATGGGAAAATTCGCGATAATCGAGAGCCGCTCCTTCGACAAAATAAAAACAATCGCCTTTTGGAGAACGAATATTTGACTTAAGCTCGATGCGCACTCGACGCATTCACTGATCTCGACTGGAACGAGAGAGCGCAGAAAAGCGGTATGTGCGTCTTTAAAATCGGCCGCGTTGCCAAATCGATCGCCCAAAATTTCCTCATTTTTTTTCATATCGTCCCGAAAAAAATGTAAATACAGAAAATATCGCCCCCCCCCAAATAACCCAAAGACTTTTCCAATCTCAATCGATTCGTTTAGAGCAGCTCAAAAACGAATGATCCTAATGCAATAACGTTATAGGTATCCCGATTTGTTTATTATACAGGTTGCTCCATTTTTGATAGCAACATAGGTGCGATAAAGACAACTTCCATTAGACACCTATAAAGAAAAAGGAAAGATTGACTGATTTATGTCATTGCAACTTTTCACTCTGACAACTGTTATTTTATTAATCTTTCTTTGTTCCACTCATATAGAAATGATCATGTTGCAATCGGAAATGGAGCACACGATATATCCCGTTTATCGGTGACATTTGTGGAGATTCGGCAAACGCGCGTCCCTAAGATGGAGATTCTTGTTCAGCAGGTAAGGAAGTCGAGTACAGTCCGGCCAAGATTATTGGAATACTGGCGCCTCGAAAGCGGTTTCGACACGGACTCGACGTCGTCTGTGGTTGAAAAAAAAAAAAGGGCCCTTGCGGCATCTCCTGCCCCGATCCTCTCCTTTACCTTTTTGCTCCTTTTTCATTTCTAATACTATAATTACTATTATTTTTGGGGGAAGCACCGTTGCCGTGACGTCGAAATCGCATTTTTCCGGAAATCAAATCGTTTGCTTTAATTGTCTAATAATTATCGAAAACACCGTTGTCGTTCGACGTATAGATCCTTGAATTGTTAAGTAAATTTATGTTACGTACGTCCGTAAATTACGCTGTGTCGTTATACGAAAATAATTTCCTTTTTTAATTAGTCCACTTCTCTTTAGTCAAACAATATTCGATTCGAATTAGAGGATGGATAATTGAAAAAACGCGCCGGCAATTTCGTTTCAAATATCCAAAAAAATACCAATTTTCTTTACCAATTTTCATCATTTTCCAAGTGTAGCCGCATTGACAAAAAAGGGACAAGACATTTGCAATTTACTATACTGAGCAAAGCTTCCATGGATAAAAAAAAACCGCTAGTAACTAGTAGTTAGTACAGTAAGCGGTAGCAATCGGTATTCTTTGTACTGTTTATGTAATTACACAAGGTCGTTTCGAAGCCGAGCGTATGTAATCATTAACCGAGAAATACGGAATATCCGTGTATTTACTACGCCCCACAAATGATTTATTAACACACTCTCGTAGAGTCGAGAAGAAAAAAAATCACCCTAAATAAATACAATTAACCGAATTAGCCATCGTGTTTTTTTATCGAATCAAACAAACACACCTTATTCAAATAAATTTATCTAATCTTAACTATTCTCGGTAATCGCCTATTCCATAAGAATACACCAGCCCATTTAACTTACCTGTAAATATAAGTAAAAAAAAATAAATGTACGTATATTAACAATTAAATACGATAAGACTAAAAATATGACTTAAGCGAGTTCGTCATTTCATTCTCATTGTCCGTATAAATATTTACACGAGCTCGTAATTAAATATTTTAACTGATGGAAAACCGAGAAGATTCAACGGTTCAACGAACGATTTTCTATTATAAACTCAAAAATCGTTTATAAAATACAATCAAAACCAGCGATTCGATTACACATCGTACGTCCCTCGTAGGAGAGAAAATTTTTAAATCGAATCGCCTCTAATATTCGGTACTACCGTATCAAATGGGCCTCTATTCTCATACATCTTCACTGACAGTTCCATTAGAACCGCCGAGGAGAAGAATACAAAACGAAAAATCTCAAAGTGGAAACGGAGAATGCGAAGTTATGAGAAACGTATCCGCTTTTTTTATATTATTTAATTAATTAAATTTCGTACGAAAAAACCTCTTCTTTATTTTATTATTTTTTTTCCCCATCTCCCCGGCTTAATTAAGTGTCAGATGTACAAATGATTTAGGTTCGCGTTCCCCGCGGGTTCCATTAACCGATTTTTCGGGCCCCTCAGCTAACGTAAATTATATTACAAGACGACCAAAAAACCGAGAAAAATTCATGGACAAAACACATAAAACCGGGCGCATTCGAAATATAAAAAATGTACGAGGGACGATCGATAATTATAAAAATACCAAACGTCCGATAGTTAGCGTTTATCGCCCGATTTACATGCGTATAAATAAATAAATAAATAAACATATAAATTATTCATTCGTTAAATTGGATTCGAACGATCTATTGTAAGGATATTAACGTGTTTATTTCTTTTCGTCATTGTTTTCAATCTTCCATCGCGCAAGTTCATTTTCTATGTGACTATTAAAACTTACATACGACCTACGCGAAACGCCGTGGCTGTTTTTTTTTTCGCTTTATTAAAAAGCCACATTTTAATTAATAATTTTCTAATAGAACACACACACACATGCAGCTTTTATTGCGCCGTTAAAACTATCTGCGACAAATTAAAATTCGCCGTTGTATACAAAATTTTTGATGAAACAAAATTGAAAAACGGCTCGTCCTGGTGCGTTGAATTTATAAGTAAAAATCTTATACGAGGCCAACGAAAAAAGAAATAAACGATAGTATAAAGAAAGAGACCCCTGCCTAAGCGTTTATCGCATTTAATCTGAACCCGATGGCTTTTAATTTAGTGCCTTTAAGGCGTGCTCGCCGTATATAATTTCGTGGGCCTTTTATGGCCTTTTTCACTCTTCGCCTGAACCGTTTTCGTCTCATTCCGATACCCGTTTTCTTTCTAATAACTCGCCTCGTATATATACGCACAAAATTCAACGTAATACTATTTTTTTTCTAATTTAATATAATTAAATTTAATAGACATTATCGGAATTACTCGTTACTGACCTTCATAAAATATACACTACTTATTATTATAACATCGTTTGTGGTTGGAAAAAAATAATAATAATACCATTGTAAATGACTAACTAGGCAACAGGTGTAGATGTTTGAGTAACAATTCCATGAATGAAGATATGTAATTTCACAACGATACTTGCATATGCGCTATTAAAAAAAAACACGTATTATCTAGTTACCCAAGGAAATTTACTCTTTTACGTCATTTGTCAATCAACTGTCAAAAATTGTAATTACACGTCAATACTGCAATTACTGCAATTATACGCATTTCTAATTAGGAAACTAACGATAACAAGATTTCTATATTCAACCCCGTTATTTCCTTATTCCATTAGACCTCCATTTTCCATCACCATGACAACATCCCCGGGGGTTGACACCCCCGTAAAAATACGCTCGTCTACGATTAAGTCGTATAATCGTTGCAGTCGAATCGATACCGGAGGAGAACCGGGAAGAACTATATAGAGGAAAAACTATAAGATTCGTTTCGGACGATTTATCGAACTCACCTCGTATAATTTACGGGTATTTCGGCTATACGTTTCGAGTCGCTCGATTTTTGGTTTTTTTCGATTTCGGTTTATTACAAGGGAATGCGATCTGGCCGGAATTTAAACGGTCCCGAATTAAAAATCGTCATACGATTTTGCGATGAAATAATAACCAATTATTGCGGCGGTGAACGTGTTAAAAGAATATTTTCTCGTACGGAAAAAGAATGACATAAGAATAAAACGGTCCCGAGTTTTCTTTTCGTTGTTTATGTACAGAAATAATACCAAAAGCACCTGCGAT